CAAAGAACCTGGATTTGTTTACTTGTTAGAGTCAGCACAGTGTGTGTTTCAACACCTTCACCTGTCCAACAGGAATAACTCCAGCTTCTTGCTTTTCCCTGGAGAATAAAATTTCCTTCCCCAGTGTTATGGTTCAAGAATGGCAATTTTTCCTTTCTAAGAGTCGGAGATTTCATTACAAAATACACCTAAGGAATCAATAGGAAATCAATCAAGGTCTGCTTTCTGCAGAAAAAAGCCTGTCTCATGTCAAGCTAACAGAAAACTATGAACAGAGTTCAGATTTTCCTTATGTGATTTCTTTTCCAGTAAGGTCCTCCACATGCTGTGTTCTGAGAGAGTTGGAGGAAACTCTGTGAAGGAGGGAACTTATTGGGAAAATTGCCCATTTTAATATCTTCTAAGATTCTAAGCAGGTTCTATTCAGCTTTCTGAAATTACTTTCTGCAGATCAAAAGCAGTTTACTGAGAAAAAAAAACAAAAACAAAAAACACAAGAGAAGAGAGAAACTCCTTTTATGCTTTTCTCTTCTACCATTGCATGGCAAAGGATTGCTACCCACAATAGCAGGATCCCTAACCTGACACTGATTGAGCAGTGTTTCCCTGCAACAGGCTTTGCATGCTGGTGGAGTGCTCTTCTGTGGTCATTCCAACCACCCTGTAGAGCCTATCATTAGAATCAGGCCAGACAGGGCTATGCAGGCACTTCAGGCAGGCTTGCCCTGGAGAGGAAATTTTTGCCAGCTATCTGTTGAGCTCCATGTCTCCAGCGAGACGCATGCAACTCCTGGCTGCCCCAAGAGTGCTGAAAGTACAACCAATACTGCAGTTTGTGGCACTCATGAGTGGGAAAAGAAGAAAGAATTTTCAGGCCCAAGCCAAAGGGAGCTGGGAGAGAAACTGGGGGGGAAAAGCTGCCCAACATGTAGAGGATGAACTAAGAACTCTGCAGCTCTTTCAGGGACCAGCCAGACCACATGTCACCAGGTAATCTGGGACAGTCTGCCATTACCATCATCCACTCAAATGTATGGGCAAGATCATTTCCAGCTCCATCCTACCACTTTACTTGGTTTCCTCAGTTTTAATTTCCTACTCATTCAGTAAGTTTCAAATCAATTTTCACAAGAAAGCTTATTCATCAATTTGCTGTTGAGAATGGTTTTTGCCCAAGCCTCCTCGCTGACTGCAGCACCTGGCACCACAGAGCACTGTGAGTGAAGAGGTATGTGAAGGGAAAAGAAATTCTGCTGCTATGTTTATGCAGTAGCACTCAGAGCTGGATCAGAAGTGCCCACCAGATTCTGGGCCAAAGATTAAGTAAACAAGACGCCCAGCAATCATATGTTAGCATCTGTGCTCATTCAAACTGTAGAGATTCTGTTTGTACTATCTGAACATTTATGTGAGAAATGTTGAAATTGGTTTGTTCCTAGTATCAAAAAACTGCCCCTAGACTAGTAAAAATCATTTAATCCATTACAGTTTTCATACATAAAGAGGTATTTTAATAGATTAAGTCACATCAACAATAACATGATTCACATGCAAAAGCGGGAGGTCTGAAGCAAACTCTATTAAATCAACAGAAGGACTCCTGCTGATTTCAGCACAAAGCACAGATCAGTCCTTTCAGCTCAGTAGATTAGTTCTCCTTAATGAGCCTTGACAGTCCCCCAGGCTCTTTAAATCACTATATATAGCCAGCAATGCTTATACAACATAGGTAAGTGAGGCAGGCATAGAGCATGGCCAGAAGATTAATACCAAGTACATCCCTAAAATAGACAGATCACGGTACAAGTCATTAGCAATAGCAGGGGGAGGGGCCCTATTGATGTGCTGATTAGGAAAGTACCACCAGACAGAATTTATGAGATTTTTTTTTTTAAGGTCTTGGTGCACAAGTTTATGAGCAAATTGGGCTGTTTTTACATTCTGACACTGGAAATAACTGGTGAAGACAACTCATGAGCACGTGGAGGTATATACTGAGCTTGCAGATGTCTCCCCAGAATGTGAGTAGAATTTACAGCTACTGTTATAGTAAGCCGTACATATTACATGCATTTTCAGGATATCAAAGAGAGCTAAACATTTGTTTTCTAGTGCACAGACAAGAGAATAGGCAATCCCTTCCTTTCTAGAGTAATTTTAACAATTGTTGCTTATCTTAGTACCTACAGGGTCTGAATAAAATGCTGAGAAACGCTCTTCCCAATATGTGGAATCTTTCCCTACTTCAATTGTCAAATAGTAGGTTGATGACCTAAGATTTTAAATGGTTTTGTTTTCCTAGGGCTTTTATGATGCTGTGGTAAAAATGTGAAGTGCAAGCCATACAAAGAAGATACAATCACAGAGTTTTCATCAGCTGAAAACTCACTGCAACAGACTACATTCATTTCCCTACAAAATGCTGTGTAGGAGAGTTTGGAGGTGTATTTCTTTTCAGGTAACATATTAATAAGGATCCTAAATTATTTGTTGACCACCAAACCAAATTATCACATAATTACACAGCTTACCAAAAAGTACTGCTTTTCCATGGAATGGAAGGGAAAAGCTCTGCATGTGCAGGAATAGCTCACCTAAGAGATCTGATGTTTTGTGCCTGCCAGTTTGTTCAATTGATTAACTGAAAACTAGAGGTTTGTAGCTATGGAAGAGTGATTCTGGAGAGTTGCAGGATGATCTTTCAGTGGGCTGCCTGATATATAGAAACCTTCTACTGTGTTTTGTGTGAGTGCTCATTCTGAAGAACCACAGTACCTAAATTTCCCATTGGCAGCTCTTCCTCAGGATGCCTGGCAGGTCATTCTACCCATTGCAGAGCACTGACTTCTGGAGTTTTGCACTGCCTGCACAGTGAGGGGTGAAGGAATCCAAAGCACACACAGGCCCCACTCTTCACCCCAGCCTGAAATTCTTTGGCATAAGCAAATTCCTGTGTGAGTAAATTAACACCCTCCTTCGATATGGGGTCTATGTGCTTCAGTTTCCTTTAGTGCAGAGCAGCAGAGGGATGCTGTACTTTGCAGTCATCTAGAGATCTTAGAGGGCTCTCAAGGCAGTCATGCTGCTTTTCTCTAAAATCAATTGCTTTTATAATGGCACAAGAAGCCAAGCACTATCACACAAGTTCTCAATTTGCCAGGCAAATATCAAAGTTTGATGGAAAATAGAATTTGCCTTTAGTAATTTACTGGCTACATTATTAATCCAAATGCAATATTTATGAAGACAGATCAATACTCTTGAAATATCATGCTGACATTTTCTCTGGAAATGCACTGTTTGCCACTCCATGCAGCTATTTCAAAATCAATATGATCTTGGGAAGCCAAATGGGGTTTTTTGGCTTTTGTAGAACTTCACAATTCTCAAACAAGAGATTTTGGATTACATTGTACATTCACAGAATTAGAGGATTTTCTTTTAAGAAAACTTTAACAGAGACTTTTTCTCTTGGTTCTGACCCCAGGCTCCTTCCAGTAATGACATCATCTAGCAGAATACATAATGGCAGAAGGCTCCAGCAAAGCAAAACCTACCAGGATGCCCAGGTCACTGTGTTACTGGAGAAGGAGTGCTAGTATGTGGCAAGAACTAGGCAGTTAGGAAATACAGACTTAATAACACTGGCCCAGGGCTGTCAGGGAAAAGAACAGTGGAGACTCCACAGTGCTGCCCTCTCAGCTGTCTCCCCTAGAGTCTTTTGTCTTACAGAGCTTCTGTGCCAGTTATTGCTACATAAACAGAGTGGCTAACACTAACCAGAGCAATTCCAGGCGTTTACCTTACTAAAACCAGGTTGGCATCCTGGTCAAACACTCCAGAACTTATCTACAGAACTCAGTTTCAAATTTAACTTGCTTTCCAGTAGTGCAAGCTCACTGACCACTGCTTCTTCCATACAGCATAGCCAAGAAAGAAAAATGTGATTCACAAGTCCTGTTTTCAATTAATTAACTGTGCACAACTTGAAATCTTTTGTTTCATTTTGTACTGAAAAGAAGGAAACTTAAGTCCTAAAGTTGTGTATATATCTCAGTGCACTAGCTTGCCAAATAACTTACTGTGATTTAGTGGCACAAGGATACCAGAGGCTGTTGACAGCAGCTGCTCTCTTTTTGTGTCTAGAACTGAATTCTAAATGGGCAAAGGAAATGTCATTGCCTAGAACATCACTGCACTGGGGGATCCATGATCAGCTGCTGCAACATTCTGTTTTCAGACTTTATTTTACATTACAAAAGCCTTCATTAGCCTGAGTGCTTTCACATAGTTGTAGTGGCACTTTGTCAGATCACTCTCTGAGTCCTCAGAAAATAAATGTCACCAACACAGGGAAAAATCACAAATATTATTTCAAAGTGCACACATTCAGGAACACTGCAATCTTTGTCAAATTTAACAGGGGCATTCACAGCAAGAAAGCCAAGTGTCTAATCAAAGTACCTGAGTTAAAGGGCTGATTACATCAACCTCAAAACAACAGTGAGATGAGCCACTAAAATAAGCAGTGCAAACATCCCAAAAATTCACTGAAAGCCCTTCTGCAAACTGCAGTAGAAGGAGAAGAAAACTCTTACTTGCATATATTTGCTTAATGATTTAAAATCAGAGATCATTAGTCAATAGCTCAGAAGTTCATATTGATGGATACTGAGGGACTCAAATATCATTAAGTGGTAATGAATGTTGCCATTTGTTATACTTTATTAGCTTTGAAACTGATTTAATTATTTAATGACAGTTCAACATCCATTCACTATCAGATTCTGAGATTTCTTCCATACCTACATGGTGATGTGAAAGAAAAATTTAGGATCTGAATAAATGCAAATCAGTTAATGAACTCAGTAGGAACAAGAACAACAGATAGGCTCTAGCAAACAGGCCTAATACATTGAGCTTTCTTTAACATTCATGTCTTGAGATAGAAATAACGTAACACAGAAGACAGCCTTTAAGAATGTCATTTTAAAGGTGAGATGTCTGCACATTCCACTTATGTAGGTAAGTAGAACCTAGGTGACTGCTTAGAACCTGTAAAAAAGTTTCTCTTAACAGGATGTCTGGAATATGCTTATTTGATGTCCTATAAATATTTACTTTAATTAATTAATTTGGTTTCGTTATTGAAAAAACCAAAATACAAATAGAAAACTAGTAATCAGATTACCAAGGTTAGGAAACCTTGAGTTTTCTTAGTGGCCTTTTTTTTTTAGGCAACATCTCCATGCATTTCCACATTTCTTTATACAAACACACTTTCTATATAGTATGTTCTGCTGTGCTTTGTATTGCTGCTAAACAGGCAACAAGTGACAGAAGATTCAGGCACTGCCCTAAAGACTACCTTGTCTAAGGGGCAGAGAGCAAATCACTCACTGACACACAACGCAAATCACATAACAAATTAGTCATCAGATCCACCACTGCAGCTTACACTTCTCTTGGGTTGTTCTTGGGTTCAATCGGCTTCCGTGTTACAGATAAGAAAAGCAATCTTGGTAGCGTCATACAAGTGGTCAAAGAAGATTATCCTTTTCCCCAGGGGAATTCCTCTCTCTGGCATCAGCAAAAATAATGACCAATGTCCACCAAAAAACCTTTCAGAACAGGCAAGGTCATTCCTTTCAGTCTGAAATGTCCTTAAAGGACAGAGTTGACTAGAAAGTTTGGTCAGCAAAGCTTGAAAACAGCGAAAATATATTGAAAAGAAAAATACAGAAGGTTTTGTCGAGGTGCACATTATTCATGGTTCCCGATCACATTGTGCCAAAGCTCCTATTCCTGCTCTCCTCTAACACAGAGTGGTCTGGAAGGGCTGCAACCAGAAACAAAGCCCCTTAGAGGAGTTGCCTCAGCAAATAGTTGAGCACATTTGCTTCATTACACTTCTACATCATTAATTTACTTGCTTGTAGCTCTCACTTTCAGACTCGCTGCACATAGCAGTTTTGGCTTCCATACTTTCTCCTATCATTTACTGGATCATCAGGGACAGATACAGACTGAGAAACCTCAATGGAGAGCATGTCTTCATAACAGGCTGTGACACTGGACTTGGAAACTCACTGGCTAAATGGCTTGACAAAAAGGGATTTTGTGTCATTGCTGCATGTGCCACAGAAAAAGGAAGCCAAGAGCTACGGCGCTGCTCTTCGCTCTCATTGAAGACAGTGAATCTGAACTTGGCAGACTCCAACAGCATTGCCAGGGCTGTGGTGTTTGTGACTGAACAGACAGCTGGCAAGGGTAAGTGACAATGCAACGTCTCAGAAAGATGATTCAATATAACCAAATCTGGTCTAGCTAAAAAGTCTGTTGCCTCTCTACTCACTGCAGAGGCATTTTTAATCTCACTGATGAAACACATTCACTCCTCAGCTCTGTTATTTCTCTCAGTTCAAAGATATTCTCTCCATTGCTTTCACCAATGGGATACCTAAAAATCTACTTCCTTGGTCTGCTAAAACCAGTTTGTTCCCAGGTGTGTTATTTAAACTCCTTCTGGTGTTTAGTACCAGTGGAAGGAAGGTAATAACTGGTAGAAGAAAATGTTCTTGACAAATTCAGCTCACTCAACTAAAAATGGTTAATTCAGGGCCTCTGCAGTACTCCTCTAGTAAAGAGAAGAGTATATTTTTGCATGCCTGGATAAGTCTGATATTTGCATTGTACTCAACAATTGCACTGACTGCAACAGTTAAACACTTGCAATTTCAGACAGTTTTGTCGGAGTTGTTACAGAGGCAACTCACTATCCCTATCATACACCTCTGAACACTCCTGTAATAGAGGAAGAGTTTAGCTTTGGTTACCTATGAGACTTCAGTGATGGGTTTGGCAAAGGCTAAAAAGATCTGCATGGTAAATATATTCAACTGTGGCAATACACATTTATCACATTGATAGCTCACACTAAAAGGTTACCAAAGGGCATCACAGCATTTTAAGTACCAGCTGTAACACACAGTTATACCAACTATTCAATAGGCTTATTAATAAATTAAGTACCTAAAACAGCAAAACATGGGTCTTCTACCGTGAGATTTCTTCCTCAAAACTTGTAAAAGGCTTTTGGCCTTATCACGAGTATTCCAAACCATTCTTGAATGCAGAGATTGAGAGCATGTTTAACAAAAGTATTAGCACTTACCCCCTCCAGCAGGCTCTTGCTTCCAACTTGTAGAAAGCTACACATTCTCAGCCAGGACAGCCACTACTAAGGCTTTCACCTCAGTGTGTACGACTGTTTATGGAGGCTGAGTGCTGGACTTTCAGCCTCTCCCCTCAGCCACAGGCTGTCCTCAGCAAACTCTTGGAAACGTCACTATTTATCTAAAGTTCCTCGAGTAATTTCTAAAGGTAGTAAAGCAGTATTATCAATACACAGGGCTAAACTAGTATCTTTAGAAGCATTGACTAATTCTACACATTTGGTTCAGACCTTTAGACCCCAAACCAGAAAATCAGTCTCTCCACTTCTATGCAGACTATTTGATTTTCACAAGAATACAAATGCATATTAGGAGCCTACATACCTCAGTGGATCTCGATAATAAAGCCCAGCATGGTGGCCCACATCTCCAAACAAAATAGTTTTCCTTTAACACTTTACCCATGCTCTTCAGCAATTTTAACGTGTAAAAAGTAGACCATCCAAGCAAACCCCAGGTAACTGTATTCATCTCACTGAAGCTTTTGCAGACTGTGTGCACACATGATATTCCAGGGTAAGATATTGCCATATACTGAAATAAATAGCTTTGCATTCCTCCTAGGGCTTTTTGGCTTGGTGAGCAATCCTGAAGGAACAGCACCTGTAGGACCCACCGACTGGCTGAGGATTGAAGACTTCCATTCTGTCCTGGATGTTAGCCTGCTGGGATTGATTGAAATCACACTCAAGCTTCTGCCACTTCTGAAAAAAGCTGAGGGAAGAGTTGTCAATCTAATTAATGCCAAAGGTCTTATGGCTTTTGTAGGGGGTGGCTACAGTCTGTCCAAATGGGGAATGGAAGCTTTCTCTGACACCCTACGGTGAGTAGCCATGAATGCATGAATCCAAGAACAGATTCCAGACATGCTGAGGAAGGGTGACTGCATGTTTGCCCATTTTTATTCCTCTCTGGAAATCTTGCCTAAAGGGGAAAAGAAAAATAAGAGGACTGGTCACTTTTTTAAGATTTCAGTCTCCAGTACTATGGACAGACCCAGAAAGAAATTACACTTGGAAATTTTTCATGTCCCAGACAAGTTGTTAGTGTGCAGATTTCAGGCGTGTAAATCCAGTGCATACCTGAAAGTAAATAAAAAATATAGCCTGGTGAGACATCCAGTTTCTCGGGCAAGTTATACTTGCCTGTATATTTTGCTCTCATTCTCCAAAACAATCTGAGCTGGGCAATTCTAGACAGCAACCACACTACCAAAGGTAATTGTAACTTCAGAAAATTAGGCTGAACACCCTTTGCTGAAACAGTTGTACTGCACTGCTTCTAGAAAGCTAAGGCCCAGCCCAGTGAATCAAGTCTTCAGAAGTCAGAATGACTAGGAAAGCTGGTTTCAAACCATTATGAGTACTTACTTAAAAAAAGCATATACCCCAAAGAAATAGAAACTAATGGCTAATGTACATGTGTTCCATTCCTTTATACACTGTAGAACATCACTGCCTGGGTCTCTTGAGCTGCCAGCAAGACAAAGATGTAATTTTCACCCCAAAGGAGTTGCACTGCAACTTGAAATTACATAGAGGGAACTACACTATGAGGAACCTTTATTGCATTAACATTTAATAATTTAACTATAGCCATTTAGCCATAGAATAAAGAATAAGTTCTAATCCAATTGAAAACTTTTTCACTTTTACTTTTTCTCAGACACCTAAATAATCTGCTGTTTCTGTGAACTAAAAGGATGCAACTATATATGAAATTGTCAAACGTTTTAGTATGTTAATCCATGACTAAGATGCACCTGTTTGTTACACCCTTTGCAAGAGTCCAACACAAACCACACAGAGAATTGTGAATCTACTTGACACTGCTTTTTTTTCCTCAGTTGTCTGTTCTGTTTACAGAACAAATACACTGCTATGAATCTAATTTGAACCTTTCAAAATAATTCTGATATAAGAAGATAATAATCTGATATAAGAAGATAATAATTCTGATATAAGAAGATAATAATCAAATTCTCAAATATTCATGTGACAGATTTTCAACTTACTTATGATTCATAGTTGTGCCATTATTGAGTGGTCAGGGAGATTACTGGGTTTTTTTTTCTTCTAGGATAGAAATGCGGCATTTTGGAGTGAAAGTAAGCATTGTTGAGCATGGTTTCTTTAAGGCAGAAGATGTTAATTCAGATGCCATTGAGAAATACCTCCTCAGACTTTGGAACAGACTGACTCCTGAGATCAGGGACTCCTATGGAGAAGAATACTTAGTTGAATGTAAGTAGAAAAAGGATTGTATAAAAGCTCATAGGGGATATTATCAACATATATAAATACCTGAATTGAAGCTGTAAAGACAAAAGAGACAAGCCCTTTGTAGTGTTGTTCAGGAACAGAACTCAAGGCAAAGGGCGCACACTGAAACACAGGATGTTCCAGCTGAACATTTCAGTGTGAGGGTGACTGAGGAATAGCACAAGTTGCCCAGGGCAGTTGCGGAAACCCCCTCTTTGGAGATACTCAAAACCATCTGGATATGTCCTGTGCAGCAGGATATCTAGGACAGGTCTAGGTGACTCAGCTTAAGTAGTGGGGCTTGGTGCCAGCAGTCCCTTTCAACTTCAACCTATTTATGATTCTGTGAACATTTACTAGACATCATTAATGCTCATTAAGGACCCATCACTGACTGTTCTTCACTATGTGTATGCTTTGTTTATTGCTTATTGGCATCTGAAAAGTTAGCGCAGTGTGATACAGAACATACTGTATGGAACTTCTGGCTGATAGTATGGGACAGGGAGGTTTTTGCTTATTGGACTTGTGGGTTTCACAGCCTATATTGTCTCTGCTTTGCTGTAGCTATACTGCTCTCAGCACTTGAGGCAGTTGTTTAAAGCAAGCCTGAAGCTGCAGCCAAACCTTTGGATATAAAGAACGCTCTTGCAGAGATGTTGCATATAAATGCTTTCAGGATTATTTTTTTTTGTTTACAGATATAAAAGCCCAAAGAACATCAGTGAAAAGACTGTGTGACTATGATATTTCTAATGTCATAAAATGCATGGAACACGCCCTGATAGCAAAGTACCCCAGGACACGATACAGAGCTGGATGGGATGCAAAGTTCTTCTGGCTGTTTCTCTCCTATGCCCCAAGCTGTCTGTCTGACATGCTGTTGCGTATTACACTTCCAGTTCCAGCAGAGAGCAAGAGACCTGTTCATGGAGTTCTAATGAATGTCTAGTATTAACACAGTATCAGCTGTGCAGAAATAAATATCTACCCTATCAAAACTAGATGTCCTCTTCTTTACCACTTACTAGACTGTTAAAATTCTTTTCAGAAGACACTTTCTCCATCCCTCACCCCACCTTACCTGAAATTTTGAGTTCATAGGTAGGCTTGTAAATCCAGCACGTTTTTGAAGGCTGTTGCTCAGATATGATACCTCTATAGGATCTGCATTCATAAAATTTTCAGCTACAAACCTAATTAATACTATTCACACAAGACATGAACTCGAATAATAATAAAGTCCAGCTATTGCAGCATATTCCAGAAATTACAGTTATAGTATCTGACCCCTTGATTATTCAACTCTGCAGGAAAAAAACCACAAGCAATTTTACAGATATGCAATTCCAGGAAAAATCATAACTCAACTGCTTTATACAAACAGAATATTGAAATGCAAACTTTGTCTTCCTAATATTAGTATAGTTAATGGGGAAAATACAAAAACAATGTGTATTTGTATTTCCTTCATCCTCAGTGTTCTGCAAATTAAAATTATTATTATTTAACTTATCAGATGAAATAGGTCATTAGAGTAGGCTATAGCAAATTCTTTCAGTTGTACAGAGTCTGTTCAGAATGGCAAAATGTTAGCTGACATTACTGTGCCTTTTGTACACTATTTCTATCTCTTAATCTGTTGGCCAGAGGCTCACCAACTGGTGCTCCTAGAGATATTAAAATTGAAGGGGTAAAGGTTTTATTTGCTGAAGTGCTGTGCTGGTGATTAATCATTAATGTGCAATTCAATTAAGCTTAAAAAAATACCATGTGCAGGTCAGAACTCCAAACGAAGAAGTTTCATCACTGTGTGTGAGAGGGCATGCGTGTGTGTTTGCAATGAGCAAAAAAAGGACAGTATGTAAAAAGTGCTACTAACCTTTAAGTATTTAATTGAAATTCTATTCTCTAGCAAATGACTTCAAGAATAAATTTATTTTACTTCATTTCACAATAAATACCTGCAGAGAGAAATCTTTCTATCTGGTCTGGCAGCTCTAAAGAGAATGTACATGAAAAAATTAATAGTATAATTCATCAGCATAGTTGCAGCATACAGACAGTTGTTAAAAATCTCTAAAGGTCAGCTTTCTTTGAAACAGAATGAGTCCAAAATTTAAGACTTCAAGCAGGGACTGTCCTGATGAGGGAAAAAGAATACAAGTGAAAAATGAAGTTATCAGTATAATCTAAAACTTCTGTTGTACAAAGTACCAAAGCCTAAATTTTACATAATCAGAAGGGTACACTGATGAAAAGTACATAATCAGAAGGGTACTCAGTAGCTATGCTACTGAGAGGAGGAGTCCCAGCTGAAGCTTAGGAATCTTCACCATCAGATATGCTAAACAACTAAACCTACATACTACCTAACTGCAGAGTAACCCAGGGACTGTTTTCTTCCATATCTGAAAAGTTAAAACTATTACAGAGAAAAAAAAGTATTTCTGATACATGGTTCACATATTAGCAGTTTTCACCACACTGGTTCCAAATCTTTGACAAAAACTATTCCCAAAACTGACACTACTTATTCTCTCTTCACTACTTATTATTGGCATGCAACTGCAGGCAAGTCTTCTAGAAGAGTCAGCCCTGCCTTCTCCCTTTAAAACCCTGTGAATTCTTTCTTTAAGAACAGCACCTTGCATCTCAAATAAATCCTTACTGATGTGTCTGCTGTGTTGCAGACTCTAGGGAATTTTCTACATTAATGCACTCAGAAAAAAACTCTTTTAAAAACACATAATGTGCTTAAAAAAAAAATCAAAGCATCAGATTCTGATATCAGATATGAAAGGTAATTGAAATAAGGTTTTAATCACTTATGTCGATACTACCTTGATTGTCAGTCCCTCAATAGTAAGTTTCCTGTTTCAAGGGCCAGTTTACTGAATGTGTGTAATAGGGCAGCTTTCACACTTACAGACATACAATGTCAAAGACAGCATCTTACAGGAAGAACTTTAGACAGTTATGTGAAGCAGTAAGCACTATTCTTGTTTTACTATATCTAAAGCATTGTTGTTTTCATCTCAGAGTGCACGGAAGTCTCCATAACTGAAAAAAGTACATAGAGCCTTGACACAAATTATGGAATAGGAATATGATAAAATAATATGTTTATTAGACTTATTCAGCAGCATAATTTTCCAGTTGTCTTTTCTAATCAAAGTATGTTACAATGTAATTACAAGCATTCTAATTAGAAATAGTATATATTTTGAGAATTTATATATAAAACAATCAAAAGCAATCAAATAGCAAAAGTCTCAATCATTATAAATTCAGGAATCTTTTGTATGAGTAGCTAGCCTGGAATGCTGAAGAACATGGTCCTGTAATTGGAGTTTTCTCAAATGGTTCATGTTGTAGAAACTATCTTGGCTAATTAATAAAAGTGCTAAAAATATTAACAGTATATTCTGATAGAAGGTTAGAAGAACAACCAGATAACCACAAAGACTGCATTAGAAAAAATTGTTTCCCTTTCTATTAATATCCACCTCATGAAATAAATAGTCAATAAAATTAAATTTTCACATTTAAAAAAAACCTGAAGAATTTCTGAAATGAACCAGTATCTTTCATATTTTGCTGTTTGGAAATAAACTGTTACAGAAACCTAGCTACTTCATAGTACAAATTAGTTCCAGAGACTTCAGCCAAGAACAGAGGTATTCCATTGATGAGCAAGAGAAAAGCTCATTAAGTAGTTGTGGCACTAAAATCTAAATATATCCAGTCTTCATAGGAACACTATTAATGGAATTGTGTTAATTGGAACCTAAAGGAAAAGTATGTGTCTTATAGATTAAGAGGAAATTACATCAGGCAATTAAAATATTGTAAGAACAACATTTTGCACAGGTAACTAATCAGCATAATAATGCTGCATTGACTCTTTCATCTTTTGTTTAACACAAGATGAAGAGATACCCATTTTTATATACAGTACTATATAAAATAGGTGGCAAAGATGCCCAGAGCACCATCAGAATTTTCAAAAGGTGCTGTTATATAAGGTACACTCTAAAGACCCTGTAAATCAGTAATGTTCCTTTATGTGCCTTGTTTGGTTCTCTTTTTTTTTCAGTTTTAAGCATTTATATAATTAATTTAATTCTAAATATATGACAAATTCCATACAAATTTCTACTAGCAACATCACTGAACAAGATAATCTTAGAAAAATTTACAAATGTACAATATATTTATAACATTACTTTCAGACAGCTTCAGTGCAAAGATATACATATAGTACATCACGATAATTGTTCATAAAAATAGAAATTGGCATTTGTCAAAAAAACAAGGCATAGTTTCAATGTACGTCTCCAGCCACTGGCTAAGAGATGTAGATATTTTTATAAAGCATTTGAATGTGAACCTTAGACTTCTGTTTATAAAAAATATATGTGCAAATGGATGTGTCTAATTTTCCCTAAATGAGTTACCTAGTTACACCACAGAGTCCTCTTTAACAAGGTTGGCGGTGTCTTTAAATGTATCCTCTGTTGCCGTGTAAGCTATTGGTTGGTCTCTCTTCAGAATAATCTCGGGAGGCAGTGAAGGAGAATGGGTAGGGACATTTTCTGTGTTCTGTTGCTGCTCCTTTTCCATCTGCAACATGAAAATAAAGCCTTACATTCTAATGCACCATACATCCAACATTAGCTTTCAGAAACGGTAAATAAATATTCCTAAAGTTAAATATCATGCTATAAATTATTTCTGCAAAACACCACCTGTAACAAAATGAAATGCTAATTTCACCTTAGATAGTACAGCTGAGTAAAAACAATACTAGAAACTTACTCCATACACTAGAACTTCTACTTTAATGCTTAATGACAGGAGCAGCTGTGCCACCTGAGCTGAGCCTGCTCAACACCTCATTGTGCATGACATTTAGTAACCTCTGACAACCACTTCAGTCCCTAACCTGAACTGGAATTTCTGTGCTGTCCCACATAGCAGCAGAATCTACCAAAATTCTTTATCCTGAAAGCAAGAACAAAGTTCATCAGTACATTAGCTGAAAATAGAATTATATAATATAAACAATACCTCTGCATATATTGGGTTTTCAAAATTAGTGTTTTGTTTCTTTTTTCTCTTGAAGAAACTCCACTTTGATTCCTGAAACACAAAAATTATTAGAACACCACACATTTTTCTTGAAACTTCTCTGGAAACTGCCATTACAGTGTTGGATTCCACTTGCACTGACTGCTACCCCAGTGACTTCAGATGGATGTTCTTATATCACTATGTTGTAATTCTAAGCATGGAGCCCAAATTACTTTTTTCGTTAGATTACCAAGTTATTTCACCTAAAGAAGTATTCACAAAAGATTAGGCAACAAGAATTACTGAATTACTTCATGAAAGCCTATATTCCAGACAAGTACATCAAAAAGGAAAAAACTGTCTTGAAAACAACATAAGGGAAATCATTGAGGGACATGAAACTACAATAAATTGACTGCATCAGCCTAGCAATTCAATTTTTCTGATCTGGAGCAGAAAACAAACAAGGCAGTCTTAGAGCATTTTTATTTCCTACCGGAGGTGCATCTGCACTTTGAGAGGTTTCGTTTGGGCTGGTCCTTCCTGTGGTAGAGATCACAGAGGAATACACAGGATTTTCAAAATTTTCATTCTCCTCACTTCCAGCTGCTGCTACCTGCAGGAGAAGAAAGAAAATCAACATTCTTCAAAGAAGAAAAGGTGGACATAAGGGAAAATGAAAGGTAAAAGTCAAGCAAAAATTTATCTTACAAGTGTTGGCCGAATGACTGTAACTGCTCCAGCTGAGCTGGCTCCACTATCTCTGGTTGTATACATTGGATTTTCAAATGTGATTGGTTGTTTCCCCGACTCCACTGCAAAGTTTTCATTCTGTGGAGGAAAAAAACCAACAACTACAGTGCAATAAACACCTCCATACTCCTAGGAATTAATATGTAATCAAACTCTACATTTTGAGAACACATGTTTACTTTCACATAGGCTTAGACAAAACCTTTATCTATTAAAATCACAACATCAATTTACTTCTACTCCCTGACTTGGCAGTTTGGATTACTGATTGTTCCAATATTATCCCATTTTCTGGATGGACAAAAATCCCCACACACATTTTAATACTTGATTCAAAGTATCTTATGATGAGGAAAGATGACTTTCACAAATCATCCCTTCAACAGGGAAAAGATATCAAAGGAAAAAAATCCAAATAAATGTTTTAATTTAGAGACTTCAACATGACATACAAATTAATAAGCAGTAACTGATATACAAAATAATAGGATTCATTCATTTTGTCCCAGCAAGGAGATTACTGTATTTTTTGAGACAAAGCAGTGTGTCCCCTCAGTTATGTCAGATGGGTTACAGCAGGTAGGAGGATAATGAAAACCAAACCCCATCCAGATGCACTTGTCCTGCTCTTTGACACAGCTTCATGACAGAACCAGCAAGGAATAGCACAGGAACAGTACAGCACCTAATTCCTTAAACCTGCTTCATTTTCATAAACCACTGCTTCATGCACAATGGACTCATGCTTTTTGCTACCAGAATATGGCTTTTTAGAACACAGTAAACTCTTGTCAGCTCCCTCAAACTAGATTGACTAAGAATAGCCTCACAGAAAAATATTCAACATCTACTCAAGCATATATGATGTTAAAATTTTAGGAGGCACATGCCACAGTTCTTCACTGCTGCACACTAAACCCTTTGAATCCTTTCCCAGTGAACATAACATTTTTTTTGTTTATACTCTGATTACATAGGGAGAACCAACACCACATATGTAGAGATAGTCTGTATCCAGATCTGTTATTGGCAACGTATTAACTGCATTGCTTGAGCTTTAGTATGTCAATATCAAGCCAGAAAATGTCAAGTACAGCCAAGTTTTTTGTGCATGAAGAAGATTTGGGGTAATATACAAGCCTAAAGCTATTTTTCTAGTATTTGCCAAAATGCTCATGTGGATGTTTTGTTACACAAGCTGCCTAATTTTAACAATTACTGTGTTTCTTCATCTAGACAAAGGTCATACTAGGAGGTTATCTTCTTTAGCTGTTTCATTTCATATCTATTCACCATCAGTTTAGGGAGTTTCCACCTTATACTTGGCAGCAAGTGCTTACTATTCAAACATATCCATGATCTGTTTCCTAAAAGTAAAAGTCATTTGTACATTGTACTTCTTATGGTAAATGGGAATAACACAGGAATCTGCTGTTTCTCAGATGTGTATAACAAAATATGGATGAAGTAGAGTTACACTTTATGATGTCCCCATAACTGTTAAACGTTATTTGTTTAAACTTTATAAATTAAGAAATTTCCAAATCTATACTGTATTGCATAAAATAGTAAATAGTGGTTAGGAGTGAGTTTTACCTCCGAATGCTCTAACATACCATCTGGTTTTGAAAACTACACATTTTAAACTGTTCTATGGAGCACAAAGGTCCCAAAAAATTCCATGTTACAATGCTGTCATTTGTCTACTCATTCTCTTTATATCCCATGAACGTACTAAAGACAAAAGAGGATAATTTACTTCATTTATGCTGTATAAATCTTGGAAAATTGCACATTATTTTAAAGAACATTGTATATTTGTCCTTGCCTTCAAATTACGAAAATCTATTTCAGGAAACTATCAATCATTATTCACTTCTTTTTCTAGAACACATTTATCATCCCACTATCATTTTATATATAAAAGGCTTCCTTCTATAAGCTACTAATTACATTAAAGAAGACAATTTAAAAAATTATTTGAGAGCTAAACCTTACCATTTGCATTGCTCTGTCTATAGCAGAATCTCCCCTAAAGCCAGAGACTCCTATGTCCATAGTCACATCTGCTCCAGATCGGAAAGTTACCCCATTGCCATTTTCATTAGATTTTACAAGACTGCTTAAACTATGAAAAACCAAAACAAACAAATAAAAATAAAACAAAAGTAGAAGAGATTACACAGAAAGAGAGTATATAATACATGTTTTTTACTTGCTCTTCTAAGCATAATTATCATTTTTAATTTTGGCAAGCTAGCATCAGAAGTTGTTCTGATCAGAAGTTCATCTCAAATACCTTTGTGTGGTCATGTAGACATCAAATGATGTCAATGAAATAAAATTTCACAAAATGTACCTATATTTTGACCACTCTTACTTCAGTGCTCATTTAAAGACAAATGCATGGACTCAGTTATACACACGGATCTACTCAGTAACAAAGGATGACAATAATGATCAGCTATGGTATTGCTTGGAATGAAAAATTCACTGGAGTTTCTGCAACACTGCACTGCCCATATTCTACAAGAATGGGCACACAGCAAAAAAAAAAAAGATTTTTCAGAAATACTTAGAAACAAATATACATTTCCAATTCATATGTTCACAGCCATTCCTGTTCTGAAAGTCTTCAAAACATACCTTGGTAGTTTGGGAAGCGCTGGTAAAAGGGAGCCTGTTCGTCTGTAGTTAAAAAAGCCTCCAACTGCTAACACTCCAATTATTATGATTAGTATGACTGTCAGCAACACTGCTACTGCTGCTGTCAAAGACAGAAGTATAAGAAAACATTCAAGCAAGCATAGTTCAGTGCAAAAAAAAGAGCCCAGAGAATTAGAAGCCTGACCCTGAACAGGTATCACGGTGAGGTATTACACATTCTTTAGCTCAAATGTCAAGTGCAATATATTCTTGAAGCTTACTTGTTCCAGGAGGGACTCCTTTTGACAATCCTATTTCACAATAATTCCCAGTGTATCCATAAGAACATCTGTAAATGTAAGAAGGATAGCTGACTGAATGCTTTTATTAAGTTTGAGATCTCAGCTTTATGATTATATTGTGAAATGTTTATCTACAACCCAGAAATTTTAACTCCATGCACAATAATTATATATTGCACTGACTATATGTAAATATATTATGTCTCCTATATTCAGAGAACTAAAAGTGAAAATAAAAAGTGCTGAGTCAGAAGATCTGGTTTCAGTGGAGCATTGGTGGCACCTGCTGGCTGTTCCAAGCTACAGTTATTGAGAGTTACTTTTCCATTGTTATAATTTTGGGGTATAGCATTTTATTAGAATCTTCAGAGGTTTGCCTTTTTTAGTTTTTGGTTTTGTTTTTGGTTTTGTTTGGGCTTTTTCCCCCCAAACTGATACATTTACATTACTTATTGGTTGATATTTTTATGCATATGTTTTTTCACAGTTGTTATAAAAATGCTACTGCAGATGCATGACACCTTCTGAAGTGTTTCCAACCAATTTCAGAGTTTAATTTTTTCCTGAGACTAAACCAGCACAGTCTGAATGAGGACTACCCTAACAACATACAGACTTACTTGCATTTGGGAAGACTGCTTTCATCTATATAGCATGTTCCACCATTCATGCACCTGCAAGCTGGTGGCATTGTGGGAGGGGATTCAATAGCTGCAAAATTCAGAAGCCATATATGCATTATCAAGACATCTTCAACAGACAAAATAATATCAATAATGCATTTTCTTTGTCTCTATAGATCTTGCATATGAAAACTCACAGGCTGCTTTTCAGAATTTTTTGGTTTTGATAGCACATGTGCTTGCTGCTATTTTTTTCTCCAAATTGGCTTAAATTAATTGAAGCAAAACCTCTTCTCAGAACATAACAACTTCGTAGAGTGTAGGCACAGTCAGCTCAAGAGCTGTGTGTCTGCTCACTTTCTTTTTGTCACACAATACAGCCCAACACCCTTCTAACCTCTGCATTCAGAAAGCACCAATGCTTTCTCTCTTTTGTCCAGGCCCTTCCATTCTACCAGCAGGAAGTTGTACAGAGAAGGCTAAACTGGAATGCAATTACTTATGAAGAAAAGCAATGGATAGATATACACATAGAGTAAGAGCGTTATTCTAATGCTGAATCAAATGGGGGAAAATAATCATACTAGTATTCAGTAAGAGCTCTGGATATCCTGTCAGAAAAGTGTACTTAACAAGGAAAAGCCCTGGATCTGAGCCATTATTATAGGCTATAGACTGAGGATGGACATAGATCATAGTATTTTGTCACAAAATTTTTATCAGCCAGAGGAAGGAAGTATGTTGCTACAATGTTTCTTACAGGTAAAACACCCTTCAAGTAAATGGGGCACAAAAACCAGGAAAGGCAGAGGTTATACAGGCTGTCTCTCAGTAGCTGCAATAGAACCAAATAAACTAAATATATGTACAAAAGCTGTTTGGTCACCACACAAGCACAGTTTTCTTAATTCCCAAACATTCTATATATATATATACACATATATATACATATATATATAGTAGTGTGAGTAAAGAATATCAAATTCAGTGTCCCCAGAGCAATAAGCAACCATTAGCAAATGCAATCAAACACAGTTATTGATCCCTAATTTAAATATAATTTAAATACATATTGCATACATTCATTCACTATTACATATTATCATAACCTCAAATTCAGTGTCCCCAGAATAATAAGCAGCCATTAGCAAATGCAATCAACACACTTATTGATACCGAATCTAAATACATATTGCATACATTCATTCACTATTACATATTACTATCACCTCTTTCTGCAGATCCCATGGCAATAGGAACAAACACTAATAATTATTAAGAAAAATGTAATTTAGAGGTAAGGCAGGGTAAAATTGATGCCATTTTCTCTTTCAGTGCAATTAGAATATAATTCAGAGAAGATTAACCATAGGAAAGATGCTACAAATCATAATACAATAAAGATATGTTACAAGGACAAGTACGAGAACATCTGGCTACCACCCACACCACTGAAAGGTAAAGTGGGAGAAATAGAAATTCTGCAGTGATATTTTCACTATTTTCAGTGAAGGCTGAGAAATTCTATTTGATTTGTGCTCCTGGAAGCTCTGTGAGGGTTTTTGCTACAATGCAACAACGAAGCATGAAATTCTAGTGCCTAAAAGGCTTTCCAGATTATAATTATCCAGAAGTTATCTCCATCCACAATCTTGCATTCTGTAAACTTTAAGTTTCTATGACACTGATTAAGCAAGAGATTTTACAGAATTGTAAATAAAATTGTTAACATTACTTTGTCAGAAATTCTTGGTTCTGAAATCAAGGCATTCTTAAAAAAATATTTTGGTATTTTAAAACAAAAATCAGAAAGTGTGACCAGTTTTGTAACTGGGTCTTCTCTGGTTGGACTGACAGACGTATATCCATTTTACAAATAGCATGCAAAGACATTAAAGAAAACATACAAGATGACCACAAATCAGTGATGACCAAGAATAAAAGCCAGATATTCTGACTTACCAATATCTATTACATCAGTTAGCTTATCTTTCCATACTTCTAATTCAGTAATGCATTTGTATTCCTAAAGAAAAGCTTCTGTTGCTTTCATTTCCAGTTTGACAAATTATTCTACCTGCATCACAGTCCGTGCTGCTGCCTTCTAGGAACCGAGTCCCTTGAGGACATGAGCAGGTGTATCCTCCTGGTCTCAGCAAGCAGAGGTGGCTGCAGACATCTTTACAAGGATTAGGCACTGAAAAAGTAATAAAGTGATAAAAATTTGAAGAAGCAATGCAGCATATTCCTGAGGTAAGGCAGCGCAATTCCATAGTCAATTGTGTCAACAAACCACATTTTCTCTCTGCCTTTCCTTACACCCTTACATTCTAAAGGGAGTGATAATGGCTGCTGAGAGCCCATATAGCACCAGGAACAAACCACTCCAAGTATTAAATGACCAGCACTTTACCAGGATAAATATATATTATGACTGTCCTCATGAGGGAGGGGGAAAAGAGAAATGACAGGGTCATTTTCAGAGACTCAAAAGACCTGTGTATTATGTTCCACTGTTGATTTCATTTTGGGTGTGCAGAAAATACTTGTCAGTCTCTATTTAATTTTTAGGTTTTCAGAAACTAATATTATCATTTACTAATAGACATGTTATCAAAAGTTTACTAAGCTCTTTGCAGACATCAATACCAACTTCAGTTTCATAGCAGGAAATGGCTTACTGGGATCCTGATTACCCACCTGATTGATTGTATCTGTGCTGGTGATAGATGCGCACTTGGGTAAGCCATGGATTTACGGTCAGCACTTTCACTTTTTCTCCACTTCCAAATTTATCCTTCTTCCAGACTTCTCCTCGTTCTTTAGCTATCCAATATAAATGGCCTTCAAAGACATCAAGGCTGTATGGACTGCCTACTTCTCAAAGGAACCAAATAACAGACTGTAAGCAAGCAAATCTCCAGTAAAACAGACAAAACTTCTGTTCTTCAGCTTAAATACATGATTTATTGCTTTCATTTTAAGACACATGCCATCATATATTTATATCCTCATGTGCCAGACCTCTTCATGTCTCAGTGTCCACACGGACGATACTGATTAATAGTAACCATAAAAAAGCAAGAATCTAGTTTTCCACATTGTTTCCTATTTGGGTCACAAACTCCACTCTGGGAGTCCAGTTACCAGACATCCCTGAGCCTGATGTGTCATTGATCATTTTATAAAGGAGAAACTACTATCAAGACTTACTGTTTGAAAAGCTCCCAAATGTAGCCCCACTTGTGAAGCCCAAGTGCTTGTTAGCACACACCTTGCTTACTATTAATTGCATAGTACATTCTTACCTCCATGTAGTACAACGGTTCTGTCTGTCCCATCAGGTTTCATGGATTCAATTATGTTTTCTTTAGAATCACTCCAATAGATCCTATCATTGTTCAAATAATCAATAGAAAGTCCAGTTGGCCAGCCAAGGTCTTCCGAGACCAGCATTTGTCTCTGTTGTCCATCCATCCAGGCACATTCAATCTTTGGTTGCCTTCCCCAGTCAGTCCAATACATGAGCCTAAAAGGACAGAATGAGAAATGGATACAGTTCAGAATTTGGTCACTTTGGAGTATCCTTTGGAGTTTCATGGAAAAGGTCAGCAATGGTAAAAAAAGCTGTTCAGCAACTTATGTTTTACTGATGTGACTGGGACGGTCACAGAGATCTCACTGAAAAATAAATACCAAAAAAACATCCATCAGTCACAATAAAGCTGTAGCATCCATGTCACTTCACGGAGTTATGCTGCTGTACTCCAACTGAGAGAAGCACATACCAAAATATCTCATGATCTACCATTTAATCCAAATTGCAGCAAGCCCAGCTATTGAATCTACAAGTGCATTTACATTGCTTTCCCCCATGGAGGAGGCTATGACTGTCCTGCTTGGAGCTGGTGAACAGACACTCTCATCTATTTCCCTATTTCAATAGTAACAGAAATTTGCTGGGCACATAATAATGTAGAAAAGCGATTTTTATTTGAACCATCTGGCCTTATCACCAACACAAGCATCCATGTTAAAGCTAACCCTAAAATGCTTTCTCATGCTCACAAATGTTGCAATGTTAGTAAAAGGAAGTTCCAGAAAACATTCCCTTAGTCTTTCCTGAAAAATTTACCACAGTGGGGTTTTTTTGTTTCAGATAGTTTTGAAAATAATTCTGGTAAAACCTGCAATACTCACCCACGTTTTGGATTGACAGCAATAGCTGCTGGTTGATCGAGGTGAGAAAAAATAAGCCATTTTCTATATCGTCCATCTAATTTTGCCACCTCTATGCGATTAGTCCCTGAATCAGTCCAGTAAAGATGTCTGAATTACATAAAACAAAACATTCCAAAAGTAAATAGTTTATACTTGGAAGAGGAATAAAAAAAAAACTTAAGAAGAAACTCTAGCAAACTTGAAGAAAATTAATATAATGAACCTGCACTGATTATTGAACTTGTATAGAATATACAAACCCTTAATATAGGTAAATTTAGCAAATGTCTATGATCTGTTGGCTCACTTGTTTTTTTCCTGTGAAAAAGTTTCTGCAGCTACCTCTGGTCCCTGTCAAATAATCATCACAAAGGGGCTACTGAAAACTTTCATTGTTACTTTTAAGCAGCAGAAGTGGCTAATAAGCATCTTTAAAGACTCTTGTTTTTCAGGAGAAGCTGATGTTCATTACAAGTAAAAATTAATTAACCATGTAATTTATGCAGCAGCTCTGGAGATATGCAGCTTATTAGTTCACAGCTCCTCTCTAGACTTTTGTCTTCTGACAGAGATACTAATGAATAAATTGTTCCCACATCAGATGAAAATGCTTTTAGTCCTAATAAACAGGGTGCTCAGTCTACTCTTCCTTGAATTTTGTTTGTCTTTATCATCATGCCTTTATAATTTTTTGACCTTAGATAATAAACAAACTCATTATTATGCACTCACTAATCACACAGTGCCTTCTGCTTGAATAAATTATCTCCTAGCTGGCCTGGGAATGTGAAAAAATACTGTAATTTCTATTTGGCAGATGAGCAGCAAGACTAAGTGTCTCAAACCATGTGTAGCATTTTATATAATGTGCAGATAATGAAATGTTTTTTAAAATACCTTTCAACATTGTTCTGAAATCAGTGCAGCACTATGTTTGAAGTGCTGAAGTTGCTCACCAAGATGAAGTTGAAGCCTCACAAGGATGCTTGTGATATATATCCTGGATGCTTGCTCTCATGACCATATAAATTTCTGAACAGAATTCACACACTCCCTTTTCGCCTTCAGAGACATTTTGTTTTCTAGGTGCCTCCAGCTTATGAAGCAAACAGCAAAATAACCTGAGGGCTAGCCCAGACCCTAAAATTTATATCTCTAAACTGCTGGAAGGAAAGATACAATTTTTCACTCCTTCTCATCATTTTGTATCCAAAATCTGGCAATAGCATTCAGAAGGTTGACTAATCTCTGTAATTTCTGCCCACTCAGCTTCAAACAGAACCCTGACTACATTTCATAGTGTTCATCTACAAACATCAGGTTCCTCTCAACATTAATACCACATGAGCTACAGCTATGCCTGTCCATCACATCCTTTAACAGTTATATTGCAAGATGAAATGACACCATAAACATCAAACTCCCATGAGTCAGGCCCAACTTTGTCCCAGCTCTTCTCCAAGCTAGTAAAAAAGAGAGTGATCTCATGATTTCTATGATTAAATTAAAAAAATTAATCATAGAAAATTAATCATTAGCCCATGTTTTAGGCTAAAAAAATCCACAGTCAGTAGAAGAGACAAAGACCTCTGAAACACACTTACAAAAACCTAACCATTTTCTGAGAAAATGCATCTATTCATCAAACTTCAGAGCTACTTCTGTTTTGGGGTTGCTCATATAGCACAGGGTTGGTAAGGAATGGGCAAAGATAAATATAAAATTCCACTGTGGGTTGGGGATCTTTCCTTCCAACAGCAAAGAAAACTTGGTCCCTGGAGCGTACCTGAGTCATTGAAGAAGAATCCACCTGACATGGACGCTCATGTATTATTTCTTTACTGATGAACAACTGATCTGGCAGTCGCACAGAATATGTGATGCAATCAGCCACATGCACATCTATTAACCTGCTGTCTGGGCAAGGACAGCTTACTACATTGTTCTGAACTACCTTCAGACTAGACATATTCAGAGACAATTCATAAGGAAGAAAAAAGTGGATTTTGCACAGCCAGATCAAATTCACAAACTGACACATTGAAGGTACAGCATTTTTCTAGTTTTTCAGTATACTTACCTTCCAACCCAGTCAACAGCTAACCCATCAGGATTAACTATATATTTGAGATTCAAGTCAACTTCCTTTGTTGGATTGTTCCTACTGCTGTCAAATGTGGGGAGATAAGCACGTTTGATGGCTCCAAACTCAGAACCTTGTCCCAGAATGCTGAAGTACACAATACCTTAAAAAAAAGATGAGAAATGTCTAGTTAATTGTAAATTTGTTGAAAATTCCAATTTTTCTGAGGCTCTTATATGAAGTTACCAGCCCCATTTATTTATGAGTAAGGTTGTGTTAGTGTGTAAATTTTAAAGTCATCCATCATATGCAAGATACACATCTAAAGTCATCCTGAGCTAGATTATGAAGGAATATATATCACATTTTTCAAGAGCAGATCTTAGCTCTGAAAACTTTACACATGACTTTGAGAGAAATTCAGACTCTCATAACCCTAGGGAATAAGTATGGCCCAGAACAGTGGCCCTGTGGAAATAGCAAAAAAAGGGAACCTGAGGAAGAAGCAGAAATATAAGTTAATACAGGGATGTATTGGTCATTCCTGCTTAGTTTAAGTTCTTGCAAGACTTGGGCCAGGTTTGGGAACTGCAGAGGCTTCTATTGCAGCATAATCCTAAAGAGCCACAATTCTACAGCTAAATTCAAACTAAAATGAAAGGCAAACCAGATCAAAATCCAGCTAAACTAAATTAAAGCTTCAAAAGAAACCACAGTGATGCTGGAGAATGAGTAGAGGGGAGGGGTACATTCAACAGAGACCTGGCCAGTTGATCTAATTTGATTTTGCTTTCCAGTGTAAATTAAACAGCCATGCTGCAGAAATGCATCTTTTTAAACCAGCCATTGCATGGCTGACTATTAGCATACTCACTCAAGCCCATCCCTTCAGGGTCCCAGTCATAATCCAGAGCTTGGATGCGCTCCTGGTTATCAATATAGTCAGAGTACTGCTCTGATGAGATATTGTACCTTCGAATCCGCACATTATCTGGCAGCAGTAACAGTGGAGGATTACCTGGTAAACAATCATGAATTTATTCTAATGTATTTCTCATTTTAGAAAAAACAGATGAAAGTCATTTCTAATTAAAACTAAATGGGATTTTCACATGTTGCATTTGTACAAGAAGCAGAGGGAACCTAGGGCCTCTTCTAAAGCTTCAGAGCTATTCAAACTTCATGGCTTCCCAAAATTCATAAAAATTGAAATGTTTACCACTGAGGGTAGTATTAGCCCTTTCATCATAGACCTTGAATAGAGGTCTTACAATTCCTTAAAAATTTTTAAACATTACATTGTTGGCATATCACCACATCTCAAAACCAGAATGCCACTACACACTACGTGGTTCCACTCTCCCCCTCAAAGTACAGCAAACTATTTTGAAAATACAAATAAATCGTCAATCCCTTAAGCCATAATATGTCCAAGTTCTACCTTATAGTTTGTGACTTCTAATATCTCCATATTCAGATTAATGTTCTCATGGCCTCAATGTAATTTTGGGTTAGCCTGATAACATCTCATCAGGCCCTCATTTATGAGGTCTGTGAGATTGTATGACAAAGAAGGTCAGAGTTCTACTCTACAGAAATAGGACGTAGGCACAACAAATTTCATTGTTACCAGCTACAATTATATTATCTTCTATCACTTAGCCTTCAACACTCTGTGTGTCTAGATGAACAAAATCTGTGAAGAAGGTTATCAAAGAACTGGATTTCTGACACAGACACAAACAGGCAGCCAAGCAGAAACTGAAGTGTAAACGTCCTTTGCATTTTCAGGCTAACACTCAGCAGTAAACATTTGCTGAACTAGGCCCCTGGATGGGCAACCTGGAGACCTCATTTTCTTGTAGTATTTTTCATATTACAAATAATTTCTAAGTTTCAAAACCTCCAGTAGCATGTAGGTTTGGTCACAGGCATTCTGTTCTGAAGATTTTACCATTTGACTAGGCATACCATATTTCTATCATTTAGCTCTTAAAGCTGCTAAAGTGTAACTACTTTTCTATATACAGTACTGCTTTTGGTTTTTATATAACACTGCTCCATTGTCACTTTTTTCTATTACCTTCATCTCTTTATTTTTATTATTAATGATCTATTACTATAATTTTCTGAGTCTCCTCTACCTATTCAAGGACTGCCACACATGGTAGTCACTGCATTGAAGTATGATAAAAAGTCAATGACTGATTTGAAACATTGGCCAAAGTCCTTCTGTTTGTGTGCATCAGTCCATGAACAATGAATGGCAGCCTGTCATTGAACTGCCTTTGATTTATGCCAGTTGAATGCAACTTTTTTCAGATGCATTATTTTGCTGAAAAAATCTAAACTTCAGGAATAGGAAACATTAATTTCCTTCTGACAACAGGTTTTTGTTTGCAGAAAATTTCAGGAGAAATGAAGGCAGGCATACAAATCAAGGTATCATTTCAAATGTTTACAATTGGAAACAGAAATGAGCACTTTCGTTCCTAATTATGGAATAGGTGGAATACACAGATAGTATTATCTTACAGAATAAGGTTTGGCTTTCATTATCCTCTTCTTATAAAAGACAGGATTACATTCATGAAGTTGCTATATTGCATTTGCTCTTTATAGGTTGCAGTCAATCTCACTATCAGTTAACATACCATCAGCTGCACACTGTTTCCCTTGTTGATCACCCACAGACTTGAAGCCATCTGCACAGAAACATTCATAGCTTCCTTTGGAATTCTTGCAGTCCTGGGTGCATGTTCCAAAGATCTCACACTCATTGATATCTAGACATAAGAAGATAAAAGATCCCTAAAACTTGATTTATTTCTTGTTTAGTCTTTAGGAGTCTCAGGGGTGACCTCATCACTCTATTCCCTGAAGGGAGGCTGTAGTGAGGTGGGGGCCAGACTCTTTTATGCTGCCTGCAGTGAGAGGAGCTGAGGAAATAGCCTTGAGACAGGGGAAATTCAGATTAGATATTAGAAAAAAAAATTTCACTCTTGGGTGGTCAGGCATCAGAGCAGGCTGCCCAGGGAGGTGGGAGAGTCATCTTCCCTGGAGGTGTCTCAGAGGCATCCACATCTGGTGCTGGGTAACTGTTTAGTGATTTAGGGGTTACAGTGGTGGTGCTGGGTTGATGGTTGGACTGCATATTCTTAAAGACCTCTTCCAACCTTGATGCTGGTCATCTTTACTCCATGAAATGGTAGGTTTTTGCCTTCCCCACATACTTTAAAAGACCAGTGACCTGATCTAAGTGACCCTTAAAATCAGCAGCTGTTATCAAACAGAACTCCTCATCACTCATCTGCTGTTTACCATGTCTTAACTACAGATTGCCATTAATTACCGCAATCCTGCTTAACAGGTTTTATTCTCAGAGATGCATTTTTGATCATGTATTTTTGTGTTGAATCAATAAGGAAAGATGAGGTATGACGAAAATGAGATGCAAAAGCAAAGCTTTCTTGAAATGACAAGACACATAGTCCTCAGAAACAATATCAGCAGGCAGGAAAGGGAGGAGTGGCCTTGGATTGTGTTTAATAAAGCTACACAAATTATCCACAGCAGCTGGGAGAACTAAACAGACGGGTTCTCATGAAAACATACTGAAACACCAAGTGGGAAGGTACTATATCGCATGACCACAAACCATGGCCTTTGAGTAGACTCCTCACCACATCTTATCTGCATAAAATTCAGGACAAAAATATGGCACAACACACCTTTCCTGTAGGTCTGTTCGAGAACAGAACAGAAGGAGAGTATAACCTGCAATAAGTTTGTTTTCAATAAGGAAAAAAAAACCTATCACATTTCTATCACTCAGATTGCACAGATATGACAAAACTTATGTGCTGTAAAACAAAAACATATCTACCAGCCACCAAAAGCTTAAAGGAAGTCTTAACTGTGGAGGCAATTTTTTGTTGAATGAGGAGGCATACATGTTAGAAAACATGATTCAGCAGCAGACCATTTTAGGAAGCATCTGATAAATGTATAAAAATCCTGCTAGAATGTGAAAATGAGTGATCACATTAGAATGATGAAGGGACAGGTCACTGAACACTTGTGAGACAACATTTTTAAGATTAGAAATACCTTCACAGGAGTTGCGATTAGTTTCACTGGCCTTGTACCCTGGCCTACAGGAACAGATAAAGCCTCCTTCATTCAGATTGGTACAGTTGTGTTCACAGATATTTTCTGCACAAGTTCGCTCTGTTCCAGGATCTGAAAGAACAAAAAAGAAAGCAAGCAAATAATACAATTATAGCCAAAAAATGAAGTGATAAGGGGGAGGTATAATAATTTTGATTATTGTTACAATTAAAAATAGTTTTCAGATAGATTAAGTTAGTTTGCTTTCTTTTTTTCCTAATTAAGATTAGAAGACAATGGTAACCAGTGGTTAAGAGAGCTGTCAATTAGTGGAGAGAGTCAGGAAAAGAGCCATAATCACCAAAGCACACCTTCCTTAACAGAAATTACATTCTAAAGTACCACCAAACTGCAGAAACTGCAGAACTTAAAAGATTTGGATCTAATGCCTAACTTTGACAACAGGGCACATTCTTATCCAGTGCTTTCTTAACAGCTGAACAAGAAATATTCTCAATTGACATCATGCATAATACAGGCTCTACATTATTAACATCTGGAAACTAGAGAGAAGGTGATATGTAGTTCATGCCAAACCAAATCTAAAGTCTACTGCAGTCAGTACAGGTCATCGTACAGAAAGCACTGCCCTTTAAAACATTCCTATAATGGAAAAGCCAAGTCAGGGATAATAGTCTGTAACAGATAATGAAAATTACACATGTCTGAAAGTACATATAGAATTCTATTGGTTCATATATACTCTATATATGCATAAACTACTTGAGTACAAATGCAAATCTGTTATATAATCAGAAAAGATAAATAGTATGCTCATTGAAAGATCATGAGGAAAAGATACAGATATAGGGCAAAAACTTTACATTAAGTTGATTATCTCCTTTTTACATATGCATTCAAGTGCTGATTAAATTTAAACAGCTCAATTTCATACACATGTAGAAGTATAAATTCGTTGTACACATACACACACAAATATTCCACTTTCATTATAACAGGTATTTGATGTTGGAAAGGCTCCAAATGCTACTATCTGATCCGTATTCACAATTATCCCCAAAGAGCTGAACACAGACATCAGAAGGTGTCTGTTTCACACTGCTTCATTGCCTTTTTATACTTCTATATTTTCATCGAGTCATTGCATTGGGCTATATTACCTAAAGACCACTGGGATGGAAGTTGCCTGTTTCACACTGCTTCATTGCCCTTTTATACTTCTATATGTTCATCGTATCATTGCATTGGGCTATATTACCTAAAGACCACTGGGATGGAAGTTGCCTGTTTCACACTGCTTCATTGCCCTTTTATACTTCTATATGTTCATCGTATCATTGCATTGGGCTATATTACCTAAGACCACTGGGATGGTAATTGAAACAGAGAAATCAGCTGCTTCAAAATGGACTACACTATAGGCTTCCAAGTTATTTGTGTTTTGGAAGTCTGCTGGATTGTAAATCACCAGTGTAGCATCTGGCACACTTTCACTTGATGCCATCACAGCCTGACAAATTGAAATTACAAGTGTATGCTCATATTAACAACTCTGCAGCTGTATGCTCATGTTACCACTCTGTATATTACCACTCTGCATCTTTTTATTGACATAAAAAGTTAGGGATTTGGTTTGAGTTTTTTTGAGATTCATGGAATACCTCTCATCTCAAAGTTCAACTCAAAGGTTTTACATTTAAATAGTTGCTGGGAAATATATAATAAGTAGTTCATAAAAGCTGTATGGAGAATCTGAGGGGGCCAACAGACAAAGGACTAGTGGTGCTTGGAAAATTCTGTGGTCATTTCTGTAAAAAGGATAAAGAAGCATCTCAATATATTTTTATTTTTAACAGGGCTAGAGCAACATATATCAGTTCAGAGTCTGCCCACTAATGACTCCATAGGTCAGTCTATTGCAATTATGGTTGAAGTAGATGGATGTTCTTGCCTCTGTAACACAACCTATTTAAAAACAAGATCAAAACCAAGATAAAATATTTTATTTTTTTGTGATGCATAAACACTCTAAGATAAAAAAGACTGTGTTCAGAGCACTGAATTTCATGGAATAATGGAATCATTCAAGCTGGAAAAGGTCTTTAAGATCAACAGGTTGTACTATAAACCAAGAGCCACTAAGCCATGTCTCTAAGCAGCACATCTATACGTTTTTGGAAGACATTTACAAAAAATGAAAACGGAAAAGAATTAAAACAAAATAAACTAAAATAATGAAAAAATGAAAACAGTAAATATTGTCCTTGCTAACTAGATAATCCTAGAACAGGCTTATTAAAAAACAGTAAGGAAATTCACACAGGCTACTTAAAAAACAATACTTCTTAGTATGGTATTCAAGAAAAAATATTCATTGCTTTCAGTTTCAGAAATATCTATTTCAACAGCATTGTAATTTTGTATTTCATTGATATTATTACTTACTGCAGCCTATTTCATCAAAATGGTCTCCACAGTCATCGTAATTGTCACAGACATAATGTAGGGGAATGCAATTTCCATTACTGCACTTGAATTCTTCAGTTTTACAAGGTCTTGGTGTTGGCTCTCTACCTACAATCAAGAAGAGAAATATTCCTCTGTCACAGTTTAAACTACGAGGTACCAACCAACAGCCGTATTCCCCATTGCTAATGGGGAAGTTGATGCCATCTGGTAAAACAGTGGCAAGACTACTTTAGAAGTCTGTATAAAGTAAAAACCATAACCAGGATGCAACATCATGGTTTCTAGTCACACTTCCATAAACTGAAAGAAGTCCTGCTGTTTTATAAAAAAAGACAGAAGGAAAATTCTTCTGTTAATAGTTAACAGTAGACTAAACTTTCCTTTTAATAGTGCAAACTTACGAATATCCTTTAATGATATACTTCATATACCTAGTGCAGACTTCAAGAAATTATAGAGATAGTAGTAAACTATTAGCATTTAGAATATTGTACAATAAAGCCAGCCTATAAAATCATTAAGCAACCAAAAATATGATGACACTTTAAAATGTACAGCACAGTCAGCGAAAACGATGTAAGATATCTGAGGGCAAAAACTTAGTGAACATTAACAGAGCTGCTGCAGGGTCTAGGCCTAAATATCACGACTGTTAATATGTGCCTCAACTTCAGGAAGTATTACCATTTGTTTATTTTAAAAGTCCCACCTGGCCATCCCATCCAATTTTATGATACAGCCAAACTCTTTCCTCTTCCTCCTTTTAGGTACAGTCCATAATAAAATGAGCAAATATGTAGCTGGTGCTTATAATAAAATCTAGTATTGTTTTGAAAATCATGCTCTTTACTTTTCAGACAAATGTTTGACTATTTTTGCTACTTGTACAGAGAGCTATAAACACATAGTACCAATAACCATAGTTAAAATTATTTCACAGTGAGCTCTTGTTTTCATTATCTAAGGTAAACTGTGACATCCCTTTGGTATTATTAATTATTAAGCACATCAAAATTACTGAATTTCATGCTCAATTTTTATAAACGTACAGTGCTCCTCTTTCTCGTCACTTCCATCTCCACAGTCATCCTCCTGGTTGCACAGCTCATGACTGTATATACAGCGATTGTTCTCACACCGGAAACGGAACGGAGATTCACAAGCAATATCCACTAAAAGCATAGAGGTCAATCAGTCACACTTTGATACTTTAGGCCATTGGGTCACAAATTATTCATATCACTTTACTCTTGGAATATTTTATATGTTTTGTATATTTCAAAAGGTGAGTCAGACAAAAAATATTTTCTGAATATTTTGGTGATTGTATGTTAGGATGTTACATGTTTTTTTTATCAGAACACAGTACCTCATCTTTGGCCAAAGACAAATTCTTTAACTACATATAAAACTGAGGTTTCTAAATTTGTTTATGAAGAAAATTGACTGGAAATCCAACATACTATTTAAGTACATAACTGACAAAACCAGTTTAAGTAGTACCTCCAACACCTAATTATTAGACCTCAAGTCAGGACTTCTCAGTCATATTTACAAAGATGTCCTGACAACACTAATAGTTTTGAAAGTTCAGCACCTGTGACAATATACATTATCTGAATTAATCTTTTATTTCAAGCTGAGGTTCTTATTTGTGATAACCAACTTAAAAAACATTAAATAGTGACCTTATCTCTCTGATATGTTTCCTCTCTCTGCTTTCATAACCACATACACAAACATCTGCAAAGTGGTGAGAAATATTGTCACAGAATTAAATGAACATGCATGTAAAGCAAAATTCTTAGCACTTCTCCCAAGTAATTACAATTTATTTTCTAATTGATCTATCATATGTAGAGATTAAGCATATTGTTCATTTTAATATAATTCCTCTCTCTTACAGCAAAGGTGAAGTTCTTCATCAGAGTCATCTCCACAATCATTATCCCCATCACATTTCCAGTATGGCTGAATACAGACATGGTTTTTGCATTCAAACAGCATGGGTGGACAGTATGTACCATTAGGATACCGTGTTGCTGAAAAAAAAGAAAATTATGACATTTTCATTCACAATAAAAACTTTACATTTTCATGAAAAATATTCAGTTCAACCCCATATTAGTCTTAAAAACACTTATCTCCATAATAGGAGATACTATGAGGTGCTTCAAAGATGTAGAGCAACAACAGGCTGCAAGGACTGAAGACTTCTTCACAGCTACAAGTAATTAATTCAGGTTTAAATGAAGAGTGAAACAACTTATGTTATACAAGCTTTTGAAAATAAACAAATTAATTTAGCAAATGCTACTTGAATTTTTTATTGACAAATCTAGTTCAATAAAAAAGATAATTAACCTCACTTGCACCAAACAGGAATGATAGAAGAAGCACATAAGCTATGTAATTTCAAAAGGAGTCACGTTGATATAGCAAGAAAACCCCACTCATATTCTGTAAACTGTGAAAGGAACTTAACTAAAACAAAGAAAAACCAAAAATATTATTCTACCACCCTATATAAATAAACCATACCCTTGCCCTTTCAATGGCTTCTCATACATTTTGTCCTCCATTTAAGAACAGTCAATTGCTTTATAACTCAGGTTCTGAAAGACAACTGCTGCTATGTATGTTGCAGGATGTGGCAACCATCAGAAAAATAAAGACAGTACTGTGCAAATGCCTTTCTTACTTAAAGCACAGGTGTCAAAATTAAATAAATGGCAAAATGTACAGAACTAGCCTGATACAAACATAAAGAGAAAGGAATTCTCCCAAGTACTGAAGCCTAAGATCATGGAAACATGTAAGTCAGAACCAACACAATCACCCAAAAAGCCGATGTCAGTCAATGCAGATAGAGCACAGAGGAAATATTTTCATTACAACTGGGAACAATACTTTCTGGGTAAACAGCTGCAGCTGTAGATCCAAGCAAGCTACAGATATTTATTTCACAGTAGAACAATATACCAAAGGAAAACAGAAATAGAAAAGTATATTATTTCCTTGGGTTCACTGATACTTTAGGACACTTTACACTACTTTGAGTATTATAGAAAACAATCACATTACAAACCTTGTTAGAATTTGGTACAACTGAAACAGTTTGGTTCTTGCAGTGCTTATGGGATAGTGAAAATTTTTAATTAAATCACATGTGTATCTTCTCCTGGACTTAGTAAACACATGAATTTCCTACCTTCAAGAATGTTTTTACAATCAGTGTAAGATATGGCAACCCATTATTATATTACAAAACTGATTCAAAATATTATGCTTATCCTGAATTTTTACTGAAATCACTGAGCATTGCAGAATTCTATATCTCTAAAGAGTCATCTCATTAAAAACAGGGAAAAGTGCAAATCTTTCTGAAAGTGAGCACAATGAGCACCGATTGTAAAACTTATAACTCACGGCAAATTGCTTCATCAGAGAAATCAAGGCAGTCTGCATTTCCATCACATCTGAAGCGCTCTGCAACACAGTGTCCACTATCACACTGGAAATAACCTGGGTGGCAGGTTCTTAGCTCTGTAAAGATTCAGAAGTAACTGTTGGAATGTCTTCTTGTCCAAAGACAGAAAAACTTTTTATGTTTTGAGAACAATCTTCTAAAAATGCTGGAAAATCCCAGACTACTAAAACTGTGGTATTCTCTACTTTTGGTGGAGTGACTAAAGAGACAGGGTGAACATTACTTCTGTAAAGACGCTTCCCATAAAAGATCATTTTGCAGAATAATTTATTATTAGAAACATTAAAAACAACAGTGTGAACAACTAAGAGGTAGCAGTGAGATAATACACACCACAGTCACGTTCATCTGAATTGTCTTCACAGTCGTCATCGTGGTCGCAGATCCACCGGGAAGGGATGCAGCGCAGATTGTCACAACGGTATTCACTTTCTGTGCACTCACGAGGACCTTCATTTAAAATCAATGTACAAACAGGAAAAGTTTCCCAGATGTAGAGTTAAACATCCATGCCTGTCTCATTGAACCAGACAAAAGTAATGTGGGCAGAGGTAAAATCTTAAAAATTAAATTATGTTGAAACATCATTACCCCCAAGTACTCCTTAAATATGTTAGATATTCCATGTCCCTCTTGACACAGAAAAAAGGAAAATCACTGCAGACTTTGTTTCAACACAGAATTACACAGAAGCTTTTAACTCAAATAAGAGAAAAAAGATCCACTATTATTGTTTAAGAAACTATACATTTACACACAGGATAAAATTCAAATGTCACTTCTCAGTGGAAAACAGTAATTTGTGTTACTGTGATGACTGGATGAATTAGTGTTTTTATGTAACCAGAATGCATCCTTGTGATATCAGTGTGGTATTTCAGCAAATAAAAGAGAGACTACCATATAAAACAAAGAAGGATTGTATTTTAGAGCTGTCTTGTTCTCATAAAAAATAGAAGGATATCTAAGTCACAAGTGAGACTATATAATTATGAACAAAACAAGAACTCACTGCAGTTATGCTCATCAGAGTTGTCTCCACAGTCATTATCTCCATCACACTTCCAGCGCAGCGGGATACATCGATGATTGTCACAGCGGAAATCTCCAGAAGGACTGCAAGTCATCTCCTCTGAAGTGTAGACAGTTCGCCAACAAAACAGCACACATTAGCATAGTCTTTGCCAGGTACAGTATTACTGAGGACTTTCAGCAAATCTGGGTGTTTGCAAATTGAAGAAATATTTTAAGCACAAAGTTACATTGAAATTACCTTCTCCAAACTTACCACAGCCTTGTTCATCACTGTTGTCTCTACAGTCATCATTGCCATTGCACACTGCCCACAATGGCACACAACGGTAGTTGGTTCTACAGCTGAACTGCGTGTGATTGTCACATCGATAAGCAGGTCCCACTGAAAGAGGCAGTTGTCAGAATTAATGGTGTTACTTAGCCACTAACTGTCCTCCTTGCTTTTCTTCCTCTCCTAATCTTTTATGACTTATAGTCAATTATTTTGACTAAAAAGAGCTGTCTGATAATTTTAGTGTTGTAAAAGAGAAAGCATTAAATGTATCTGATTTTACTATCTTTTCCAATCTATGTTGCTTGTACTCTGCATATGCTACAAATCCATCACAGGATGAAACCACACTCATTGGGTTTTCACTAAACTATTCAGAGCTGGTGGCACAGGCAATAGCCCCAAATATGGAAGCCAGAGGAGGCAGCTTCTCCTCAGATGGCAAAAACTTGGTCACAAGTTCTTGAAGATGCCCATTCGTTCAGAGAGATTTGCTACACCATATAGGAAAAATCCTAGCATCAAGAAAGTCAGAGTGAGATGCTGCCAGTTTCTGATAATCTGGCCAGCATAAATAGGCTTTCTCTCCTTCAAGAATAAGTAAATAGTAAATTATCACATAGTCTCTGTGTTTTCTAACACTCTTTACTACATGAATGCAATTAGGTTGCAGAAAATACTCCTTTCCAATAAACTTTCAATCTCAGGAAAATTAAATTATATGGCTCAACCTGCTTTTAGTACACTTTAATGTAGGCATTTTACTACAGCTATGTACTTACTGCATTCATGGAATGGCTCATCAGAGTTATCACCACAATCATCATCCACATCACACTTCCAGGACTGTGGGATACAGCGGCCATTGTCACATTTAAATTGGCCTGGGGGACAGGTCCTACTGGCACAGTGAGCACTATCTTCATCCGAGTTGTCACCACAGTCATCCTCTCTATCACACTGCCAGGCTTCTGGGATACATCGTTTGTTGGCACACTGCCACTGATGAGTTTCACACTGGTGATTAGCTGAAAGAATACAGATCAGCTGTTAGGATACTGAAATTTACAGAAATTATCTGCTGCTGCTGTATCAATTGAGCCCTTATGCTTACATCAACAGTTAAAAACAAAGCCAGAAAGAAATTTAAAATTTCACATACACTTGCCCAGTTAAAGCAGTTAAAGTACACATTTCTAACTTCACATCACATTTTCAGCCAAGCTCACTAAGGCTCTACAGTTTTCTAGGAGCAAGACATATACTACCTTCCCCTAAAGCAGAGGAAAGTAAACCCAGCATTCAACATGATTTGAGGCAGGGGCTCCCACTCACTTCACAGAGGGGCTAAGTGGCATTTTGCCTCTGGCCATGCTATCAGCTTAGCTGTGTATTGCCTGATAAGCCTGTTTCTCTATAAATGAACATGACAGAAGACATAAGAGAAGACCATGCTAATATCAGCTGCACAACCTACAAAAATATAACCTCTATTCCCAAAGGGCAAAGCACTGAAAGGTGGTATCAGCAGTGCTGGCAAACTGGGGTAGCTCTGAAAACAGAAGTCAAAACTTTACTTTCAGAATTTCTTACCATACTCCACTCTACTAACTTCTTTTACCTACATTGCCAAACTGTTCAAGAGAAAACAGTGTATTACAATTTCCATTGATGTTCTAGGCCAAAGGATTCTGTTACCATGCACAAGATAACAAGTGAAAGCAATTACATAGACCTAAACAGATTTTTATTGTACCCAGTATGTTATGCTGTACCCAGCATTACACAGCTGCCATACTTCTATTTTTAAACTCCCTTGTGGCGCACTTAAAATCTTAGCTATATGAAACTCAGTTAAAATGGACATTTCATTTAATTCTGTCATTCTTAGAACCACATTGGAATGGAAGACAATGACCCTATCAGCTATATAACAACACTGCTTTCCCCTTGCTTTATATTACTTGCTTGCAACTGCCAGACCTACATTATTTACAAAAAGAGAAGGAAGGATATGCTTTTTAAATTAGACATAAGTATGTAGAATAGCATAGGTTTTTAAGGAGCTAACACTATTCCACAAGCATAATTATCTTACATTTCTAACAAAACTGCTATCACAAACCACTCTACAAAACCAATCTTCCCACATGAATTGGATTTTGTGCAATGCAGAGGATGTAAAAATTTTGTCCCGTCACACAAAGTAGAACAGAGGGAAAATTAGACTGACCTGGGCATTGGGAAGCCCTAGATACTTCATAATCACCATATTTTTACTCAAAGCAAAACAAAGTGAGTCCTGTTTCTAATATTTTATACCTCAGATTGTAATTTACCTCAGTGCAAATCTGTCTTGGAGGTACAGGGACTGTTTATGTTTTGATATAGTACATTTCTGCTCTCCTTTACCCTGCTTTCACAGAGGTAAATTGCTCCAGCAGGTGCAAGACTACCGAATACTGCATCTATCTCACTTTTTATCTTTGAAAAAGGGATAGTGATTATAAAATTTACATGTTGATTACATGTTTTATACTGGCAAAACAGCTTGATTTATTTGTTGGAACATACCACAAAGTACAGGATCTTCATCTGATCTGTCATGGCAATCCGGCTGGGTATTGCATAAGAAATGTGAACTTGTGCAGTTCCCATCATTACACTGGAACTGCCCCACAGGACAGTACCGGTGCGGACAGGTTGGGGGCTCATCAGAGCCATCTCGACAGTCCCTCTGCCCATCACATTTCCACCAGATGGGAATACACCTACAGAGAGAAAACAGTGTGTTCTTTATTGAGGATATGGCTTTACAGATATGCAACCATTCTTTTACAGCACAAAAGACAGTCTTGTCTTAGTGATATTTCTTGAAACATCCAACACATCTTGAATTTTATGTCTTCTATTTCATATGTCAAATGCTAATAAAAACATGCCAGAATACTGTCACCAGAAACAGATGATAAACATATTGTATTGGTGGACCTGTAGAAGGAAGTTCACAGAAAATAACTAAAATCTAATTTTTATGTTCATTTGTGGTAATCCTCACTGATATTTTTTAGATCAATCATTCAATGAGGTAATATTTCAATAATTCACCCAAACTTTAGCACAAAAATTTTCACTAGGGATTATCATTATAACACTGCTTCAAAAAGCAACCCAATAAGCACACCTGACTCATAGGCTCCAGGGCAATACATCAGTACAAGAGCTCTTATACCACCATTCCTCTCCCTCCACTGCTGTCTCAGTAAAAGGGGTTAGAAACGTGCCCTTACATCAGCTAAATGGTTTTCCTGGGCCACTGGCAGACAGTATATATTTGGTAGAAACAAAAACATTGTAAAATATGTTAAAAAAAAAAATAAATCCGGGTTTGAGAATTCAACAATAAATTGTTTCTGGAGGTACATGCTTCTAACATCCCAAACTTTGCTACATCAGTAATGCCTATAACAGAAAGAAAAGTTTAAAAGTATTACTTAAGGAACCAGCCTAGAAGTATTTTTCCAAAATGAAAGCCTGTCTTCCTGTATTTTCCTGGTTTTCTCTCTGCAATGTCACAAATTCATAATGCGAACAGAAGGAAGCCCTAATTTCCTGCCCTTTTGAACAGACTAAACTGTAAAATATATCCTTAAAAACACATGGAAAAAGCAATGGTGAGCAGAGGACTTACCTCTCAGTGTCTGCACAGAGAAACTGGGTGCTAGAGCACATTGGAAGGCAGTGGGCTGTATTGCCGAACTGTATGACCATGAAGTTATCGGGACATTCACAGGAAAACCCCTGACCACCAGCTTTTATTAGGCAAAGATGGGAACAACCACCATTATTTGTGCCACAGGGATTATTAACTGGTTAAAAAGAAGAATAAATATTACCATACTTTGTAAATTCCAGAACACAAAGGTTTCAATCTATGGTAGATTCCTCTAATACTGTTTTGAAACCTTAAATATAAGAGATTGAGAACCAAAACCTAGATAAGTAGGCATTTCACAAGAGAAATATATGTTGTTTCATGTACACCAAATCTATGCTATCAAGCCATGATGTTTTAGAAACTAATTTAAAATTATGCATTAGCAGTCACTGCTTTTCAAAGAAGAAGCAATTTATAAATGTAAACTAGATGCCTACATTTACTCTGTGCATTTTATTCCACTCAGCAAAAGCAAAAGTTGAGTGCACTCAGAATCCTTTACAACTAGTCCCCAAATAACACCTGACCTTCTAAATACAAATCTAATTCTGTTTTCTCACCAAATGGTTGTCTGTATGGATGGTAAACATGGATGTCAAATGGTCTGTGCGTGGTATTCACAAGAACAGTCCTTTCTGATCCATCATATTTATTTCCTTTTTCAACTGTCCTTGTGTTCCAGTCAGTCCAATATATTGTGTCTTCAAAAATTGTTATTGCAAATGGATGAGGTAGAGTCCCATCATATACTGTGTGACGATGATGTCCATCCAGGTCAGAGTACCTCCACAAAGAAAAGTTTGCGCAAAACATTCAGATAAATGCTTAAACTTCTTTCCACCTTTTCTCTTCACATATTACACATGCTTATGGTCTTTCATTACTGGTGACCAGAAACATGCAATGTAGAATTGCAGCTTCTTTATGCCCTGAAGACAGATCACCATCCTTAGCAAATTCATTTTAATATATGGAGGAAAGAAAAACAGGCTATTTCAGGAAAATACATGGAATAGAGTAACATCCACTGATATGTATAGTCCTCCAGAAGCACATTAGCTAGAGCAATGAAATTTTGCACATTTATTGCCTTAAGAGTGAGTTATTTTTGTCACAAAAGAGACTAGCTTGCCTAGATAATTCAGACTGCTAATAATGAAACACTAGAGACAATAATAGGCTTCCCATATTCTTAATTTTACGTCTTTCTGATTTAGAGTCTCCTTTGCTGAATTATCTTTGACAACATTTTACATTTTTCTATCACCTTGCCCATATATGGGGAAATTATGAAATACAAGAGAAGAGAGAGAGAAACATACATATAATTAACTTATATTTTTAAAAAGACATCTCTAATACTTTATCATAGAAAAGGCTGCCAGAAGAATTAATGTAGAGAAGAATAAAATACAAATATAAATCTAAATGTGCAGGTATGTATGAATACAAATATGAACACTAACATAAATACAAGTTATTAGTTTCAAAATATTTCAGTATTGTGAGGTTTTAAAATCATTTAAATAGTCAGATAACTATTGCTCATTTTTACTGCTATTTAGATGGGAATTTTCTAGTACTAGAAGCAATGTATAGATTTTTCTTGATTGACAAAAAATCCCATTTGCCAACAGGAAATTCCATATCATACTTATGGATATTCAGACACCTTCTAAAGGTTTGTATACAACTTACTAGCACATAACTAGCTTAGTTACAGCTCAGTTCTCATCTATAAGCAAAAACAAGAGAATCAAAAAATAGGGAATTTATAGTAAATTTTGCTTTGGTTCAGGTTGTATAACTAGACACAGAGAAGTTGTAGATTTTAGTACAGCATGTGAACTTTTTCACTGTAATTTTTGGACAATTTTCACTACATGTAGCAACTCGGTTACTGTGTATCATCTACTACTCCAGACATTTTGACTCCAGTTTTCTATAGAGTCAGTGGACAGAATTATGTATTCTTTTTACAGCACCAATAGTCTCCCACCACAATCTGACATGAGTGATCATTCAGTCGTTTTAATATTTTCTGTGTACATACTCAATATAATTTAGATGGGCATCTGTCCAGTATAGCTTGTCATTGGTGTAATCTATGGTAAGTCCATTGGGCCACTCTAACTTTGTAGAGATGATTACAGTCTTCTCCTTGCCATCCATGCCAGCTCGTCCAATATAAGCTCGATCTGCCCAGTCTGTCCAATAAATCTGTCTGTTCAAATGAATACTTAGAGTTAGGATTGTTGAAGTAAATACTAGAAGCCATGCCTCAAATTTAGTATCTCCTGCCACAGAAGTAAAGCAGAGATCGAGGAAGAAAAAAGCTAACATTTTTTTTAGTTTAATTGCTACAGCAGACACTTGTGCAATTACAATTTAATTCAGTCAGCCCCAACACTTACCAAATCATACACATTTCTATCAACCTTTTTAGCCTTGCAATCAAAACTTCCTAGTCCATATAGAGCCAACTTCCACTTCCAATGGTAGCTGACAGCCATGCATATACACCCACAACAGGAAAGCTACTATTTCTCCTAAGCTGCAAATAAGTACTAATGCCACAGAAATCTAAATGCAAGCAGCCCAGATGTACTTCAGATTTTCAGAATAGTGCAAGATTATTTGCAAAATAAAGGAAAAGGACTCTTGGAAGGTCATACCCATATTTTGGATGAACAACAATTGCTCTGGGATACTGAAAACAGAAAGTATTGTTGGCATCCACACACCGATCCACCAGTTTTTTCCGGAATCTTCCATCAAGTTCAGAGACGTAGAGACAATCTCGGTAGGCATCCACCCAGTACAATTTTCTGAAATATTTTAATTTATTAAATATTATTTTTCCCCCTTTATTTCGCTTCACAGCATCTTTTTTTTTTTTCTCCTAGAAGCAATGTATCCACTGCAAAGAAACACATACTTAATTGACATCTCTTGTACACCATGCTCCAGGCTGCCCTTTTCACTTCTGTTTTCCTTGTAACCACAATCAGTGGCACCAAATTTAAACTTGCAGGTGCCCAGTTGAGTAATAATATGCCATTTGCCTACAAATTCCTAAACCTCTCTTCCCTTTCTGTCCTACCAACAATGGCCAGGAGCAGGAAAACAGACAAGCAGTGCAATGGACTGTGACCAGGGCTGTAAGGCATTGTAGACAATCCTCAACTGTTCCATGTTGCCACCACTCTCTCATCAAACAGGTAGACAAGCCCTAAATAGTTTGACACCCTATTTTAAACTTTGCCTCGAATTTTCTAACACTTCTATTACTTTGCCTGGGAATTACACACAGCTGTAAGCCAAGAAATCATACAAGCAGAAGTAATGATTTTTTTAAAAGCCTGCATCAAAGCAAAGCATTAAATTCAATTAGAACTACAGCAGGACACTTTCAAATTCTTTGCAGAGCTGGTCAGCTCCAGCATTCACAGTGTCATTCCAGAAACAGCCTGACAGATATAATTCTGCCTATACTACTCTAAGTAGCACCATTCCCACCAGGGAGGAGGAGAAAACAGTCTTCTCCAACCTGCATCTCATGGCATCCTTTAATCCTCTATCTGCACAGAAAACAACCAGGAAAATTCAACCATTGTACTGTTCTTCAGCCTGCCTAGAACACCTAAACAAGAACTGACTGAAGACATAACTAATGGTAGCTGAAATAATTCAAAAGCTGTATTAGAAATGAAGCTGTAGGACCAGTTCAGCTAAAATTTGCCTTTTGTTTCATCACCCCTACATGATTCATGAAGCATTTGGGGCTGCTGGCAACATTAATTATCATTAGGTTTAGAGACAAAGCGGCTTAAAAATAAAAATTATTATATGGACATATTCATATATAAACATATAAGCACACTCATATAGGTTCCAAATATGTCATTTTGAGCATTTCTTATAGGCTTACAGTCTGATCTATGTTATTTAAACTAGTCATACTTATATCACTGCACTTGAAAAGCAAGATGAAACACAGCAACACCACTGTCAGAGAGGCCACAACATGACAGAGGTTCTATGGCAGTAAATCAGACTACTTTTTGAAACACAAAATTTTTAGGCAACCAAAAATTTACCATAATGAGATGTAATTGTAAAACACATCATCCATATGCTGGCCTCCTGACAGAAAATTATTTGGATCATGTTGTTTGAATGTGTCGGTTAAAGGTGCATTTTTCAAGAGCCAAAGACACACACTCTTAACATTGGTACAGGAGCTAAGTTTCATTAAGGCTTACTATTACTTACTTCACTAGTTAGCTTTCTAGTTACCTGTTAATTTTGTTTATGCAGAGCAAAACCTGCATGCCAATCCCAACAACTGCTAGCAAACATGACAGAGCAAGTTTGACAGAACTGCAGTATACTACATATCAGAGTAATTTAAGTGTTATGTATTAGATGCTGATAAACTATTTCAGAGAAGTTGTGTGGCACTGCATCCACAATCCAAACTATTTCACTACTCATCAGGAATTTCACATGGAGTAGGGAAAAACCCCTAGGATAAACTCCTTCACACATGATTTCTTCAGTAGCTCAGAAAGACAAAAAATGTATTTTCTTACCTGCCAACCCAGTCAACAGCGATACCTTCCCCGTTGGGCACATCATCACTTATCACTGTCTCCTTATTTGTCCCATTTAGGAACATACGTTCAATGACATTCCTCCCCACATCAATCCAGTATAACCTCTTTTCCACCCTGTCAAAGTCCAGTGCCACCACATTTCTCAGTCCTTGCAAAATGAGAGAGTAAGACTGGCCATCTGCTGTGAGATTTCTCAGATAGTAACGGTTGCTAAAAATAAGGTATGGGGAGATATTACTATTTTGACGGCAACTTTTTCCATCAGGCTCCCGGATATAGCCTGGGGCACACTTACAGATGTAGGAGCCAGCTGTGTTCTCACAAATCTGGCTACATACTGATGGAGTTTCATTGCACTCATCAATATCATCACAAGTCCGTTTATCAGACATAAGTTTGTATCCGGGATGACAAGTACAGTAGAAACTTGTCTGTGTGTCTGTACAGTCATGATCACATCCACTGATTGAAGGGTCACTGCATTCATTTACACCTGGGGAAGGAAACGAGTTCTATTCAAGGAGCCAGCTAGCAGAGTAATAGTGCAGTCACTTTCCAATGCATTCTGTTTCTCTCTCCTTGCTACCCCCTGAAAATGCTGAACGTGGATGTGGGCTGCTGTAATAAAGGAAAAAACTAAACAACATAATCTAATATAAAATTATTCTACCACCTCTGAAGTCTGTCACAAAACACCAAGTTCAAAGTATGGACTATGGCATATTTTGGAAATGCAAGGGCAATGCATAACAATGTATGAGATACAGTTTGTTTATATCATTAGCTTATCGACATAGTCAGTTAAAGCAGTACATGTTAAGCATGACTTAATTAAAGCAAGAAATTTAAAAGTTACATTTATTATTATTTTAATTTCTGAGGGACAGCCATGGAATAGATATGATTGGAATTAAGGAATTGTATTTTTTCAAAGGCGCCTAAGATTTTTAAATCAGACAGTACAAATAAATCTATACATACCACATCCTTTTTCATCACTGTTATCTAAGCAATCATCCAACCGATTGCAGACTTTAACCAGCTCAATGCAGTTTCCATTGTCACATTTAAAATGATGGGGAGAGCAGGTTGCTTCTGGTGTACTACAGAGATGTTCCAGCTCATCAGATTCATCACCACAGTCATTATCCCCATCACAGATGTAGGCTTTGGAAATGCAGCGCCCATTCTGACAAGTAAACTGGTGCTGTTGACATGGTTCATAGATGCATCCTCTTTCATCACTGCTGTCACCACAGTCATTCCGCCTATCACACCTGAAGAAGAATGAACACTCTCTTCAAATATAAGAAGACAATCACGGTCTTCAGGGAAGATGGATACGAACACTCTTCCACTTTCCAAAGAAGGTTGATTTTTTTGACTCCAATAGAAGAGACTTTCAGAAATTGAGGTAATATTGTATAGTCTGATCTTGTGAGTCCTGCTAATTTCTCTGTGTGCATTACAGGCTAGACAGAATCACTCCAGGAGAGGTTACTAGTGACAATAGGAAGGATTAAATCCTAATGGTGAGCAATAGGAATATTAACAGAAAATTCTAAAGCATTTTCAAGTCAAAGCTAACGTACAAATGCAGAGCAGATAGTTTCATTACAATATGTAGATCTAATTACAACTAAATGGTGTGAAAAAAAAAAGGTTGAATTAGCTCCTTCACAATAAGCAATTTTGGGAATTTCTACAGCTGCTTGGGTAGTTACAAACCTGTATGTGTTGCGGATGCACAAGCCATTACTACAGGTAAATTCATTTTCTGTGCAAGATCTTCGTGTGCAGTTCTGGTGTTCATCAAGAGCATCACTGCAGTCAGCATCACCATCACAGACCCATGCCCGAGGAATGCACCTCCTGAGCGGGGGTCGGTTGTTGGCACAAGTGAACTCTGCTGCTGTGCAATTGCGATTTGCTGAAGGAAAAGCACATTCACTATGTGAATTATATTCTGTGTATATGACACCTTCCTCCACCACCCACACAAACAGCCCGTATATCTATCCACCCATAATCCACAATACAGCCATGTCCTCCAGCACATGGAGAGATAGATACCACTGTACCTTCTCAGTTACAAAACAGCACATTGTTCTTCGTGGAGGCTGACTGGGAGCCAAAGCATTCCTTAGGCAATGCTGACACGTGCAGAAATCTGCATCCTACTGGATTCTCAAATAAGCTTTTTCAGACAGATTTTCTGGGAGCTGAATAGCCTCTATTCCCTATTTTGTTCAAGGTATTCTGTGCTCCAGGAAGCAAGCAGAGGTAGAAATATTACAGCTAATAAGGGCAAGGACTACAAGTATAACCAGCTGTTCTCATAAGAATCAAGGAGCAGGACCAGTCCTGGTGAACCTCCTTCCCTTTCTTCACCCTATGAACAGATATGCTTATTTTGTTCACTAGCTTTTAAAGATATTAAGCCACAAACACGTGGTAATTAATATGCACAAGATGCAGTGCATGACTACTAGAGAGCACCTCCACTGAAGCTGCTCTAGGTGCCCAGATCATACACACAACCCAGGTTAATTATATCTCCATTTCAACTCAACAATTCAAAGAAGAATAATTGCAAAATTAGAACAATGTTTTGTTGGGGTTTTTTTACCAGTAAAATATTCAATTTCCATTCAATATAATGAAAATGAAGGCATAGGAAGATTGTACCTCATGCTTAATGTGCATCTTTATGGGGTAGAAAAATTGGCAACGAGTGAGAGTTTGGGGGTTGGTTGATTTTTAAAAAATATTTGCAGGACAAAGTGGAGTATCTACTTGCATTAACCACGTACCACAATTATGTCTTTGATCCTCATCGCTCATATCCCCACAGTCATTATCACCATCACAGATCCACGTTGCTGGGATACATCTGCCATCATCACATCTGAACTGGTCATTCGAACAAGTCCGCATTTGGGGCACTTAAAAATGAACACGATCACTGTGCTTGTTAAACTAACCTGCACTGCCATGAAATCTAGTGGTGAGTATTTCAGGGAGAAGCTTAGGACAGTGAAATGTAAAATTAAACCTTAATTGTAAAACAGTTGATGTATAAGATGCAAAACATTTTCTTAAGCTGAAGATGCAACTTCAAAAATGTGCAAAGTGAACTACCAGCCCTGCTGAAACCACACAAGAATCTTGCCTTGGTTTATTCTTACTTTTACAGTGAAATTAATAACTATGTTATAATACCAATTGTCACCAACTTCAGTTAGCTCCTTTTCTTTTTCCCTGGAGACTGCTGTCCTTTTTTTCACCTCCTACCCTAGTCCTCTGCTTATTCCCAACAGTTTCTATTGTATATACAGGATTTGTTTACTGTAATACTATGATACCCATATACTGTGTCAACACTGTTCCCCTCTGCATCCCACATTTCCTTTTTCCCCAAATGTAATACTGCATCCACACTTTCTGTACAGCATGACATCAGCTTTTACATGGAAAACAATACCAAAATGCTTGCTCTTTTTTGCCATTTGATTCACTACCATCATAGTCTTATAAGGATAGAAGGTTATATATTAAGAGTAATCACATTACAAGCAATCAGTTGTTGCAACTAAAACCTTCATATTCCATACACAGCTTTAAATATTTAAAACTCAAATTACTCAGTGACTCAGATTAGAGAGAGTGAATAAAATCCTGAAGATAATTATTTTCCACCTAGTCTGGATTAAAGCTTTTGCCTATAAAACAAATTACTGATTTGCCATAGCCCATCATGTTGTATCTTCTGAGTAAAGACTTACCACAAGAGGCAGGTTCATCAGAGCCATCAGCACAGTCTATCCCTTGATCACAGTACCAATGAGCAGGAATACAACGTCCCGATGTACAACGAAACTCACTATTTGTGCAAGTCAGAGAGACTGAAAAAAAAAAACCTATGTATTACTTTGTTTTTTTCTGCTACCTTTCCAACTGTTTAAAGATGCTTTTGAGTCCATGTTATGCAAAAAATATTCCCCAAATAGTCCCCAAAAAAGAAAGAGAAAAAATTATGCTAGGAAGGATGTTTTTACCCAGGCTCTCTGGAAAGAGTTCATTGTACAACTAGCTTGATATTTGTATGCAAAAAAAACCAAAAAAAAAACAAAAACAAAAAAAAAAAAAAGCACTTGATTTTACTTGATTTTCTCTCTGGGCATACGTATCAGCTAGTAATTATACAGAATTTGTCCTGGAAATAGGATTGCATGCAGCAACTGTACATATATTCTACATTTATACTCAAGATCTGTGCATGGGAAAATGACCACATTCCAGTGTACTCATTTCTCCAGTGCTCAAATCAGACATAACAGACTCCATGCTTTACAGAAAATCAAAATGTGCACTAAGGAAGCAGTATCTTATGGTAGGAAATTTTCCTCCAACCAATTTTTCTCACTTGCTGGTAGGAATCTTTCCTTGCTGGCAGTGAAGAACAAATCATAATACTGAGTAGTTCCATCTCAGCATGCTGCAAGTACTCTCTGCACTTTAGCCAAGCCCCTTGAACCTAACATGTATAATGGGTTTTGGCAATTTCTTCAGTAGTTACCAATACTTTCCTGTACCTTCTGATAGTTTCAAAATAACAGAAGGATTAAGTCTGGCCTTTTAACTTTCTCTTCCTTGTGCCTTTAATGATGGAAATCAAAGAGTTAACTATTGCTCATTAACATCTTAGTGTTTCTTTCACCTCTCATTCTCTCTTCTCCTCTTCCTTGCCCTTCACCACTTCTCAATTTATATAATTTAGCAGGATGTAAACAGTAGAAGGGACAAAGCACATCTTTGACAAGCAGAACAAGGCTCACAATAGCCACATAGTCTTGACACATTGGTGTCCATAGATAAAAGTGGCCACTATTTTGGCTACAAAAATGGAACTCATATTTTAGAAAAACTGTAGCAGTTAGTTCAAGGAATGTATCTTTAGAAAAAATAGTGAAAGCAACAATAATCTACTCAGGCAATATTAAAACTAAATCACAACCTGAAAATATCCATTATGTTTTACAAATTGATCAATAGTATTTCATATGGGAAAAGTACTACCTAACTTCTACCTAATAAAAATGTCCTAGCAAAGTTAATCTGGTTTGTAATTAAGGCTGATTCAAAACTAGGCACTTCTATATCCTAACTGGAAGATACAATAAAGAATGAATAAAATGCTAAAGCATAACCACATAAAAGAGCTGAAAGAAATTTGAGACCATAGGAAAATTCAGTCAGTTCAAAGGAAGAATAATCTAATGTTAAAATTATGGAAAAAGACAACTCTGTATAACACTTAAGTGCGAAACACCTTGTAAAACAATAAAAAATACAGACCAAAATAAGCAAAAGGAACAATCCTCAAATGCTCATGCATATATAACTTCAGTATTACAAAAGTAGATGTTTTGAGAATAGTTGGAGTTATATTAAAAGAAAAGAGCAGTGGAATAAATTACAGAAGTATGAGAGAAGTAACAAAGGCCTTTCAACTCTCTAAACTTACCACAGTGAGTAGGACTCTCATCACTCATATCTCCACAGTCATTATCACCATCACACAAGTACGTTCGAGGAATGCAAATATTTGTGCTTTGACATTTTGTAAAACCAGACTGGCACGTACGCTCCGCTTTAAGGAGGAGGGAAAAAGCAAAAGTGCTTTAGAGATGTTTTAAACACTGTTATGCTGTTATTTTCTTGAACTGAAAAGTAACCAGTATTGAACTAATCACAATTTACATCATAAAGAAAACAAACATAACTGTTAACTTTTATAAGGCATATAATTTTTAACTGTGCCATGATGGCATCACAATATACACTCCTGATTATTAAATATAGTATAATTAATAGAGCATAACAGAAAATAAAAGGCCATTGTCAAATTCCAGCTAATGCTGCAAAAACATAAACCCTGAATCCAAGTTATCCAAAATAATACTTTTGAAATGCATGGAATTAATCACAAGAAGTAACATTACATACTGCATGAGCATTTGTTGCTTCAAGACAAACTATTTACAGCAATATTTATTATGTAATATCTTAGGTTGTTTCAGAACACGATTTAGCAACTCTATCTGCTTCAAACAGCCCTAAACAGTACCTGTAATGCAAATTTTATAAACTTTTATCCTTCTTGTTGATTTTGCCAGATTTCTTCACATAAAACCACATTTCCCTCTTTCTTCATCTAGAGAGTCGGATACAAATAGGCACTATGTACTAAGGCTCAACTTACGACAATTCCTCTCATCTGATGTGCCATTGTCATAACAGTTGTTTACTCCATTGCAGACATACTGAAGGGATATACACCTTCCATTATTGCAAGTAAATTCTGTGTGGGAGTCACAGGTTCGGAACAAGCAGCCAAGCTCATCACTGTTATCTCCACAGTCATTGTAGTGATCACAGCGGTAATGATAGGGTACGCATCGCCCATTGCCACAGGTGAAAGCTGTTGGCTGACAAGTATGGAAAGCTGCACAAAATAAAAAAGAAAAAAAGTAGGTAAAATGTAATCTTAAGTTCTCTGACAAAGTAACAAGAAAAATCACAATATTTTTACCTGCCAGGGCAAACACAGCTGCAAAACGGACTGCATGAAAAGTAAAATACATATTTAAATTAAAAAATTAGAAATTGGCTATACATGACAAAAATTCAATACTACAGTGCTTCTGGATTCTAAAGCAAACCACTAGTCTTTCAGACCTCAAAACTGTGAGCAAGCAAGGGATTGTTTCTAAACTACAGGCACAAGATCCATGATCATAAAGTGACAGAGACTACAAAACAGGCAAGACAGAGTGTATTTTCTAGAGCAGTTATTTTAAATGCTTACCACACACACTTTCCAACTCATCACTGCCATCGCCACAATCATTGTCATTGTCACACTTCCACCGCTCAGAGATACAATGTCCATTAAGGCATGTGAAGAAACCAGTATCACACCTGGTACCATTATCCACAATACAGTGCTTGTTGTTATTGGCTAAATACCAGCGACCTTCAGAGGGGCACTGACATTCTGCACCAGCTGGACCTAAATTTATGTTTGAAATTTAATTTAAAAAATAAAAATAGGACACAACAAAAAGGAAACAAATTTAACATTAATGTTTTATATAGGTTTCCATGAAAGTGTTTGCAGTTGTAACACTGGAAAAGGCAAAGAAATTTTCATAATTCCTATATGATCAATTTACTTAGATAGTAGTGTGGTGACTTAGCCAGATTGTTATGTCAGTTAAGCATATTGAAACCCACAAAAGTTATTTCAGATTTCCTTAGAGGAACTGAGATCAGAATTTGGAGTATCTCAGTAGTTGCTTGCTGTCCAAATGCCTTTTTGGCAGCAAGATGGCATGTGATGCTTTCAAGTATCACAGCTATATCCACAGAGACTATATCCCTCAAAATCCAAACAAGTGTTCAAAATTTCTTGCAATAGACAAACTGCTCTTCTCAAAATTAATGAGAAGTTTGAGCTGTTTTCAGGCAAGATAGATCTTTAATGGTATTTAATATGCTACAAAAGAAAACAGGCACTGAATGACTTTTGCAAAGTCAAAGATCATAACTTTGAAAAATCTACAACACATGAAACAGCTCTGTAACATTTATGTAAAGAAATAGCGAACATAGATTTTTAGAATGTCTTGTAGGAATCATCTGATCAGTAAGACCATGTACTCTTAAGGTAAGCATATCCTGCAGCACACACTTTATGTCTCATCCAAGGAAGGTTTAAACCCCAGAAAACAATGCTTTGGTTTAAGTTAAAGAAACCCATAATTTTCACCTGTGAGGATTCTCAGACACAACCCCTAGGTGTGTTGGTGGAGTACCATGATCTTAAATGGCAATTATTTTGATTGCATTTATAAATAAAATAAATATTAAATATTTGTGAACACTAAGAAATATTTCAGCTGTCCTATGTGACTAGAATTGTAATAGTGTAAACTCTAATACAGGCAAGAGTAATTGCTTGCAGTCATCAAGTATAACAGTTTACCTGGTGCACAGATGTGACTGCAGCCACCATTGAACTGGTTGCAAGGGTTCACACACTGCTGCTGCTTACTTTTTGCCCAGACATGAATATCCATTGGTCTTTGTGGAAGATTCATGATCATCACAATCTGATCTGAACCATCATACTTATTAGCTCTATAAATGCTTCGTGTGTTCCAGTCTGTCCAATATATGTGCTGATCGAACACTGTCATTGCAAATGGATGCAGAGCAGTGCTAACAATCACCTCACGATTTGTACCAGTGAGAGTGCATCTCTCAATCTTCTGCCTACAATAACAAAGAAATTATTACATCTTAAAGAAGTCTTTTAACTTATGCATAAAACTATGCCCTAATTAGTCTGGCAACTAACATCCAGCATTTCAGTAGTGTTCACCAATATCTCAGGTGCTGCTATGCTCCCCCAACTCCATTAACTAGAGTTTGAAACAGAAAAGTGTCTGTTCCATTTGACATCCTGAATTCCTCTTGAAATAGACATTCCAAGTGCCTTGCCCTCCTGCATGCAGATAAATCCAAACAGCCACCTTCTTCCCAGAAGAATCCATAGAGACACAGGCCACAGGATTTATTACACGACAGAGAAAACTCTTTTGATACAACAAAAAAGTCTGAAAAATAACTTCTATGCTGAAGGAATCAGAAGGGAAATGTCTGATTGCTGTAGTGGTGTCTCGGAGACCATGGGTAAATTTGAATGCTTAGAAAATGAAACAATTTTTTAAAACTTTCCTGCTGATGGAAATTCTGTGGCATAAATTCAAGGGTAGAACTCTGTCTGGTAGGCAACAGCAAGAATATCAGACCAAATTCCACAGGTGATAGACATGAACCATGAGCAATGATTACTGTAAAATGTGTACTGTGATTGTATTTGTTGGAGAAGACACTTATGAAAGTCCTGAACTGCATGTAAGGCAAGCTGACAGTGGGTACAAGTGTATAAGGGACAGAACAAAATCTACACTGTGACAGAATATAACTTCTTATTGCACACTAGTTCCAACATTAAAATTTGAGATTGCATTTCTATTAAGTAACTCATTCTATAATGTCAAGTACCAAATCCAACTGAAATGCTGAAAACCAGCCAAGAAATGAGGAAAAATAAATAGAGCTATTAAAATATTAACTAAATGTAAACCAACAAATGTGTTATCAATACATACAGATTTGCATCAGCCCAGTACAGCTGCTGTTCTTCATAGTCCAGGGTGAGTCCATTTGGCCATACCAAGTTTGTGCTCACAATGGGTGTTCTGAAGTTTCCTCCAAGTGTAGCTCGTTCAATCTTTGCATTTGAACTCCAGTCAGTCCAGTACATATACCTGTCAATAACATAATTATATTTTCATAAAACAAAACTCACAAACTCTGCTTTTGCTGGTATTTCCACCCTCATGTCCCTCACTGAAGTGTGCATTGCAAAACTACAGGAAAAGATCTTCTTCCTCTATTTTGGCTCACACTGACAAGGGAGTCTTTTAGAGCGATCACTGGGGTCCACTGCAGTGAACTTGAGAAAATTTTTTCCAGCTCCTATGTGAATCCAGTGAAGTCAGTTAATCTCTTCCTTTTAATTATATCACGGCAATGAAATTAAAAGCACACTATCATACAGTAATGCCCCATCATCTCAGGAAATGTTCTGATACTGAAACAAGAATTCTTCTGAAGCATTCAAGGAATACAACAGCAAAAGGGTTAGGGTTATAGAAGTCTCTGGCAGTCTTTGTCAAAGTCTAAATTGTAGTTTCACCTGCAGTCAAAACACAGTGCAACACCTACCCTCTGCAGGGATCTAATACAATGGCTCTCGGCCGTGGCACCCGGGCGATCACGGTGCGGTTTGATCCATCTTCAGCCATTGAGCTGATGGTCTGATTGAGGTAGTCACTGTAGTAAATTCTGTTGTTGATCCAGTCAAAGGCTATGCCATCCGGAGTCCCCAGGTCTTAGGCACATGCAAGCAAACACATGCAAGCTCAGCACGGTTTCCTGAGATACTTCAGCACTCTTCATCTATTACAATTTGGCTACACCAAAGACTTTGAAATGCCATTGGTACCAGTGCAAATCTGTCCATTTAAAAACCTAGACTATTAGTACTTGGGAATCAGGCAGGTCTAGGTATACAATAGTGCTACAAAGACCTTTCTCTCACATAGATTTAAGTTCTGGTTGCTATTCTTCAAGTAGCAGGAATCCTCCCTCACTCCATTATATTAAGTTATCACATATAATTTTAATTTATTATGTATCATTTTATATACAAAATAATAACTATCCAGTTTTATATTTCCATTTCATTGGGATTAAGTTGAAATAAGAATCCCAGAAAATGAAAAAATGAGAAAGAAAAAAGAGCATTTTACTAGGTATCTTAACTAAGTGGTTGACCTTGACCCTTGGCATAAAAATACCTGTTGAGCTAGTGGTAGGTGCTGCAGGTAATTTTTTTTTTTAATCTCTGATTACTTTGTACCATATTTCAGTGCACTTACCAGATGCAACTACAGTTGGAGAGCTAAGTCCTGAGTAAATACTAACATAACTGATTCTTCCTGTTCCTGAAGGATAACTTTGTGTAAAATAAATTCGGTTGTTTATGCTGTCAAAATCCAGGGCCACAGCAGTTCTTAACACACTGACTGTGCGGAAGGGAGGACTGTGGTTTTCAGGATCTAGGTGGATACTTCTGAGGGCATTTTCAAGAGCAAAAATCAGGTAATCATCTGTTGAAATGGAACATCTCTTGCCATCACTGCCTAGTGTTCCAAAGGCACAACCACATTTCGGTGTCTGAATGTCAGGGAGGGCAAAACAGAGGTGAGAACAACCTCCATTGTTGTCCAAACAAGGATTGCTGTTGACATCAAGGGGAGAACGTGACTGAAAATTACTGTTGTAAATTGTAACATCCCTTAGCCAATTAATGTTATCTCTTATTACTGTTGGCTGATCAGTATTGCCTGGCTGCTTGCTGGCTTGAAAGATTTTTTTCAGGTTTCGATCCACCCAGATCATGGAGTTGCCGAAGATAGTGATACCATACGGAGTTGGATAGCGACTGCCATAACGTACTATTTCAACATCACCACCATCAGGCTGAATTCTTGCAATCATATCTAAGGAATCATCCACCCAGTAAATGTAACCATTGCTGTGATCTATGGCTAACCCACGAGGTGTGACAATGCCCTCAGACACAAGAACTGTTCTGTTGGTGCAGTCAAGAAAAGCGCGTTCGATCTTCGGATTTTGCCCATAATCTGCCCAGAAGAGATATCTGTTTTTTGGGTCAACTACTATGTGTCTTGGCATGTCTATGGTAGTTTTCAGAAGCACACGGCGATAAGTTGTGTTTAAACGCAAAACTTCTATAAAAGTCTCTGTCAGGAAGGCATTTGTAAAATAGAGATTTCCTGTATACAAAAAAAACAAAAAACAAAAAAATCAGAAAAGCAAAAGAGAAAGTTAATATTAGCACCAATACCTGAGAAACACAAGTTGCTAAAATACCAAACCACAAAATGAACAGCCATCATAAATATGTTAGTAGTTGGAAGCATAAAGTATTTGTCTACCATCTAATGAATTAGAAAGAAGACAGCCAAACTGACAGTAGTCAATTAATCTCTAAATTCTCATGGATGGTCATAGGTATCAGTAGTACAGTTGCCTTTTAAAACACACAACTATGTAATCCATGTTATGGCACAAGACTGTACACAGGAACTAAATTGAGTGTTTACAGCAGATGATTATCCTAAAACACATCCCAACAAGCCTATCAATCAACTGAAGAACTTTTGCAAAACATATATACAGTACATATATATACAAAACTAAATTATTAATGGCAATTGTTGATTAATACTTTCTGAAGAGTTAATATTTTAATTAATCCTTAATATGTTTAAATAGGAACAGGAAGTGCACATGTGGAAATTATAGTTCAAAGATAAAAATTTCTTCTGCTTTTTTTACTTTTCATTATAACGTATGTGTACACAGCAATCTGAGGGTAGATAAAAAGTCTTTTCTTATTTACAATGTCATAACAGAGGTTTTGTGCATTCTTCTTTGGTACATGTTTTCACAATGGTAGTTCACAGCTATGTACAAACAAGAACAGAGGCCTAAGAAATACTAAAGCACCAGGAGGGAAAAGTCTTTATACATCTGCTCTGACAAACTACACATTTACATATATATATACATACACATAAACATAAGAGCCATTTACTTCCTCTTTTTTTAAAATCAGTCCATTAAACCACAAATTGAACCATAGTACTTCCATTCAAAATAGTTCCATTAGAATCTGCTTATGTTAGTCTAAAATTTTATAATATGTAAATAATAACATTCTCCTAAATTCAGCTGTGCTTACCTGCTACCCAGTCAATTGCAATGCCACGGATCCCATTTCGTCCTATTCCATTTGTAACAACATTTCTAAAATAAGAACCATCAGGTTTAATTTTACGTATTGCATTCTGAGAAGAAACTGTGCTACTGAAGTCACACCAGTAAATGAAACCAGAAGGCATGTGAACATCCACATGAAGTGCATTTCGTCCTGAAATATTTTGAAAAGTATTAATTAATGATTTTTATATAAACAAAATTATTTAAAATATGTGCTGTGCTAGAAAGAAATGCCAAAATACTAGGCATGACAAGATTTTTTCCTATTATAATATTCACATACCTCTTCCTGCCAGTGGTACCATGGCTTCAGAGTGATCTGATGTCTCTAAACTAAATCCTTTAATTGCAGAGAGCATAGAAACAACTACAAATGAACTGTATGGGGAACAGGTTCTGTTGTCAGGATTTAGCTGAAAGCCAGTAGCACAGGCACAGGTGAATAATCCACCAGGTACAGGCAGGCAAAGCTGCTGGCAAACTCCAATATTATTACTGCAGCCATTTGTGGAACCAGCAGAATCTGCAAAAGACATACATGGCAAAACAAAAATCTCAGCTGTATCATTACAAATGCCCTTGGATATACACTCAAATACATACACTTATATAGAATTAACAATCAGCTGTCAAAAAAAAAATCTTAACCAGAATACATTTTAGCACAGATGTGATAGCAATGAGTTTACTGGTCTCTTGTCATCTAAAATCAATGGGGCCAACAATCAGATAAAACAAATTAGAAGCTAAAGTAACAAAATTTCTTTGTCAACATGACTTTAGTAAAACTACATGAGCCAATGGATGCCTTAACTAGATGGTGAAGCATGTCTTTACCAAAACCAGGCAAAATGCTTTTGACACTTTTCCTGTAAGCCAAATCAAAGTGTATCCTTTGAAAGAGCAACCATTCTGTCTTTAAGGAAAGTTTGAGTTTTTGCAAGTTGAATATCCTGAAACATCTCTCTAGCAAATACTCACTGTCTCTGTAATACACACGCAGGCTCTTCAGTCTTGGGACATTATCTCTCAGTACTACTTTGTTTGCACCAGTGGCCTTGTCAACTCGTTCAATTACTTCATAATCTCGATCAGTATAGTACAGAAAGGTACCGTACACAGCAACTCCCCAGGGATGAGAAAGATGAACCACCAGAGTCACACGATTTGTACCATCCATATTGCCTCTCTCAATCTAAGAAATAATTTTAAAGATGAAGATTATATTTCCTATAGCAACAGTTCAGTGTTATAACATAAAACTAAAATGCAATGCATGATACTAAAATCTCTTTTATGCATGAAATCTTTAGGTACAAGGTAGGAAGAAAAGGCAGGCAGTATATGATTTCTGATCTTGTACTTTTGAGCTATCCAGATTTCACTTGGTCCTGCGACTCCCATTTATAAGAGAAAGATGAAGTAACTGAATCACTCATGTGAACCACAGATGCAGAGACAGGTAAAGAAGCAATTATTAAAAAGTATCTCCTACCATTCCTGTACTTGTAACAGCCCAGTACAACTTTTGTTCCTTAATGTCAATGGTAAGGAATTCTACATGGTCCAGGTTGCCAGTGAAGAGGGTTTGTATGCCTGAGCCATCCATGTTTGCACTGGCAATCTTTGCTGGGACTCCACTGTCAGTTCCCTGGTCTGTCCAGTACAACTTCCTATAACAGACATTTTCAGATCTGTTAGCAAAACTGGCAAAAGAAATCAGTGGACCAGAGTTGCTTGAGCATATGCTTAAAACCAATTCCTCTGTCAGTCTAATACTTCAGCACATGCTGAACAGAGTTCATGTTGAATCAAACCACAATGAAAACAAGCTTATTTGAGAAAGAGAAGAATGTAGGCTCTCTCAACAAAGAGAAACACCTGCTTCTCTTGAAAGAGAGGAATGCCTCTTTAGTAATTTTTAGAAATCCATAACCTCACCTATTTCATCCCACCATACTATCAGCAGGTAAATACACTAGAGTATTATGACAATAGCATAAAAGGAGAAAAATAATAATTCTGTTTCACAGATGGCTGCAACATTTCAGAGTGAGTTTGGCTTCAATTATCAATTAAAACTACAGAATCAGAAAAAATATAGATGAAACAGAAAAAGGCAATTCATTCTTTTTGGGAAAAAGCAGCAAAATTATATTTAGTGTTATGCTTTTTGACATGACAATTTTCCCATATAATAAGTCTGTCTACTAGGCTCAAGTCAGACATCACAAGATATTTTACAGAAAGGCTTTGGAGTACTCTTTATTCTTGGTTCCCATTTTTCAGGGATTTTTTCACAATCATAATATTCTGAGATTTTTAAATTAAAAAATGGTACTATACAAGCATATTAAATTAAAGAGGATGAACATCTATGTAATAATTTAGGAAGCTATGCACTTATTTTTTACAGCTTAAAAAGAGTAAATAAATTCTGCACAAATATGAAACAAACAAAACCATGTCAAATCCAGGATGAAACCTGAAAACCCTAAAAAACAAGAAAAATATGGAGAATACACTCATGAGCAAATACAATAGCAGTTTTGGAAATTTACCCTCTTGCTGGATCAACTGCCAAGCCAATTGGTGTGCCAGCTCCCAGAGAGGTGCCATCATTGGTAATCAGTGTTTTCCTGTACATTATGTCACCATTCAGCTTCAGGACCTATGCAAACATTGAACTTATCAGACCATACAATATAGAACTTAGAATACATCTTCAAATTACAGGAATGAAGCCTAAATCATCACAGAGTTGAAATTTCAGAAGATTTTCTCGAATACCATGAAGCAAAAGCACATTGTTCTGTGCTCTAATCACATCCCTTTTCTATCACGAACCCTTGAAGAAGCTGTTTGCAGCTGAGGACCTGCCTTTGATAACAAGGGAGGATCCTAGGTATAGAAACAGTTCATCTTTCAGTTTCCATAATATCTTCAAGGCCTGAATGGGTTGATGAAATTCTGATTTAAGAAGTATCCCATTTCATTTGCTCAAATTGCCTTTTAATTTAATAGTAGGCATTTATATCTTGGAACAAGAGCACTAATTACTGAGTTTATTCACAGTCATTACTGTATTATATATTACTTATCCTCCATTTCCCTACTCTGAATGACAATTTTATCCTTCACATACCATGAGAATGCTTGTCTCTAGGAAGCTACATGGTATGTTATCAAAGCATTTGGGAATGGATCTTACTGCGTTCAATGGCAGTATTCCTTTACTATCAGAGGCATTGCATTGGGATCATTGTTTGAAGTAAGGATAGTAACAGCACTAACTCTAGTAATCATAGATGCTGGGTGTTAAACACCAGAAGCCTAACACGTAGGGAGAAAAAGAGAGATTTATATGTAAATAAAGTTTGCAGGCTAGATCTATGCACAAATAAAGTGTCCAGAATATACTGCTTTCAATCTTTTTGACTATGTTTAAATTTAAGTTTCTGTTCAAGTTTGTAAAGTATTTTTCTACAAACAGATTACACTATAAAATAAATCTAGTTGAAGTTTTTAATGAAATAAATATTATTAATTTCAATCTGTATACGTAGCAGTGAAAAGTCTAGACTCTTATTTTCCAATTGTCCCTGTTAAATAACTACCTCAATTGACTGTGTCCCTGGGTTACTGTAATACAGGTTTGCAGATATCCAGTCTAGTGCCAGACCAACAGGAGCACCAATAACAGCTGCTGGAGCAAAAACTGTCCTGTTGGCTCCATCTGACCTCACTCTGTGAATTTCACCCTTGGGGAAAAAAAAAAAAAAAAAGTTAAAAAAATGTCAAGAGCAGAAAACAGTCCTCTATTCCAACTGCACTAGCACTTTGTTTATACTGCAATCTTTTCTCATGCTATCCCAGTTCTAGGAGGAAGAAGGCAGAGTTAGAGATAGGGCAGACCCAGGAACATAAAATGGAGCACAGAAACTAGAGAAGTATCTTTTTGGCAGAGGGTGACCCATGACTGACACAGGTGTCTCAGCTCTGTTTGGGAGCAACAGAAGCCTGAAGCCTACAGGTCAGGGATACAGCTGGGGGGCACAGCCCAGACACATTTCTCAGGCTTTGTCAAGAACATCCTAAAGCAGACATAACACCTAACACTTGGTCTGCAAAGGCACCCGCCATTCCACTTCCCAGGATTTAACTTGCTGTTAATGTATCTATCAGCCCTTGACCTCCTACACTATTGTATATGTCAGCTGTATCTGCTGGCTGACATCTGTAAAGAGTAGTTTTTCAGACTGCAGGGAGGATGAAACACATTCGTAAGTACTTAAGTAGTTTCTCAGGCAAAGATTTGCTTAAATAGGTCTATTTAAGTACTTCATTGAACTAAACATTCTAACTTTAAAAGAACAAATAATTAAACAAATTGTAATTTCTTTATTAGTGGCATAGAATACACTTTAAAATTAGTTATTTTTAAAACTGTATTTACTTCAGAGCTGCAAAATGCAAAGAAAGCAGGTTGGGGAAAAAAACAAAAATCTTGTGTGGATGAAACATAACAAGTTTGTGTGAATTCTGTTAAAACATAATTACAGAAATATCCTTATCATACTTCTCCAATACCTAATTATTGCTTTTCTTGACAAAAAGAATTGGTTTTAAGTTTCCAAGAGGGAAAGGGACAAAGCTTCTTTGCTTGTCCTAGGAAAACAACCAAGAAAGTAAGAAAAACTTAAAAAAAAAAAAATCAGACAAACAAAAAACCCACCACACCAACAAAAAACATGCTAACATATTTCAGTCCAAAACACTTTTCAAAAATAAAAAAGGTTTTAATTTAGTGCATATTTTGAAAACAAATACTAACTTACTGGATTTTCAACCCAATAAATCATCTGTTCAGAGTCATCAAAGTCAACATCAACGCCATTTTGAACTCCTGCTATTGGAACCATAGCATCATTTGTCTTCTCCTCAGGGTTCAGAGAAATTCCATAAATTATATTATCTCTTACAGCAATAAGGAAAGGGTGTTCAACTGTGAAAACAGTTAAAGAGTAATTCAGAGTTGCTCCTGGTCAAGAAAAGGGCATTATGATATGCTTTCCCCCTCCCACTGAAAAGTTCCCTGATGCTAAGAATGGCTCAATATTACCAGTGATGTTTTGAAACCACTTACCTTGTTCCCTCACTAGGAACAAGGTTATCAGCTACTTAAACTGCTGTAACATTTTAAGTTTCAGCATTGTGTAATCATAATGCAAATTCTGAGCAGAAGGAAGTAAATAAGGCAGGATCACTCACTGTCAGACAAAAGAAGGACATTTGTGCAGCTGCTCTAAGCTGCTTTTTCAAATTTCTGAGAAGAAGAATCAGCCAAAGCTCTGAGGATTCTGCAGGATCTGCCTGTGGTAGGTTCTAATGCATATTAAGCAGGACCCACAAGCACGGAACAACATCACAGTGGCAACTGTTGATCATTATTATGAAATATAAATGCAGTACTATTTTCTTGGTTTATCCCTAAGGGAACAGACATACTCATTATGGTATATTTTCCTTTGGGTAAATTTGTACCTTTATGCTTAAATCTTACTAACAAAGGGCAATGCATCATGTGATCTGAGAAAATGCATCAGAGAGCTGCCGAGTGAGAGTCAGAAACTGCATTTCTCATCTGCTAGGGACTAGGGGAAGAGAATCTCCTGAACACAGATTCCCTCCACTCTTCCTTTAGCTTTGGTATTTGGAGAACAAATCCTAGCCTCTTCTTCCCATAGGCACAAACTACCACTTAACAGGGAACTGGGCTGCTGTAGAAGTAACCCATTTCCTCTTTTATAATAGATCAAAGACTTGGTTGGATGGTTTGATTTTTATTTTCTTTACTGGCTGCTTAACACATTTATATAAATTTTTCAGTAGAAATTCTAGCATGAAAAACCATAAAACAGCATCACTGCACCTCTCAAAAATTATTCTCCATACTTCTCTCTGGCTTTGTGAAGTATTTGTCAAATCTAATTTACTGCTTCAAGTTTTATACCTATGCAAATCTATACAATCTGATGATTCCTCATTCTTATGATAGAAAACAGAGCAAATTTGCTGAGCTATAGAGACATAAAAACTGATGTAGGTTCATCAACTTGGTATTAATATTAATATATTAATAACTTCTGCAATTCTTAAACTTAATAGAATTTGCAAGAAAAATTATAGTTCACATAATATTTGTGTATTGTTATATTAAATATGCACATGTACCATGTTAATACAATATTTTAATATACAAAAATTCCATTGTTTCCAAGCCAGCTTGCTACCATCTTTTATATCAACCCAAAATGTAGTTTAAAATAAAGTAAGTACAAAGGCAAGTTTTCTTCATCTTATATAAAGCTAAAAATGGTGCAATCCTGGAATCAATGAAGTTGGTACTATTTAATGTGCAAAATAAGCAGAGACCAGCAATATCACTCTTTGTAGAGACACTGGGCAATCAAACATCTGCAGTGAAAGATTGTGCTGACCTATTACAGTAAACAATGACAGCAAGGATAACAGTAAATATTAGTAAAGAAATTACAAATATCCATTTGTGTGTAATATTATCATAAAATAGCCTGAGTTGGAAGGGATTTTAAAATCATTTAGTTCAAACCCTTCTGCCATTGGCAGGGACATTAATCATTAGCAATTATTAAAATACTTTACAATTAAAAGAATTGGTATATTTTTTAAAACTTTTTCTGGTGTGCTGACCTTCATCAAATACATTTTTTTAAATTACCCAAATCGATAGCTATTTTCTACATACTGTTTTAACTGTATAAATTAAATCTAAATAGAAAAAAAATAAGCCCATATAGTTTAAAAGAATTGTGCTTCACAGAAAGATACTGCTGTTTCTCTCTTACAGAACACTTATGCCAGCAAAAGGCCCACACTTGTACCTAATCAGACACAGAGAAATTTGAAACGTGAAAAACAGAGATAAGAAATGTCAATAGCTGAATTCAGTGGCAGAATTGGGTCAACCTCTACATGCACATGTGCTTCATCACTGTCATGTTTCATTTTTTTTATCATGATCCCTCTATAAGCCTGCACATAATCAAAAAAGTGCAGATTTCTAAAAGAATCCCTCTTTTTTGTAACAGATTAAATAAATTCACACTTCATTTCAAATTATATAAATTGGTAATTCCCTTGCTGCTGACTAAGAAAACTGTGAATGCAATACAGCCTTTTAAAGAGCACATTGCTAAGTATCAAGCAGGAAATTGTGAGGTTCAGTGAATTTTAGGGCGAAGAACCAAGGTTAATCTAAAACTGGAGCTTGACTAGTGAAAGGCAACATATGACTCACAGTCAAGGGCAACAAAGAAACCAACTTCAGTGACCAAGGAAGTCCCTTTCAGTCCTGCATCCTGACACTCTTACAGTTACAACCCATGTTTCCAAGCTGAATACTTACAATGTACACAACGACCTGCCACAGTATGTTTTTATTTTTAACTGACACTAAGCTCCTTTGATTTGTATTTCAACAGCCAAACATTCCACATGGTGAGAAACTTTAAAGTGTGGCTTCTTTAAAAAGTTTGTAAGAAAACTAATTTCACCCATTTTCCCCCAATGAAGAATCTGAATCTCTCATTCAGTCCTTTCCCAAAACTATCTCCAAACCATTAGGCCAAGTATATTCCATGTGTCCTAAATGAAGTCTGTCTGTAGTGGCCCAAACTGATTTCATGAGCAGCAGCCCACAGAAGCATGCATTTTGCCTGGGAAAGGGATGGATTTGACAATATCAGGTCTTTTTTATCATCTCATTAATACTGCCCTACCTCTCATGCAGTTCCTGTTATCAGGAGAAAGGATCCATCCTGAAGGGCAAGCACAAGAAAAAAAAAGTGGTCCAGATGAAGAAAGTAAGCAGAGGTGGCTACAGGGGGATGATGCACAGGAATTAATACCTGAAAATAAGAAAGGAGCTATTAGCAGCTATAACAATATAATCAACTAGAGAAAACATTTTCTCTCCTTGCTACTGACATTAACCCAGAACTAAAACAGTTTTGCTATTTCTTTAAAATTAAAATAATGAAATTATTTCTAAGAACCACAAGCAATACAATGTACTTGTGACAGTATAGAATTTTCTATGGAAAACCAGTATATTATCATAGTGATCTTTGGAATTTTTATACATCACCAAAAATCTTTCAAACTCCATTTCAAGCTTTTCTTAACTGCATGGAAAAACCTGTAGAATTTGCAGTCCTTGATTGTAATAACCCTTCTACATGGGGAATTTAAATTATTTGCTCAAACTTCTTGGAGAAACTAAAGAGAAAATACTTGCGATGTCTTACTCAAAGATAGTGGGAATTGAATGCCAAATTTCTTAACTTACTTTGAAACTGTGAATTAAAAGTTGTAAAATGTAAAAAAAAGGCACTGAAGAGCTCTCCTGACTGCTATTATTACTATACACTAAAATTCAATCTAAACCACTTCCACAAACTTGCTGCTGAAGATTTTTCAGAATGAGTAATCTTCATAAGAAAACAAAAATCAGATTTTGAGTACATCCTTAGCAATGACAGCAGACCTCATTCTAAAAAGCTTGGAAGTTCCAGGAATTTATATTAGTAAAAATATAAAAACTAACAAGAACTGAAAACAAATTAACATGACAATTAAATAATGGTATAAAGTCAGAACTCAAACTGTAAGAAAATTGCTCATATTATCAGTATAAAAAATCCAAACTCTGGTTAGTCTAAGATCTAATGGTTTACAAAATAAGAGAGAGGATGACAGTTTTATTACTGCATCTGGAATTTCAATCAGCATGTAATTATTTCTTCATTTGTCAACACTGGTATGTTTTGCTATTCTGCAAGTACTCTATTCCCTCTTTTTTTGCTTGGCCACATAAAGTACAATAGAATAATTGAGAATGAAAAATTATAAAATGTACTAAATACAATGAAGAAAAAGAAGAAAACGTTCTCCAGGGATCGAAATTTTTTTAAACCTTAGGTTGTAAGATAAAACCTCTCAAACCCTAATTATGATTAATCAATTAATACTATGCCCTGCTAAGTGAACAATTTACAGTGAGAATAGGTGGCTCTAGTTCTGAACATGTCTGAGGAAGGCTCTGTTCTAAAACAAATCTAGCACTCAAAGTACTAGTGCCTTACTCAGATACTCAGGGAAGTCTCCACGTTCCCTGGCATGGCGGTGTATTTTGAGGAAAAAAAAGGAAAAAAAATGTAGTATTTATTAGCTGGAAACACTCCATACAGAAGAAATATAACTAAAGCTTAAAGATAATATTCATATCAACATGCTCCCCCACTCTTCAAGTCATGCCATGAAATAACAAAAAAGTCTGACATGAAAGACCTAACAGAAATAATTTAGGGGTTTTTTTAGTCTTTAAGCTGCAAAAGATCACCTGCACAAGATCTCAGAGAAGGCTGATGACAGTAATCTTTTCAATAAGAATAATTACTGCACAAGAAATTGAATCTAGTATGCCAGAGAGAGAATTTTTTAAACTTAAAATGCTTTCCAAAAATGCTTCCATTGTCTTGTAAAAACATTCAGAAGTGCAAGAAAATGTCACATACTACCTCCTTATTATTTTTTTTGGCTAGTCATCATCCTGAAATGCTGCCTAGGTGGTTGCTTTCCTTAACACCAGATTGAACAGTTGCAAGTCAATAGTATGAATTATTTGTTTGTTTTAACCCAATCCATTTGCTGAAAAGACTTGGTGTTCCAATGCATGACACTGTGTTGGTGTTCCAACTGCATGCTTCTTTCTGCAATTACCAAAGTTGTGTTGAGGAACTTACCATGAGGCTGCTTTACAGGATGGACTGCCACAAGACCCAAGGGTTGGTGAATGTTATAAATCATAACTGTCTGGTTTCCTCCATGCCATTTATTGGCCCGAATTACTCGATTAGTATAGCGGTCACTCCAGTACACAAAATCTTCAAAGACAGTTAGACCATGTGGATGCTGCAATATCTAAAAAGGAAGGTCAATTACCAATTTACTTCTGCAGATTCGCAGATGTAAAGCTTGCAATGAAGTAACAACAGAGGTGAGCATAATTTTAAAATAAATAAATAATGAAGCAACTGTGTCTCAAAAGACATTTTTCAGAAAAAAAATGAACTATCATCTATTGTCTAAAAACATTAATACATTAATAATGAGGAAAATATTTTTTTTAAAAGATGGAATTCTATATAGACCCTGTGAGATGAAGAGAATGAGGAATTAACAAAGCAGTCTAACTACTTTGGGCAGAACCCACAGATAAAGAGCTAACTGTAGATTTTCAAAAGCACAAGAGGAAATGACTAGTGAGAATTATGGACCTGTCAAGAACCTGCATCCTTGATAAGCTCCCCTAAAATTTACCAGAGGATCAAGGAAGGTGATTTACCTAGATTTCAGATAACCAGGAGTGGAAAGATTGCCTTGGCTCCTATATCACACTAATTGTCCCTCCAGCCAAAACTAAAAGCCTCAACAGCCAATTATTGAAAACATTCACATGGTTATTTATACCAGTTTCTGTATGCCAGCTGAACATCTGCACTATTTGTTGGTACAAGGACAGTGCCACAAGCTGCCAGCAGCACTTTTCTGGGAGAGAGACTGTAAGAGGAATGATCTTGATGGAGTTGCTGCACACAAGTCATAGCACAAAACCCTTCACTGCTGTCAAGAATAGTAGCAGTAATCAATCACAAAAGACAGGGAAAGTTTTTCCAGGCTTTCTCTACTATATTTGCCTACAGAAAATGCACCACCTAGTAGCAGCAATGTCAGATGTCACCTTCAGATTTCATACAGAACAGATGAGAAAGCTATAAAGCACCAGGTCTACAGCTACAAACTCTGCTGGAGATCTCCTGAGAGACTGAATAGGATATGCAATTTCTCTTTTTACAGCAACAAGAAGCAGAAAAAATACTTCACATCTGCTTCACTCAATAATTTTGAAGAAAAATACACCCAAGTCTATGAAAATATATTTTTAAGTACTATCAGCAGGGACACAGAAAAAGAACAGTTCCTTATTAATGGCTTACCAGATCACTTGCAACCACCTGTCGTCTGTTGTTTCCATTGTAATCACAGAAATCGATATAATCAAGATAAGCATCCGCAAAATAGAGAAGTTTATTTGGATAATCAATGGAAAGTCCATTGGGCCAGTAGATTTTATTATTAATAATCACTGTGCGCATATTGCCATCCATGCTGGCTTTTTCAATTCGAGGGTTTTGGCCCCAGTCCGTCCAGAACATTACATGAGCACTGAAAAAGCAACTCATGGTTAGCAAACAGGGAAAAACATAGCTGCCTATTAAGAAACATTACATTAAGAATCTTTAGCCAAAAAACAGAAGCAATCTTTCTATGAACAGTCCTACACAATGATACTGAAATAATTTATTTTAGCAACATGCTTACTGAAGATATTACAGTAATTTGCTATAAAAATTCTTTTAATACTTCTACTGCTGTTTCTATTTGTCAATAATAGCAGCATATAGAAGCTACTGGTGTCACTGGTTTTTAATTTTTATTATAATCTCATTCTCTGGTTGCAACATAGTAATTTAATACAGGTTTATACTCTAAGAGGTATGCATTGATAATGTTAACAGCACTGAAACAGGCAGTAAACAGAGTTCAAGGCATTGCAAACCTTAAAAAAAAGAGTAAAGTTTTGTACATTAACAATTCTAATCATCACATTAACTCTATACTACTTGCTGTCTGAAATGGGAAGGTCCTTTTGTGATAACAATACAATCTAGATAATTATTTTAGACTTGGAACTACGACTTGGAACACATGACATGAAATCACATTAAGTTTGTGGTATATCACCAACTGAAGTGATATAATTTTGAACTAATACCTCTTAACTTGGAAGCAAATGTAGAAAAATCTTTTAAGGTAAAAAACCATCTTGTTACACTGAAATAGAGCAACGAATCACCAATAATTACTTCATGACTTGAAATATTAATCAACTCTGTAAACACACTAAATTGTTTTAAGTTCTCTTCCACTAGTCATTTACAACTCCAATACAATTTGGACATGTCTCAAATTTTAATAGTTACATCATAAAATAAGCATCTTACTAAAAATTCACTTGAATAATCTTACTCAGTTCTGGGATCTAACACGAGTCCTCTTGGGTTTGTTATATTTTCACTGATCAGCACTGTCCTGTGGCTCCCATCCATTTTGGAGACTTCAATTGTTTCCAGAACAAAGTCTGTCCAGTAAAGGTTACGGCCCACCCAATCTACTGCTATACTTTCAGTCACAGTGACACCGCTGTCAAACACCTGTTCAAGAACAAAAAAAGCAGGTGGGGGGGAGGAAAAAAAAATTATATTAAATTTTACCCCTTGCATTTCTATAGATATGGAAAATGATTAACCAAGTTTTCAATATCTTCTAGGTCTGTTATGCAGAATGAATCACAATGTACATATTCAAAATGATGGCAAAGCATAAACCCAAACACTCCAACTGACTTCAGCAGGTCTATTGAAGAAGTTAGAATTTACTAATAGGAAATTTACTAATAGGAAAACCAGTTCATATTTTGATGTCTAAAAAAGGACTTCTTGAAAGCATTCAGTTTCCTTTTTCAAACAGCTACATGAAATGTTAGCTTAGCATCTATAAAGTTGTTTCACTTTGCCTCTGTTATCTCTCTTCTTACTATATTTGGATTCCCTCTTCTCCTTTGTGAACTGAAGATACAGTGTCTTCACTTTCTCTCCACAAAAGACAAGAAAACTTACTCAGCAAAACTTACTATTTTTCGGTCAGTCCCATTTTGGTAAGAACTCCAAATTTTATCCTGTGTTGTATCAGACCAAAAGATACGATCTGTGACTGAATCAAAATCAATAGCCACAATATTTGTCCCATCCCGAACCAGAGAATAAATACTGTGTGACTGAGAAGTGATGTTATCCACAACAATTTGGTTACGACTTGCCACCAGCAAAAGAAGATTCCCAGATTCTGTCAGAGGAATAGAAATTAAAATAAACCAATGAGCTATTCAACAGTAACTGGGAGAAAAATAAATACTGAGTAATTTAACATGACTTTATAGCATCAAAACTGTAGTATCTAGACATACATATTGAAAGAACAAATTCAAATAAATTCTTAAGCCAAGATACAGTATCATATCCAGTCTGTCCATCCTGACTTTTAAATCTACCTTCGCTTTTCTCCATAACTCCTGTTACAGATTTCCCTTTCCAGGCTCCTATCAGGACCTTGGGCACCATTCCACCCCGTCTAACCAGTTTGCTGCTGACATCCAACACTCATTCCTCCATAAACCTCTTTCATCTCCTACTCCTGATTCAACTCCCAAAGTTTTTGGTACCTCCAATTAATCTTCTCAGCCTGGTCTCCCTCCTTTGTAACCTACCTTCTCTTGTTTCCCCCTTTAGACCATGTGGGAACAAGGGAGAAGATACAGATTACAGGAAAGCCATAAACTGCTGTAATTAGGTTGCACAGATAAGATGCTGAAAAACAACTGAAGAATAAAAGCCACAAAGACAGCAAAGTACAAGAAACTCCCTATTAGTAACGGCCAAGCCTATGTGCAGGGAAAATGCAAGTGTCTTCCACAACCTGACTATATCCCTAAACCAGGAAACCTGTAGAGACGAATTCCACTAGGTTTATGGCTCCTTTGCCCTATCAGTGTAGTACAAAAGAGACAGAGAACAACAGGCATCTAGGCTGTATCACTGATGTTTGCTCCTTAAGAATGAGAAAACTATAGAATAGGCACCAGTTAAGTACTGGGATTTAAATACTGTATGAGCATTGAACTTTATGAACAGTTAATTTTGGCCTATGGCTTACAAGTCTCTAGATTTGCTTTTCTTCAAAACATTCTTTTTGACCATTCCAGGCTAAAAATAACAATGTTCATTTAAACATACTATTTCAATGAAATATTAGTTTCTAATTAACCCTACAGCTGACAGTTTCAATTCTCAAGGTAATCTGCTATAAACAGCTCTAAATGGCTGTTTACATCAACTTTTTAAAAGAGAAAATATCATAATGGCAAAGTGTTAGGGGTTAGGACTTTTTGCTTTCTTTCAGGGAATTGCTTTCTTTCAGGGAAATTTCTCCCATTTGTTGCTAAGAGACAGTAACAGCTAGTACTTAAGAGAGACAAAGGACATAGGGAAGGAGAAGGGGGAGAGTGCAGCTGGCTGCCTTATCTAGCTGCGGGGCATTCTCTCGGGAAGGGCAGCTATAGCCGGAGATTTTGGCTGAGGAGTGAGTGGCTGGGTTGGGCTGGGCTCGTCTTGCTCTTTAAGCCCTCAGCATCACAGGAGGACGCTCGGTCGAGCTGTTGCCACTGCCACGGCCCAGCCCTGTACTGCTTCTTCCTTACTGTGGGTGAGCCTCTGCTTGTAAGAACAGCTGTTGGACTGGCACCTTATTAACAGCCTACCTCACTAGAAAGGACCCTCACCATGTACCTGAGTGCCTCAGGGGGAAACCCGGGACCCTGAGCCCGCTCCAAAGGAGCCTCTCCTGGCTGCACGGGGCTGGGCTGCCGCTGCCCAGACCTGCCGTTTTTCTGCCATTGCTCCGGGTTTTTGCTACACTCTAACCCCGCACCCCTGCCTGCCGTCAAACCCCTGTGTCTCCTGCTACAGCTGTGAAGTTTCTGATACATTTCGTTCGCTGCTCTGGGGTTCCCGCCGCAGCCGCCTCCCCGCCCAGCCCGCCGCCATCGCCCGTGAGGGAGACGCGGCCGAGCCCGCGCCACAGCGCCCCCTGCCGGCGCAGGGGCAGGCAGCGCCCCTGCCGGGCCGGAGCCAGCAGCGCCCCTGCCGGCCGTGCCCGGAACTGCACCGAAGGGAAGCGCCCGCGGCCCCTGGGCCGGGCCGGGCTGGGCCGGGCCGGGTTCGCTTTGCTTTGGTGCTGCTGCCATTGCTGTTGGTTGCTTGTCTTGTTAAATACATCTACATGTGTATATATATTAATAGAACTATTACTCCTTTTCCCATATCTTTGCCTGAAAGCCCCTTAATTTCAAAGTTAAAATAATTTGGAGGGAAGGGGGTATTATTTTCCATTCCAAGGGAGGTTCCTGCCTTCCTTGGCAGACACCTATCTTTCAAACTGAAACACAAAGCTGAACAGTTTTCAGGTACTGCTGTCATTCTTAGACTGACATCAATGTTTCTCACCTGCTACTTTACAAGTCCTCCCATTGGCTTCTAGAATATATCCTTCATCACAATAACACCTAAAAGATCCTCTCTCATTGTAACAGTGCTGACTACAAAAGCCTGGAGGGTCACATTCATTAATATCTTCACAGGTCTTGGTGTCATTTGCAAGCTGGTATCCAATAGGACAGGTACACTGAGCTCCAAAAGGTCCTTGAATACATTCATGAGTGCAGCCAGCATTATTGTCAGAGCAGCTTTCCTGATCTGAAGTTGGGTTGGGGAAAGACAAAAGCAAATAGTCAACAAATGCTTCCTATGATAAATATAAGTCTTTACAATTGCATTATCAGCCAAAGACTGCTACTAAAATAACTGCAGAATCGTCAGTTATGCAGCGTGAGAATGGACTGTGGTCCTTATGCAAAATGCAAGATACACAGTGCACATTAAGGCAGGTAATAACATCAACTGAATCCCACCAAATGAATGCCAAACAGAAGGCTGTCTAATTATATACAACTTTGTCAAAAATAGCTAGAATTATATGAAAATTCACTTTACCACTCACTCCAATCCTAAAGCTGTATAAATAATAATTTAAAATATTTTATAATCATACCTGGCTGGGGTTCATCTGAGAATGTGCATTGATTAAAGAGAAGAAGGAGGAAAGAAGGAAAGAAAAAGATTATGTTTAAATCAATTAATAATCAACATAAAAACAAATTCTGGCTACACATTAACTTATTGATTTTAATCATGATTCTTGAAGTTAAAAAATTAAAAGAGAATATTAAAGACTGAATCACATTTCATCTGAATATAAAGCATATAATGCTTTAGTGAATGTGTCCAGGAACACAAATTCCCATGTAGTTAAAGAAAAATCTAAAATCAGTGGAAGTTACACTAGAATTCAGAGCACAAGATTGGACATAGCAAATTAATTCCTCAGTCATCATTGTAGTCTCTTTTCACTGAAAACAAGTTCCACTTAGAAATTTGAGCTCAAATTACACTGTTCTTACATTTCTGCCAGAAACACAGTGATATTAAATAGAGCATGCTGAATATTCCATTTATTTCTGAAGACATGACACATAGTCTACAGTAGATGCTTGAAGAGTAACTTACTGCACAACGGGGATTCATCAGCTCCATTAGGACAATCAGCAGAATTATCACATACTTTGCTGAGATTCACACAGATACTGTGACCTGGACACTGCCATTGCCAGCTGGGGCACCGGAAAGGTTGAGTTGGACAATCTCTCTCATCGCTCATGTCCCTGCAGTCATTATCACCATCACAGATCCACGCTCGATACACACAATTGCCATTATCACAGCGGAAAAGCGATGGAGGACATGTTCTGGCAGGACACCTGTGATGTTCATCTGAGCCATCTGCACAATCAACGTGGCCATCACATTCCCAGTTATGAGGAACACAACTGCCATCTGATTGACACTGGAATTCATTCTGGTGGCACATCCCTGGTGGTCTTGTAGCTAGAATAGTGACATTCAACAGTTCAGAAGCTGTTTCAATTTTAGACAGAGAAGCAAAACCACTGTGTTCAGTTCATCTCTTATATAACTCATTACAGTGCTATTAAGAAATGCATTGCTTTCAGATCAGGACATAGAATCACAGTCAGTCAATCTATATGACATTTCAAAATGTGACTAATTTAACTCCTACTTTATAATGTGGTCAATAAGGCAATTCAATTGTTATACTTTGAACAAGCACATATTTATACCTATGTACCTGCCCAAAGCTACAGAAAATCAGTTTCTCTTTTACCACCATGTGTTGTAACATTTTAACTCATTTAAGTGTAAAAAATTACCCAAAAAGAAGTTTTAATCTAACTCTCATGAATACCAGGTTTTCCAGATTAATAGGCTTTATTTTACTTTAAAATCCTGAGACTGAAATGCCAAGTATAACAAAATGTTATAGCCAAAAGGAACTGTCCTCTTTGCTTGGACCAACTACTCTTGCCAGCATAATCTGCTTAGTCTGCTCCAAGATGATTAGAGGGATGAAGCACCTCTCCTACAAGAAAAGACTAAAAGAATTGAAATTGTTCAGCCTGGAAAACAGCAAGCTTGGGGGTGACCTAATTGTGGCCTTTCTTATAGACTCCCTTCAAATACTGAAAGACGGGGAGAAAATTTTTAAAAGGGCATGTAGTTAGAGGACAAAGAGGAATGGCTTCATACCAAAAGAAAACAAGTTTAGATTAGATATTAGGAATAAATTCTTTACTGTGAGGATGGTGAAGCACTGGAACAAGTTTTCCAGAGAAGTTGTGGATGCCATATCCCTGGAAATGTTCAAGACCAGGTGGGATGGGGCTTTGAGCAACCTGGTCTAGTGAAAGGTGTCTCTACCCATGGCAGGGGAATTGAAATTAGATGACCTTTAAGGTTCCTTCCAACCCAAGCCATTCTATGATTCTATGACATTCTTGCACTGGAACCCGTGTTTGAAATTCCAGCTCAGGAAGATGATGTAATGACAAGTTTCCCTGAAAAGAATATTAAGATTTCATAGACAGTATTTGACATAGCAGATTAAAGGAAAGTTCTAGAAGCACCACTTAATAATTGAAGTCTTTCTTTCAGCATCAATATACTTACGGCAATCAGCCTCGTCTGAGTGATCGTTACAGTCAAAGACACCATCACACTGGTAGTAGGTGCTGATACACTGGTCTCCACTTAGACATTTAAACTCTGTGGCACTGCAGTTATATACTACAAAATTTAAAAATATTGAATGTTATTTATTTCTTTTACAGAGCTAGACTGCATCAGATTTACCCTACAGATGCTTAAGTCTGATATGGTATCAATTCCACTGAAGAACTTAATTTCCCTGAGACACAGAAAATGCAGTGACTTTGTAATTCGCAGAAAACAGAGGAAACATATTTTCAGACCTCCACAAGCAGCTCAGAGATCAAAAGCATCACAAACAGGATTAATTTATGGATAGGTTTATTATGCATTCTGCTGTCTTGGAGCTGGTAATATGAGATCTCCAAAGTCTCCTTTAGGGGCAAGTGTGAGGAAACAATAAAGAGGCATTCAACAAAGAAAGTTACACTTACTGCAGTCATGCTCATCAGCACCATCTATACAATCTTTGTCTCCATCGCAGACATAGAATGGGTCAATACAGCGATGGTCTGGACACTGGAATTGCCTGGGCTCACAAGTACCTGTGAAAGCTATTAAGAATGACAATAAATGCAAATGTGTTTCTTCCCTCTCTTTTGAAATCAGCATATTGCTGAGAAAGTAGAAGAACATTATCCCTAACTTGCAGCATATAATACAGCAACTAGCAATCGTATAAATTATAAGTACTAATAAATTAATATCAGTTAATTATTCATTTATATGTAGGCTTGGGCTCATGGAAAAAAACCAAAAGATTCCACATAGTGATAAATAGAAAGCATATGCAAAAGCTACTATCTTACTTCTGGTAAAAACTTCCAGCCTAGGTTAGCTGACTACACCATTAGCCATCAGTGAGATCACTTATGAAGCAGGTGTTTAGAATATCTCAGTTTTAACTGCTTTTTGGTAATTACAGGGGATGACATTATGCAGCACCATGATATGATTATCACATTTGCCCCTTTTTATTTGTTTTATTATTTTTCTGCATTCTACTTGGCCTTTGGATCTTCAAATTAGACAAGTTTTCCATATCTTAAGGACTACAAAATATCAATCTAAATTAGATACTAGCCCTTTTTTCCCAGTTTCATTTATCATCCTTATACCAGCAGATATGTCTGTGAAAATATGCACAGTTGACTATAAAAACAGATAATCATGATACTCACTGCAGTTTTTTTCATCTGAGCCATCACCACAGTCATTATCAGTATCACATAGCCAGATTCTTGGAATACATCTTCTATTATCACAGGTGAAGTGGGTTGCAGGGCATGAAGAGGATCCTTGTGTAGGACAATGCAATTCATCACTGCCATCAAAACAGTCATTATGTGTATCACAGTGCCAGTGACCTGGAATACACTGTCCGTTGGCACAGGTAAAAGCTGAAGAAGCACAAGTATTGTCTGAAAAAAAAAAAAAAAAAAAAAAAAAAAATTTTTTGAAAAAAAAAAAAAAAAAAAAAAAAAAAAGTCTTTATAAAGATCTCCAAAACTTGCCTTTCCTGCAACAGTTATCAGTACATTTATTACACTTACAGAATGCCAAAAATATGCATCAAATTCTGAAGTGCACATTGCTTAGAATTAAAATGCCTGTTATGCAACATGCTGCAGAACTGAATACTTACAAACTTTCTTAAACTGCAAGAAACAATAAAAAATTACACAGTTAAGCACTCCACAACCTAATGAACAAGAAACGTAACTTCTTCTAGCAACCATTTGCTCTATAACTTTCCCCAAAAGATATTCTAGTTATGCTAAAATGGCCCATTAATAAGAAATAGTTTATACCTCAGTCATACTAGTTAGTCCTGTACATTAGGGAGCAGATTTTACTACTGTGTCCTATTTTCTTCTTTGTGATTTAAAATAATTAACTCTGAAGAAGTACCAGATACGCCATAAAAGCCTCTTCAATATATTCAGTATCTTATCCTCTCTTCAATGCCTTATCAACTGTGATTATCTCACTGTTCTCTCAGTTTACTTGAACAACAAAATATTTTGTGTGAGACATCTTATTGTAAAACTAGGAAATGAACCACTGTGCTTTTAATTTACTTAACTGTTAAAATCCAGATGTAACGAATGGATTGACATTGCCCAAATATTAAGAAAAATAAATATTTTATTCTGATGTTAAGTGAAATAAAAGGTGCTTTAATCTTAGAGGAAGGTTAGGCAATTCATATGGTTTTGCTATTTTTCTTATAGTGCTATAAGTATCTTCATCTTTACCAAATGGCTTGATCCTCTCCATGCATCCAAAGTAGGCAAGTTATTAATATTCCAATATCTTTCAAAATTTACAAAAAAAAAAATAAAGACAACATTTTTCTTTAGAAAATAAATTTTTGTTTCTCTGTAAATTGAATTTTGAGAATAGCGAGATATGAATATTTTCATGCATTGTTTAGGTGGCTGGTACTGAATCCTGTATTACTTTGATATAATTTTCAAAGTAGTTTTATTCCAAGTAATTTCTAAAGTAACTATTTCCCCAGGAAGATTTCAGGATTTATTCATAGATGCAACCCTAAAAAATTGTAGTTTATTGCAATGAAGCCATATTGACTCATTACATTTGCTGAACTGCAAAAAAGAAACACTAACTGCAGATTACAGGGATTACTTACTTAAAGAACCACAGTTTTGTTCATCACTGTTATCATGGCAATCATCAACACCATCACACTGATAGTATCGAGGCACACATCTTCCATTACCACAGGAAAATGAGTAAGAGCCACACTGCAAAGTGGGTGGCTCATTGGATGGATCTTCAACACATGCCAGTTGATTTGGAGCCAGCTTCATGCCATAAGGACACCCACAAACTCTCTGAAAGTTTGGCACGGGGAAGCAGAAATGGCTGCAGTCTCCATTGGGATTTGTTCCTCTATTACAGTAGTTAGAGCCTTAAAAAGTGATAGAGAAGATCAATGCACATACTACAGATAACATTTTGGGAACTATTAAAAGTGCACAATAACTGTAAAAAAAAGTGCTGTAGCAAGTCCTGGTTTTGCACACACTGCACAACAAGGTCAAACTCATTGACAGCAATAGTAGCAGTAACATAAAAGAAATGTTGTATTCTATATACTCTTCCTGACACAAATGTTTATGGAAGCTGAAAACATGTTAGTAATTTCATCCAATTTTCTGACTATTTTCAGCAACTGTCTGGAAATAAGTATACTACCACAAAAGACAACCTCTGTCTGACCAAGGCTGCGAGACCAGATGCAATATTTCAATACCAAGTAGTCAGTGAGCCTTCCATTTAATCATGTTTGATGAGTGCATTGGCTGTTTCACAAAATCAACTACAATACTAAATCCTTGGCTTAGATCATAGAATCACATAGAAGTTAAGAAAATACAATTTATAAATCACCATTTTAAAAATTAAAAAATTAAAAATTTAAAATAGTGATTTATACATAGTAATTATTGAAGAATAGTAATTTGATTAGTAAACATTTACCCAATTCCTAAAATAAATAATTTAGTTTAAATAAAACTTCTACCAGAAAAGGAGAAATACAAAATTGTAGTTGGTGATACAATTACACAAAACACAATGAATAATAATTTCATTTTGCTCACTTGTTAAGTACAGTAACAGAAGGGGTAGAGGGAAACTGCATCTAGTCACAAAGCAGTGATATGATAATACAACGGATTTCAACAACTGGAATAATCAATATGTGATTCCAAGTGCCTGTGCTGCCTCCTTTGCATGTCAGTTATAATTCAGTGAAGCCATTTATAGATTTAAAGCTGGAAATCTGCTGTCCTGACATTTTGTCTCTTATTTCCTATTTCATATCCTCCCTCTGTAGAAGAAAGAGGCTCACCTATTTGGGAATGAGCGTCGTATGCCTTAACATGCATAATGTTACTAATGCCCCTCCTAATAATAGTCATTTCTCCTCCATCAGACTTCCTTACTCGAACTATTCCACCAAGTCTCCAATCAGTGAAATAGGCATAACCTGTTTTGAAAAATATTTAACATATTATACAGAAATAGGACATAAAAGATCAAGTATCATAAAAAAAAACCTAGAGGACTTTTCATGAAAATTTAACCATTTTTCATAACTGTTTCATGAAAAAGACAAAAGGACCTTCACCACTTATAAAGCTGTCAAAGTGAGCCTTCAGTCACAGGCAGACATAATTTAGGAAAGCCTTCTCAAATTTTACTGAAATTGACACATAACACACCCAACTAGAATTTCAAATTCCAAGGCAATTTTAAGTAATCCATTAAGACTACTTCACAGAAAATTTTAGCGTCTTTTTGAAGATATTTTTATACACAATCAAAAAGGGTCACATACTGAGATCTTTCTTCAGACACAACATAAATTCAGTAATAAACTTTACATATAATTATTAGAAATCCTGAAGTGCTGACCATCTCTGAAGTGGTCATTCACTTTGTCTGTTCAGCATGAATAGCTCACCTTGGAAGCTCTAATTAGAACAGCATATCTGACTTGTTGCACTACATGAATTACCTGACCTATCTAAAACTATTTTAAAATAAATATACATTAAACCAGTTCTAAAAACAAGCAAGAAATACTAAATACATATTTTTAGTAGAAATTTTCAAGAGTGCTTTTTGAGAAAGCCAGTATTGCAAAATCTCTGTCATTTTATGTCACAAGCTCACAGATCACCATATGAAAAGAAAAATCTGTAATAATGATAGATAGTATTTTTCAGTGCCAGACTTACCTCCAAAAATTGTAAGGCCAAATGGGTGAGTCATCTGAGTAATATGTTCAAGAGTCCGTCTGTCGAGCCCATCAAAAGTGCTGTGCTCAATTTTATCAAAAAAAGCATCCACCCAGTACAACCTCAGAGAACTAGAAATAATGAAAGTGTTATCTCTTTTTGAGTGACATTATATCCATTATGAAGCAGTAGCATCTTCTTAAATAATAATCTTTAACCTACAAGAAGGCAGGTTAAAGGTAAGGTAGGTTAGAAGGTAGGGGTAAGTGGGGATGGATTCTGAGAAAACCTTTTATTTTAAGGCTTTTCAACCAATTGAAAGATGAGATCTTCAAGAAGAGTACCAGCGCGTGCAATCTGACATCATTCCTTTATTTTTACTTCCTAAGAGTTTAAAGGAAGAAACATCTTTGCTCAAAAATAGCCTCTTTGTGTTGCCCATACCTCCAGTCAATGGCGAGGCCATTAGGCCAGCCCAGCGTTGTATTGACAATTGGCAAGGCATGGGATCCATCACTCCAGGCCCTCATGATTTTTGCTGGACGGAACCAATCTGTCCAGAATATATACCTGAAAGGACACATATCAGAAGACATACAAAATAAATTATATAATTTGATTAAACAGAGCAAACATTTGAAACAGCATTAACATTTTTCTTTGTATGACATCTTTCACATAACTTAAAATGATACCATTTCATGTTGTCCTTCTCCTCAACTGGCAGTAGTACCGACAATTCATATATATCCTGTATACAACAACCAGAATATTTTTAAGTATTATATTTGTAAGTATTTGAAAGTCCTTCAGATATAAAATACCCATAACTTGGTTAAAACTGTTAAGATTCTCATGTAATTACTGACAGAGAAATAGAATCAATCAAAAAGGCATCTTCTAGCATGAATGCTACAAAGAATTTTCTCCTGATCCATTTAACTTATGCTTACCATCAAAGAGTTGAAGTTAATGTTAAATAATTTTATAAAGCAGCAGAAAAAAATGTTGGGATATCCAAGGATCCAGGTTCAACATTATTCTTACGAGATTACTTTCAAAATAGTGTATTTGGTTACTCATGAAAAGTCAACATCCAAGAATGAAGAAATTCAGTACAACATTATAAAGCCAAACTATGCAGTGAAAGAAACACTGTCTTGGCATTGGCAAAGAACACAGAGTATGGAATTTGAAAGTAAGCATTTCCATCAAAGAAAAGTAGGGCTTTATTTTGTGTATGAGTCACATATTCTAAAGTCTGTATCAAATACAGATACGTGGGTTCAATACAGATATGGTTCAAATAAAGAAATTCAGAGAGATAAAACTACAGAACCAATGTTAGCAGTCTGTGAATTGAAAGTATATTAAAAACAACTGAGCAAACTCCATCTCTCAACAATAAGAATGATACAAAGAAACCAAGTTGTTTTGCCTTTTTATCAATGAACAGGAGTAAAAGGAAAAAAACAGTGCTTTTAAAGAGAATTCTTTCTTCTGTCATGTGGAATCTCTTTCACCATGCCCTTTCCTCTGGGTGCTGAATCCTAGGCTGGAATAAAACAAATTAAATAAAGACAAGACAACTGAAAAGAGATGGTATTTTGAAAAGAACAAAAATCCAGAATCAGATGTAAATCTGATCTCAGCAGTTCTGTTTAAACCATGAATTTGTACATATAGTTTAAAATGGGAATTTAAACTTACCCAATAACAGGATGAACCACTATTGAACGAGGGTTATTTAAATTCTGAACAATAGCTCTCCTGGATTTATCTGCCAGCCTCATCACACTAATGCTCCTGTATCGAGGATCTGTCCAGTAGAGGTTCTTTGAGATCCAGTCAAAAGCTAGATCTTCAACACTTTCCACTCTATTAGCAGTCAAGATCTCTCTTCCTAGAATTTATAACACACATAATGATTGCAAATGCTTAGAAACAGGGGAAATAATAAGTACAGTATTCTATTGATGAAACTTGTGGTTCCCTTTGGTAAAAATGCTACCTCTGTGCTACTTAATATAAAGACCAATAACCAAGGAGAGAGTGGAGTGCTCTTTGCTCTAGACAAGGTGTATCTCCACAAGCACAACTGGAAAAGAGGGGAAATAAAGACTAACCAAAGGTCAGAGAAAAATCTGTCATTAAGTTTACACTGAGGGTTTTATAAATGAAAGTCAGTAAGGTGAGTGCAGTAAAACATCTTTCTCAACAGCCAGACTTTACCTGCTCTTTGCATAGTAATGGTCAACTGCAGTCTACCATTAACCTGACCCAAGGCAGCAAGGATGGCAGAAGACTATATGCTGACATTTGATCATCATTATAAATTGGAGAGAAACATTCTTTACACTAGCATAAATAGGATTTCCAAAACTCTCACAAAGTCTATCTTCTTTTTCTGTATTACAGTAGCAAACATCCTGCATTCCAGGTAGGGAAATTAAAATAGAAACACAGTTTCTTACTACTGAATGGCATAGTTGTCTGCATAAACAGACTGGTGAGGGCAAATACCAGTTGTGAGAAGTACTACAAATAGTTCATTCACAAATACATTCAGCAAGTTTGTTAAACAAGAGAATTCAACAAACTTAATATAAGTTCTACAAACATTTTTGAGAAAGATTTTTCAGGTTACTGAGGTCACACTGAGATTTATCTGTACTTCCTCATAATGTGACATTTCATGGGTTTTTTTGAAAAATATATATTAGTCTCCTTACCATAATTACTCTACAATTCCCAAGCATGAGTCTCACCTGAACCATCAGTTTTTTGTTTATAGATCATGTCTTTACTTGTGTCTGAAAAAAAAATTGTGTCATCCTGAGCACTGAAGTCAATTCCAACAAAGTATGAAGGGCTCCCTGTTACAGGTATGATCACATCTTCCTGGGTGGAGAGATTGAATGGGATTCCCCGCACTGCCATCTGGGATGAAAACAGCAGAAACTGTCGCACAGCTGTGAAAGGAAAAATCAGACACAGACTTTACTGATTCACAAGGGGGGACACCTAAGCATTAAGAAAAGCTTTGTTTTATTTTCGTAACACTAATAGCCTGGAAGTGGAAAAAAGGAGAATGAGGAAATAGGGATTTAAATACTGACAAGACATAAAAACTGAGGAAGAAAACCAAAACCCAATCCAGAATATTAGGCGATGTGGTCAGGTGTTCTTCTTTCATTGTTACTGTGGTCCTAATACACTTTAAAAGAAATTATTATGCCTATGGAAGCAGAAATAATCGTCCGTAGTCTTGTTTTTATAATAATATATAAAAAAATAACTTGCAGGCTTTATGGTTGAGCCACCATAAAACTAGACAATATCTGGGGTAGCCAGATAAATGAATGGCCAAATACTAAAATTATACACAATATATGTGACATACATTCTCAGTAGATACTCATAGTAAACATGCACTAGTGATAAATCTGCACTCAAATAAGAAGCAGAAGATTGCTGATAGAAACACACACTCCAAAACAATCTATTATACTTGCCATGTGCTCAAAGGGGGAAGACCAACCTAATCTGCACAATACTGCACAGGAAAGCAGGTTTATATATGTTCAAACTCATTCAAAATCTGCATATTAGCAAGCATTCATGTTTGATTTCAGGATTAAGAGTTCAATCATACAGCTGTCTACACACATTCCATATTTAACTCAAAATCCTCTCTAAAGGAGGTGAGTTTAAGTTGTGGCTTGTAATGAACAGCAGCAGAAATGATACATTTAAAGCTGTCAAAAAGAGTTGTGGTGAAAAGACAAAAAGTCCTCACTATATTGAAGCTACTGAAGAGAGGAAAGATGTTCTAGAAAAGAGCTCTACAGCTAATGGAGTAGCATTACTTCCAACAATTGTAAGGCATTTTCTTACCAACACAATGGCGTCCATCCACGTGTAGGTCAAAGCCCAGGATACACCTACAGCGATAACCTAGGCCATCATTATCAGTTTTGTGGCTGAGAACACAGACCTGTTCACATCCCCCATTATTACTTCCACAAGGATTTCTTACTGGAAAATAATACAGATAGAATTATAACTTCATCTATTAACCGAATGGCATTATTACCTTGATTTTTCAGGATTTTCTCTAACATCCACAATAAATCATATGGATTATGTGAGAATTACATCACAGGGACAACATACTTCACCAGTTCTACTGTGGAATGCATCGAAGTCACAAAGGTAAACACCATTAAGGAATTCAACTTATACAGACACACTCAGCACACGGCATTAAGGCCATAATTTTGGCTATAGTCTTCTGCACATAGACCTACTTCAGAACTATATCTCACAGAATTGAATAGTAGTAGCCTTTTCACTGCATTCATTGCAGTGCTGAGGAAAAAAATCCTAAGCACCAATACTACTCAAACCCACAGGTTTGACTCCACCAAGTATCAGACTATTTATAAAGCTCCCCCTCCTCTTGAATGTTGCATTTGACAGTTCATTAGCTACAGAAGTTGGATGAAACAACTGGGTAATAAAATCAGCCCAGTTTTACAATACAAATTTATGTATCATAATTACAGTTCCTTACAGCAAAGTAAAAGTCTCATAATTTTTACCAGTTTTTGGTAACATGCTTCCCAAATCTCCCTTCATAATTTATTTATGGTCTTACCAAATGGCTGCCTGGCAGCGTGGTAAACTGTCACTCCATAAGGTCTCAGAGAAGAGTGGTAGATCACTTGAGGGTTAGACTCCGAAAACTTGTTAGCTTTCACCACTGCCATTTTGGTCCAATCAGTGAAATAAACATTGTGTTCAAATAAAGTGATTCCATATGGATGAGGAATCAGTGAGCCTCCATGAGCTACTGTTCTCCTGTTATAAGAATGATTTAAAATTATTTACTGAATATTACCTAGACAATAACATAATTAACAAAAAAAAAAGAGAATACAGTATTTTTAATTAATTCACTGGGCTTTGTTTTAACAAAAGTACTACTTTTGTTAAAAGTAGTACTAAAGTACAAATCTTCTTTGTAGAAAAAAGAGAAAAGCTATTAAAGTACAAATCAAAAAGATCAAATGAACCGAAGAGACAAAGCTAAACATACAGAGTTCATCAACCTAAAGGATACAGCAGTGAAAATAGAGAAAAAGTGTTAGCAAATTCCAAGAAAATACAGTGAGTAAAGGTGAAAGGGGAAAAGATACAAACATTAATTTTATAATTCAGTAAGTGAAAAAATACATTGAACAATAGACCTGTAAAATGAGCAGAAGACTGTATTTTGAAGTCAATACATAGAAGGTATCCTAAAGGGGACATTTTTTCTTGTTTTGAGTAACTGATACTAATCTGATAAAAGGATAAGCAGACTTGTAAACAACATTATGCTGTAAGACAATCTCATAAAAACTCAAGGACTCCCTTCTTGCATGCTGTGATTTAGTCTCCCCAGCATCATTATAAGGTGAAGGATGACTTAATTTTTGACAGCAAAGATTTATAAAATGTAAGAAAAGCATTTAATACCTACCACACAGATTAGTGTTTTGAAGTGGGATAGTTTATATAAATGCATTCATGAAAAAAATTGCAAAGAAATTATGATGGAAAATAATGAACATAATTGAAAAATAATAAAAAGCAAATGCTCTAAAAAATGTGTACTGTACTGATAGACTATAAAATGTACATTATAAAATAAGGGCAGGAGGCATTCAAGGTCAAAAAAGAGCAAAGAATAATGAATTAAAGAATGTCTAGAAGTAGCATGACACCATAGAGACAAAGGTGCATCACATTCATTATGCTGTAATTTTCATCCATTGTGTATCTCGTTTTGTTAGATAAATCTTTTTTTGAACTAGACATAAAATAATCAGTGTATCTGTAGCCACCAAGGAATAATATTTCACCTACCTTTGAAGTCCATCATAAGTTACAGTCTCAATGTAATCAAACCGGCTGTCAACCCAGTAAAGCCTCTTTGACACAATATCCAAGGTTATCCCAGCAGGCCAGCCTAATTTTGTTTTTATCAAATCCTGACGATTTGTACCATCCATGAAGGCCCTCTCCACTTTAGGATCACCAGACAGACTGTCCCAGTCTGAGAAAAACAAATAACTATAAAGAGATAAAAAAGAAAAAAGGTCACATTTCCTTGAGATTTTGTAAGAAACCCCAGAATTTCACATGGAATTTAAAACCAGCACCCTTATGGAACAGAATTTGTTTCTCAGCTGGCATACTATGAAAACATACTTTATACTTTCTACACAAAAAGTAATTTTCATTTTCTTTTATAGAATAAATCCATAAAGAAGCATGCTTTCACCCAAAAGACCTCAGAAGTACTAGTTTTCCTTACACAGAACTAACTTTACTGCCAGAAATATACAAAAGCAGCAGCCATGACTACAAGTTGCATTTGAAATTCCTCTTCCATTCTCTGTGAAGATCCATGTTTTCATGGTTCACATACACTTTTGAAGCATATGGATTAGGAGACACTAACTTTCCTGGCTTAATTTAGTCTCTTTATTTCGGATAGCGGGAGATCTGTGGGTGGTATCATAACTGAAATCTTTAAGGATAATACTCCTCTGCAGGGCAATTCCACGGGTCCTATTTTCAGTGTAGATCATGCACACACAACTTCAGCCATGAAACAGATTCCACACGTCATAAATAAATGCATTGCACAGCCCTCTCATAAATTAAGGTGCAGAATAGGTTAGGATAGAATGCAAATGTTCAAAATATTTTATATCTGTTTCTAAAATGACCACTCTTGCTGTTTCCTAGTTGTTTTCCATTACATGGCGATAAGGGAATTTCTGACATCTTTTGCCATTATCTGATAAGTATCACTTACCCAACAGTTGGATCAAGTGCTATTCCTCTAGGATTTCCAAGATTTTCAGCAATAAGAGTCACACGGTTTGTTCCATCCAAATTAACCATATCTATTCTGTTCACACTGGTCTCAACCACATAGAGTTTATTGTTAATCCAATCCACTGCTAGATTTTCAGGTGTGTCAACTGAAATATTTAAAACTTCTTGGAAATCAGAGCCATCAATATTAATAGAAAAAACCTGAAAACAATGCAAATATTGTCAGTAACCACATGATGTTTTGAAGCACAAGTCACATGTTATTTGTCATTTATCACCTCATTGATCACCATTCCAAAACTATATCTGTATCTGCCAGCAGATACAAGCAAGTTACCATCTAAGTTATTCCTTAGGTTAGGATGTTTTGAAAAGATCTGGAAACCAATGCAAAAAAATTGCAGAAGGCTTGCCTTCAACTACTATTTCTGCAAACTGGACAAGATAAAAGACTAAAACATTCTTGTCTGTTAGCAAGTGGTTTAAAAAAAATAAAGAGGAAAGTGAATTTGCTTTCCTAGAATCTAGCAAAACCCAGTATTTTTATTAATTGAAAACAAATGATCATGCTTTGATAAAGCTCTCAACAGTGGCCAGAAACAAGAGGGGGAGCTCTTACTACAGCTTCCACTAAGGGGAAATAGCAAAATGAAGAAAGTAAGAGAAAGCTGTCCATCCTCACAGTAAGGAGGTCTGAGCTTGTAGTCTCCTTTATCTAAGGCTAATTTTAAGAGCATCCTGCTCAAGAAGAATAATGTTGTTATTTTACAAGCAAGTTCAGAGCTAATGAAATAAACAGTCCAAACACAATAATTTTACATATACAGTAATTGTGTGATTATAACACTGGGTAATATGAAAAGATTTTTTTTTTTAACAACAGCATGAGATTTGGAATGCATTTAAATGAAAATAGAGATGACCAAGTAAATACATGCAAGAAAAATAAGAGCTGAAAGAGCTGTTTAATTTTAAATATTCTTCAGTTCCATGTAACAATAATCAAGATAACCACTCAACTGTGTACTCTGTTCATTGGAAACCCTGTTGATGAAAGAGCTTATGGGCATTAGGTTATCTTGCAGTACACTAAATGAGATAAAGATGACACAAAACACAACCCACAATTTTCTGGTTTAGTTTTGTCTTAACCTTAAAAAAGAAAAAAAAAAAAAAAAAAAAAATTCCCTAGTAATATCATTATTTTAAGACATCAGGTGGAAACATTCATCATTTAAGAAAATTCTAAATGCAAATGTTTTCATCTGGATAGTCTAGCTAGAACTTAATTAGATTAATTAAACTTAATTAATTAATTAGGACTAAACTATATTGGCCAGATAAAAATGCAGTCCTGGCCATCTGGGGTGTGCAGCAAAAAAACCCTTATTCTGTTTTATTTATACCTATTACAAAGACTGAATAAATCTCCTGTCTCATAAAAGTGCCATTTTGACCATGACTACATTCAGCCATTGACAAAGCAATTGCAGCAACAGGAACCTACTGCAGCCGCAATAAAAATGCCAAAAACTGTGAACAAGAGAAAATTGTCCATACAAATCTTGTCTGACTTGAAAGCCACACAGTGAATGTTCTTTCCACAGAACCAGCATGGAACTGTGGTGAGAACTATAGTTTTTATTACATGTCTTAGTAGGTTCAGAATTATGACAGTGACACCAAATTGATCCATCAATGGCATTAGCAGGGGCCAGGTCACAGATTCTCCTTCACTCTGCATGACGATCAACATGAGGACAAAGATTATGAACTTTCACCATTTGATCTAAGAGTTTCTTTGGTTCCCATAAGTTATGCACAGAAAAAAAGAACAAGGGTGCCATCCAACTTCCACAAGAATCTCCGGGCTGTTTTTTTTAAATGACTTTGTGCTGCTGTGTCTGGAAGCTAAAATAATTACTTTAAAAAAAAAGAGAAAAGAGAAAAGTAACACAATATTGGCTCATTACACAAAATACTGTCAATATTTGTTATTCAAGCTCAATTACAGTGCCATTTGAAGTATATGAAGAAGTCTGATTTTTATCATCTTAGAAGGCACACAGCTTTTACATTTTAAATGATCATGTTTCAAAAATTACTGAGAAAAATTTGCTCTGTTTTGAAAGAATGTCTACTATTTCTCTTAATTAGTTTTTTGGACTCAGTCTCAAGTAAAATTAAAAGTTGCTCAAGACATTCCCATATAATAGGATTCTTTGTTTAATATATCACATGTAATAGTATAGTAGAAAAAATGCAGTCATTAACATAAAACATTTCAAGGAGCTTTTTTGTTAGAAAACAAAAATACAGCCAGCTTTGGCTCTCAAAAATCAGGGCCTATCAACACATTCTGCCTCTTGAAGTTCTCTACTTCCAGGTACACAGAATTACAGTCATCTTGAAATTTCTACTAACCTTATCTTGCACTGTGTCAGTCCAAAAGATTCTGTGCAGGTAAAAGTGAAAGTCCACTCCAACTGCAATCCCACGATTCTGTGACTGCACCAAAGTACGAAAATTTCTTCCATAAAGATCTCCAATCAGTAAATCACGGCCATTGGAAAAAATAATCGATGCAACACCAGCTGAAAGCAGGAGGGACAGAGACGGGATTTTTGCAAAGGGGAATTGCAATATATACATTCTGGTTCATACTGGTTCAAACACTGGACACAAAGTCTTAAACAGATGCTCTCACTACAACCTGTATAAATGTTTCTACGTGAGTGCTAACTTACTATGATTTGCCTTTGGTTTGTACACTAGGAGCAAATCAGGCAGTAACATGTATTAAAGCCATACCAGGAAAAACTTTTATAAAACCCCTGTGCAAACACCAAAAGACTATTTCTATTAAAGCTAAAATGAACCCAGTGAAACTGACTTACAGCAAGTACTAAATTCTCCCATTTATAAGAGAGAAATACTTAGAAAATGGTGAGCTGAAGACTGGTCTGCAGATGTGGCTGAAGAAAGAAGGGGGAGGGAACTGAGCAGTTCTTGCTTCTCTAAGAAACAAGACTGCTAATCAGCTATGCCAAGCAGGAACTCCCATTCCCACCAATTTTCCACAGGTAGAAACACCTGCCTTACACAATAGCCTGTTGGGACATTACATCTCCACAAAGCAGAGTTTCCTGAGGCCTGCTTTCAGAACTGAGCAGGAGGACAGGAGAAGCAGCCTACAGTGATGAGGAACTACACTCTGAGTTACAAGTACTCTTCAGAGTTCAGACTCTGCAGCACGCAAAGCCAAGAGTATGGCTTCTCTCACAAGCAAGTGTTTGATCTCACCATTCAGCAAAACCATCTTCTGGCACAGTTCTAAAAAAGAGATTTCCTGATTTCTTGACAACATTAAGTTCTATAAGAGAGCATGACAGAAAACTGTCCCTCACAGAAGTAAGATTTTTTTTTTTTGTTCAGGAGTGCTCTGGCAATAACCTTGCAACTCTGCAGAAGTCAGGGATTCTGAAAAAGCAATGGAGCCTAAAAGACATTCGTTGATTAGAGAAGAAGCAGCCCTGATGAGGCAATCAACACCAACCTACGCACACCAGTAGATACAGAGCTCTGACATTTGCTGATATTCTGAAAGCTGTCCTGAGCATAAGTCCTTAAGGGCAGAGTTAAAATCAAAGAGAGCTGTGTGGCACAGACATTAAAACTACCCCATTTTACCTAGCCTTATCTATTTGCTCAACAAGAGACTTGAAGTGCACTAACCTGAAGTGTTGGCCCGACAATGCCGGTGATGCTCTAGAATATAACCTTCAACACAGTGGCACTGGTGATGTCCCACACGATCTTCACACAGCTGGTCACAGACACCCCACATCTGACAGTCATCGAAATCTGTCAAGTGAATAAGACATATTTATAAAATACACTCTGTAACTTCAGATAAAATTCATGTCGTAATTAAGAAGCTGCAAGTTTGTCCTCTCTGCTTGCTTTATATCTATTTGCAAAACTAAAGCATGAAGAAAGAGTTTTTCCACGGTGTTTCAGTTTTGTATTTCTGGATAACAAAACACCTGTGTTTTCTGTCCAAGGACCTGCCCGTAATTCTGCCCCTTCCCTAAAAACTACTAACCAAAAAAAAAGAAAAACACCACTAAACCACACCTGCCAGGAGAAAAGGAAAAATCATTTGAAGGGATGTATACTTTCCACAATACAGAATATGTCTATGAAGTATTTTTCCTGCAAAAGATCTCTATATTGGCACACACAAAGACTTGGCAGGATTTAAGCCCACTCTGAAGGTGAGATCCACCTTTATTTCAGTGCAGTACTTAAGCCTTTAATTCCTATTTGAAGGCAGTGTTTATTAGCTCAGATTTAGTACCATGCTAATAGGTATCTGATTTACAATTAAAAGCTCTCTATGCACCAGAACCAGCAAGAAAAAGTTCCTTTTATCATGCAAAATGCCATAAAAGTAGATTACTGGATCTGGAATTATACAGTACTGTCAGCCATTCCTTCATGACAAGTTTTGCTCTGGTCACAAACATATGCCTAGATTTCAGCAAACCAAAATACATTGACTCAGATTTACAAGCCAAAATCTGATACCTAGGTTTACAGGGCAGTCAAAACAACAACAGAAGACTCACTGAGACTGCACCAGGTTTGGGAATGTGCACTTCATTTATTTCCACAAAAGCATGAAAAAATTGCGGAAATTTCATTCCTTATTTCTCTGTCTCTACAAAGAACAACCATTCTGCCATTGCAGCTTATACAGCCTTAGGCCACCCAGAATTCTCAAAAATATAAAAATCTCATTAGAGACTGAAATACTTTCAATGGCACATCTGAAATACTTTTAATGGCACAAACACCATAGCTTGGGTTGAAAACTCTTAATAACAGATATTTACCCCTTCCTTTTATTAGGCAGTGCTAACTTTCATTATTCTGAAGTTACTCATTGCCAGCTACTGAGAGAAGTAATTTGTGCTACCAAGTTACAGCAGCTTTACAGTTATCTTTGCATTCTTGGAAATATTCTTTTTCATGTAAATTACGTATATACTGAAACCCTATAGAAGACACAACCTTTCCACAATGCAAATACAAAACACCCTTTTTGTTTTGAAGTATAATGTTCTGCTGTCTTCATATACAACCACTTTCCAACAGTAACAAACAATTCAACATCATTAACTGTTTTTCAGTGTGTATGCAACACACATTACTGAGGCAGAAACAAACTCTCTCAATGTAAACACTTAAAGACCAGTAAAAATTTTTGATAATAAGCCAGCCACCCAACAGTACATATTTTTAAACCTAATCATGCTGTTACTATGCCTTTAGGTCAAAGTGGAAGAGGCCATTATGATATCTCTCTGGTTGGTTTCTGTGTCATCATGCTGCCATTGTGCTACTAAAATGTTCATACATTTGCTGACTCCTGAGATTTTTTTATTTGCCAATACATCCACACAATTTGAACTAACTCGCCTTCCTGGAATCTAAACTTTCCCAATGGGTTGTGAGAAGGTACAGGACATGTGTAATCCCTCGACTTTACTCACCAACACAAGTACGACTGTCATTGCTGCTGACTGTATACCCTGCCGGGCAATAGCACATCCCTCCTGATGGAGAGGAATGACAGCGATACTGGCAGCTCAGCACAGCGCAGCGTGATACGTCTGAAAGGCAAACCCAATATTTCAGAAACACACCTATTCCCAGAAGAACAGCTTTCTGCCTTATTAAGAGTTACAAGGCTGAAGTCTTTCCTATGATGAGCCTTAAATTTTAAGTACAGTTTTTTAAAACTAATCTGCAGAGAAAATGATGTATTAAGTTCCATAAAATCACATGTATTTACATACAAGCAAGCAAGAGCATGGAACACAGAAGAGAGGTACTGTTTTTAATAGGTTATTAGAAGTGAGTTAAAGGATAAGCATCAATCTTATATGTACCACCAATAGTAAGTAGTGTATAAAAAGGTGACCAGAGGAAGCCATCTGTAATGCCCCTAAACGTTCCATGGTTCCTCCACAAGACCTACTTATAAGCAGCACATCCTTGAGCTCTATCTATTGGCACATAACCTCATCATTTACTCTTCTATGTGAAAAACCCCTAATATGTAATATTAAGAAGACTATGTATATCCTTCCAATGTGTTTGAATATACTGTTTGCATTGTCTTCATGGACAAATGCTGTTTTATCCTTTCCTTCTCCCTCTTCCTCTTTTTTCCTGCACTACTTCTACTACTATTTAATAAACAATTCAGTGGCAAGTGAGTAAGTTGTGATTGTAAAACACTTGACAAAGAAGGAGGTGAAAGTCAGCATTTTCCTTTTCCTCAAATTCTTCTGTTAAATGCCTTGCTTTGCAGCTCATATCTGCTGTAACTACCAAACTATTCATCAAAGCAAGAGGTGCATTTTTACACTAAAGTTTCATTTCCTCTTATTTTTTCTGTCCTCCTATTCCAAAAGGCTTGGTTTTGTTAATAGGAATTTTTATCTTCCTAAAAATTAAAATACACTGGTCCTTGTCCTCAGAGGGATTTGATATTTGTAAGATTAGAATGAAATTAACAGGAACTATACTTTCTCATTGCCTCCAACATAAAAAACACAGTGTACCACTAACTGGAGAAACAGACATCCGAGGTAAAAAGACATTTTTTAAAACTATAATCTTTAAAGTGAAGTAATCAAAGTTTAGGATATACTGGATCAATGCTATGTTCTGATCAGCACAAATCATTACTTCTTACACAAAGGGACAAACAGATATTTAAACTAAGAAGGCATATAGCACACCTTTCCCTGACTTCACAAACATATTTTAGGGTATGGAGAGCAAGTTAAAATCCTTATTTGTAAAATTTCATGTACAAATTTTAAAAAAAGAAATTGGCTCTTTGCAGCATATGTGCCTCTTTCCAGTCAAAACGTTGCTAGGGAAAATAGTGAGCTTCCTAAATTTCAGTATTGTTTAGGAGACAAAAAGGTGAATGTAAAAAGATGTCAACGCTGATGTTTCTGCTATTTTGTCTATGTTTTTCATTCTAATACATACTGCAGTGTCTGCCTGCAGTGATGTTAGTTTCATCTTCTCCTTCAGGGCAGTCTGCAGCTCCATCACAGACTTTCCCAATTGGAATGCAATGCCCTGATCCAGGGCAGGCCCACTCTCCGGGGTAGCATTCACGGTGACCACTTTCTGTGGAAAAGAAAAACAAGAATAATTAAGAGTACATTTCAAATACTAAAATTTCTTCTCTAACAGCTTCCCAAAGCACCTCTATCTTTCGATATCCCATTTCCATTTCTTGCACACAGCTGGGAAAGACTATAAAGAAACATTATCTATAATTGTCATGCTTTCTTTTACATTCAAACTACAATGCCATTGATACTTAGGTAGACAACATATGAATCCCTTTATTTTTCTGTTTTGTTAGAAAAGGTAACAGCATTTAGCTTTAAACTAACCAGTGCACCAGAAAGGGAACTATAGTTTTGTGGTTTCAAAACATATAAATGCTATCTGGATAAAGAGAATTATGTTCATCACAGAAATGGCCAATGAAAAAGAAATCTCATTCACACTTTCATTCGTTAAAGCTTCTGTTTCTCACATGACAAATCTTGGCAGGATCTGAGTTAATTTCATTTTGAATCAATGGAGTTTGGTTATTAGAAGCCTCATGTCTCTTAACAGATGACCTGAAAAATTTCTACAGGCAGAAGAACCAAAACAAAACAGAAAAGAGAATATATAAAAGAAAAAAAATATATACTGCTATATGCTAAACTTAGTTTGCATCATACTCAGTATCACAGTAATTCTCACACACAACCAAAAAATATTGCTGAAGTTAAAAAAAAAGAAATAAAAATGAAGGTGGAATTATAAGGTTTTAAAATAAATTAAAAGTATTTAGAACATCTTGACTGGTCTAAATTTCATAGATGCAGGTTAGTGCCGTCTTCCTCTGAAAATACCATTCGAAGTTAGCAAAAGTATTTACCACATCCTCTTTCATCTTCGTTGTCTTCACAATCATCGTCTCCATCACAAATCCAGCTCTGATGAATGCAACGGCCACTTGGGCAAGTGAAGAAGTTGCCTCTGCAAGTTGCATAAGCTACAGAAAGAAACATAAGAAAATCTAATTGCTCTAAACAGCTAAAGGGTTAAAAATAACAACATTGCCTCATATACAATCATTTATTATATTGCTTAAAAAATTTAGCCAGTTCCGTATTTTATATGTATTGCAAACACTGCTGGTTTCTTCTCATTTAGGTATGAATTACCTTTGGTTCATGCTAAAATTAAGAAGATGACAACAACAAAAGTGTGACTATATGTATTAAGAACCAGACTCTCAGAACCAGTGACTCAGTCCAGCAAATTCAAATACTAATGACATACCCAGAACTTAACAGCTTAGGACAAATTCTATCAAAATAGCACTGCAATTTTCATCTTTCTGTACAGAAGACTACTTGTAGAACAGTGATTAGCTTTTGATAGCTGTACAGCCAAGCAATCTGCTTCCTGCTATCTGCTTGAACCAGGTCTCAGTAAAACAGTTAGAGAAAGTGGGAAAAAAAAAGAAACATCATACTGCAAGAGTTTTCATCACTCCTGTCTCCACAGTCATCATCATGGTCACAGAGAAAGGCTTGCGGGATGCACTCTCCATTAGCACACTGGAACTGTGTACTGGCACATCCATGTGCTGAAAAAGATTTTATCACAGAAACACATACAGAAAACCTGTTTAACTCCAAAAGAAGGTCTATAAAGCAAATTTGTTTGGGATCACTCTGCACAGGGGACTTACTGCAATTAGCTTCATCAGAAGAATCTCTGCAATCAACTTTGCCATCACATCGCTGGCTTGCATTAAAACATGCTCCATTTGCACATGATAACTGTTCACATCTTGGGTAGTCTAAAATAAAAAATCCTTTATATTAGCATGAAGTTAGATTATAATGAGTCATATCCATCTAGTGTCAACAGACTATCTTTGTTTAAAGGTAAAAGGGAATACAAAACTCCATTACTAGTAGTCCTATACTAGTAATCAATTTATACAGTATACTGTCTTCTCCAACAAATATTAAAGAATATCTTCTAAATGGATGCTACAGAACCTTGCAAGCAACAAAAGAAAAATTAAATGCTGTCCCACAGTCCAAAAAGATTTGCAACCCAAGCACTTTATAATATAATAGAAAGCAATGGAACATAAAAGGAAGGCAAGCAGTGAACATTTTATTCTTTATACCTCAGTTTTGCACTATCCCAATCTTAATAAAAGTATTTAGATAGCAAAGTATTTCCTGAAATTTACAGTTCCTAGGTCCTCTTCAAGTGTCCTGAGTTCTCAAACTCAGAGACCTCAGGTTTTAATGGTTTTGTACCAATTAGGCCAAAGATATTAAATTTCCAGGTTCCATGAACAATTTTAGAAATGTCATTTTTTATTACTTGCTTCCCTCTTCACAAAAGAAAACAGATTCTGCAGAAACAATGACTTTTTAGGTTTTGGATAGTCTACTTATATAAATGACCTATATGTAAATACAAGAGATCGTTTCAAATGTTTCAAATTAAAACAAATTCTGAGAACACTTATTCATACAAGCAGTCAGGAAGTTCAGTGGAAGTATCCAACTAATTAAGCATATGCACATGCTAGAATTGAGTAGGAGAACATGGGCTCATAGTTTATCTTGTTGCTATGTAGACAAAAGTAACATTTTTCAGTCAAATGGCAAGTAAGAAAGCAAAGAATTGTTAATTTTAGAAAGCAGATTTATTGAACCTTTGTCTCTATACAGAAGATAAATTAACTCAAGACACAGAAGAGCCAAATAACATTTGCATCTTTTAAATTTTCAGTTTGAATACTTATCCCATTTTACTTTTCTAAGAGTTAATAAAGCAGATAGAGAAGACTCTCAACTAGGCACATTTTCATTTAATAAAAATAAATAATAAAAAATTGAAATAAAAATTGGGAATATAATCCTTGGAATATAAAATTGCTTCAAGCAGATATCAAGAAACCTGCAATTTTTCCAAACAGTGGCAAACTGTTTTGCTTGCTTCTGCTGTTCCGTGTATTACCCACAAAACTTCAATTACCTATGGAATAGGCTTATATGATTTTAACTGTTAAATGGTTAAAATGAGAGGATAAGTACTACAAATCTAACCTATCTCCCCAGCTGATTAATTTACATTTCATTTGTTTTCACTGCAGTTAATATAAGGTGGCAGCCTGCACTAGGAACAGTGTGTGGCTAAGCGAAGAACAGTACTTACAGAGTAGCAGGGTTCCAGCTACAGCATTACTGTTTGTGATAGTTCCCAGTCTTCCATTCTGAAAGTCTGACAATGCAAACATGTTCCCTAAGCATTCTCTGGTCCCACTTCTCAACCAATCACCTTTCTAACACATCCTCTTCTTGCTTCAGTTAGGCTCAGATAAAACTCATAACGCTTTGGAAATAGCATGGGTTTTGAAGTGTTACCTCTGCCTACAGAAAGGACTAAAGAAAGGCCTGACCTGGGGCCAAGTTTCAAGTTCACCATGGAATTAATGCTTTTTCCTCGTCTGAAAGCAGAGAAGGCATCAGAGGAGGAACCATCAGGAGTTCTATGGGCCAGCAGAAACAGCTACAGAAGTACATTGTATTACAAGGCAGATGGAAGAAAAGGAAGAATACAAGGTATGTGCTTGTAAACGCACTGAAGTATGAAAGCTTCCACATGTTATATAATGGACAGTTTTGTTATTTTCCTCACTTTTCTTCACATCCCACAGAAATACCTCCAGTAATGTTCCAAACTGTTTCCAATGGACTGATGTCAAGTAAATAAACGACTGAACCCATTGCCTTGCACTGCCTGTTTCTTCAAGAATGACCAGGCAGACTAAGAATCTAGCCAGTATTTTTCTCAAGCTTATATTAAACTCCCTTACAAAAAGGAAAATTTTGTCAAAGTCTTCTCTCCAGCAGCAGGCCTAGAAGTTCCCTCAGCCTAGCAAAATCATTATTATATTATAAAGTCTAGTATATTGTATAAACACAATCACTATAAAAAAATACCAAGAAAAGACATAAATAAAGACGTTTTGAAGATACTTGAAAACATACATTCTGACTAAATTGCTCTTTTGCTAGAATGTGAAAAAATGCTTCTTTTATTCTCTTTTCAAAACTGGTGTACAGATTCTTTATTTTAATTATACTAGCACAAGCAACAACATTTTTGAAAAGCCTGACACAGATTAATGTAAATTTTATCTTTGTATAGGTAATCCCATTTCCAATCCCTTGTCAAAAGACCAAGGTTAGTAAATTATAGTTCTGATCACAGCCTGCTCACTGATCTGAAAGATATTTTTCACTGCATTCTGCACTGCAGATTGTGCTCTTTGTATCTAATAGTATATTATTATAATCAATTGGTTTTTATTAATTATTTGGGGCATTAAGATAACTGGCAAACACCAGCACAAATTACAGATGAAGCATCTTCCTCCTTGTAACTGTTGTGGGGCAACAGTTGTGAACATATTTAAATGGCATCTTTCAATGGCCACATGGAAGATGTTTGAAGCCTATGTCACAGGGACTGCCAAACCCACATTATTTTGCACTCTGCCTAACACTTCTGCTCTGCAAGCTGGAAATAAATCCATACAAAAACAGCAGGAGGAAATAGTTGCAACTAGCATTTGATTCAGTACAAGCTGATTTCTGTCACAGTCAGCAGTGCAAGCTTCTATAACCCTAACCCACGTTACAAGGAGTAGAAATAACAGGAAAAGAAAAAAGGTAATTTCCTACTAACAAGTGTCTTTTTTTTACAACACGTAAAAACATTTTACTAAATAAAGTTAATTAAATCTTTTGGATTCACTGCCATGAGTCACCACCCCACAGTGGGCAAAGCATTGCCCAGACAGCTCACAGCCTACCAGAGACACCAGGAGGGAGACTTACTCCAAGCCCAAGAGTCCTATGAGCTACATGATACCAGGCAGTGTTCATAGCAGAGATGCTTTCAGAGCTGGCAGACAGACCAGACCCTCATTCCTGGCCTTAATTCCTGATTTTGATCCCTGAGACTCTAGTCTTTGGCCAGCTGCCTTAGATTGCTCCAGTTTTGCTACTTCCCTGTCCCAAACTCTTCCTGGTGGAGATACTTCCTTCAGCCTGAACTTCTCCCTCATCCTATAGCTGCTACATGTAATTTTTCCAACATCCAGAATATTAGTCTCTGACTATGACCTTTTTCATCTTTCTTGGACTACATCCCTTATGATGTCCTCAGTTGTTGATCTCTGTTCACTTTCATCTTGGTCTCTGCAAATTAATCCCAGAGCAGGCTGCCCACTTCCTGACCACAACAGCTATTTAGCATAGCAAAAAAGAGGCAGGAATTCACAGGTTAGACAGCTGACCTATGGCAGCAGCTCAACATCAAAATTAGAATCAAAAATCCAGTGTATCTTGGCCCACTCTCACCCTACTAGCTTCCAACATCATGCCTTTAAAGAAGTGCCCCTTTCTCCCTCACAGCCTCAGTGGAGCACTCAGCTGCCACAGCAGTATCCAGAAAGATTATTCTGTAGCAAAGAAAAATGGATATGGCTGGGATTTCCATTTTCAACTATGAAGCTGAGGCAGAAGGAAGAATTCTATCTTGACTGAAAGAAATAAAGTATGTACCAGAAAAATTACATCAGCTGTCTACACCCAAAAGGTGTTTGCTACCCCAAATAATCTGCCATTTCATTCTGTGTTTCTAAAGTTTTAAAATTTAAGTATTTGCTAGCTGGTGACTATTCAAAAAGCTAGAAAATAGTCTGATATGTGTATTCAAAAAAAACTAAAAGCCATAATTTTATGAAATCAAAACAGCTTCAGTGCACTAATTGTATGACCTGTAGCTGAAGCATTTGTTCTGATGTTTATCTTAGTCTCTGCATGGGCAGTTTTCCCTTGCTGTTAATCCCATTAGCAATAAAATGGACTAAGGCTCTGAATTCTTTTGTTCTGGCTTTTTACATGTTTAATTGCAGACTTACTTTATATTGATGACATTTTGCATTTGACTACTTTCTTATATGATGTAACTTCATTCATATTCAAGAATAAAACTATCTTCTTTACAATCTAAAACTGTTTTCAGACAGATGAGTGAATGCAAAGCATAAGTAAAGAGACCTAAGTTTTCATTTTGTTATGCTCCATGAAACACCAAAATCAATTATAAACAGCTTTATTCTTGTGTTGTTCATGGATGTTTCATTTTTATGAAAACTTTTAGTTCAAATTAAATAAGGAGAATTTAGTGACAAAGGAAAAGGCCAAAATAGTACTATTCCTCTTACATTTGTTTATATCAGATAATGTGGAAAAGGAAATACATTAAACACTGGGGAAAATGATCATTCAAAGCAACTATTATAATCTGCTCCAAAACTAATACACTAGTACACTAATCTGTACTATACAGTTAATGATAAAATCCCCAAATTGTAAATTTTATTTTATGGCTTCTGAAAGTTCCAGGCATTGCAAAGACAAAAAGCAAATAAAATTAACCAGCCTTCCTCAAGAGTCTTGTCATTACATTTTTCTTGGATCCTCTTGTCTGCATCACTGTCACATTTCTTTAAACTAGTCTAACTGCTTTCAAGGTTCCAAGTCACAGTAATTCTTCTGTCTCAGAGGGACTGTCAACACATATTCTAATAAACCAGAGTAGAGACTGTTGAATGACAGGAGGCAATCCCTCTCCTTGGGGCTAAACATGCTGCCTCCACAACAGCCATGGGGCCCATTGGCTGATGCAGAAATGACTGGCTTTCCCCCACAGCAGCAGAGTGCTACTGTTAACGTATTTAGAGGGCCCTTTCCTAACTGCCTTCTTAATTTACCTAGAGAATGTTAAACATTAAATTTCAATTTTCAAACATCACAGCAGCTTCTAGTTTGAAAAAAAGAGTTTTAAGTATCATCCTTAGGACTCCACTCCCAGAATGACATAGATTTACTGCATTATAACAATCACACCACAGCACCTGGCTGTTCCACACTATATTCGATGACTATTCACAGGTATCTCAGAGATGCTCAGCAGTTCCAGTTGTTTAATTCACAGATAATATATTTTTAAAACAGATATCTTTTCTTCAGGATGTTTCCATGTGTGACAGATTTGCTAAAGTTACCAACTTCATTTCTTACTCTAAACTTAAAGAGGAAAAAAAGCTTATCTACAGAAGATATTCTTCCAGCAATGAGATGGGTTTTGGCTTTTAGCCATTTGTATTGGTGACTGTGAGTCTATCACATGAAAATTCCAAGCTGGGTGACTTAGCAACATTTTATTCCAGAGTATCATATAGTCCTAAATACCCTTTCATTCTACATAGGGACAATTTCAGCCATTTGTGAGCCAAGAATAAACCATATTAGCAGTCAGATGACCATATAGTCTTATTTTACACAGCATAGGTATATGCCCTTTTTTCCCTTAAGCACAGCCATTAACAAAATTTAATTTCTTACTTCTTTGTCCATCCATTACCATCCCAGCCTCTTGCCCCACCTCCTGCCCTGGGTCTGGTTCTAAGTGGAGTTTACAGGTTTGGCTGTTTCCCAAAGGCACATTATGTTCTCTCAGGTGGAATAGCAACTTGTGTGTTAGAAATCACTCAGGATGTGTGAAGCTTTTCCTTAAGACTAACAATAAACAGACATGCCTGTTACACACTGTTGTGTAGGTATGATACAAAAGCATTTCTGAAAAACATGGCATCTATTGTGCCAGCTTTACTTTCCATCAATATTCAACCTAGGCCAGGATTTAGGGAGACTGTCACCTGACAGGGAGCCTCAACTCTGGGGAAGTTAGGGTGAACAAAAATAAGTGTCCATCTGCATTTTGCTGGCACAATATAAAAAACTCATCTGAATACAATATGACTAAATCATTTTCACAGGAAGCTCTAGAATAAAACGCTTTTAAAGGGATCAAATCCCCTCAAAAAAGTAATTTAGAGTCAAATTTTGCTTTTATGTACCAGTTATAACTACTGTTGATTTTATATGGAGTGTGCAAAAACAACTTGGAAAACTTCAGAAAAGTTAGTGCCAAGTGTCCCAAAGCCATAAGACAACTAAACATGATTGCCTTTGTACAGTGCAATATTAATTATCTTTCAGACAATTAGAAAAAATATGGCCTGATCCTGTGGTGGCAGTTTGCACTTGAATTCTGTGGTAACAGATCTGTATCAGAACATCAGCTCTAATACACAGAAGAATCTGAAATGAAACTCTTGTAACAAAAAGCATATTGTGGGCTTCCTGTCTATCAATAAGCCCTTTAATCTTACAAATGTATTAAAATGCCACAGAGAGATGAGATGAAACCAGATCTCATGCTAGGAGTTAAAACTCACGGCAGACTCTTTCATCTGTTCCATCGGTGCAGTCCTCCACTCGATCGCACCGGTACGCGCTGGGGATGCACTGGCCATTGGAGCACGTGAACTGCTGACTTGAGCACGTCCTCCCCGCTGCAACAAACAGGCACACAGTCAGTCTTCCCTACCAACCAAGGCTTTTTATCAGGAAAAATATTTTCCTTCTTCTTTAACTACTTCATCTTTCTCATAAATATCAATATAACATATAACACTTTATCCCCCTATAACTTGGTGTGTTCAAGAGGACTAAAGAACACTTGATGAGCACACAGCTCTGGAAGGGCTCCTGTAGTCTGTAAGGTCACTGCTTTTCTCCACTGAAGAACTGACCTAGGTTAAAAAGTACCCCCCTATAATTATTCTGCCTAAAACATTATATTACCAATTCTCACTGATTTAAAGTTTTCTCTTATTTTATTTACTATGTCAAAATCCATCAGTAACTCTAAGTTATTCAGTCAACTGGAATGTCACAAAGTAAACACAGCAAAGTTGGAGGTAAGGCACCAATTTCTAATATAGCCAGGGCTTCAACAGTCAGAAATAGTTTGTATATATAACTAACGGAGGATTGAGAATGATTATGTCTCTTCTCCTGACAGCTGTCAGGAAAAAGCAACCACATAAAACTGTTCAATTGTACTTTGATTCCACTACAGCTAAATTATGCTTTCAGTTCTTAGGCAAACTAAGATGAATCTGTGAAGATATGGTTGAAGGACAAGCTAGCTACTAACTTTGCCTTCCCTCTGCCCCCTGCACATTTGCTTCTTTCAAACTCATGTTGTATCTCAACATCATCCCAGTCTATATGTTGGCATCTTGTCATCTGCTGCTCTACAGGGGCTCTCTCTGCCACCTTCTGTCAGCAGTGTTCCCAAACTAAGATCAGCTACTGGGATACTAGTGTCATGAGGAAAAACAAGAGCATGACAGTAAAGTAAAACAAATTTCTGCACTTATGACTTCCAGAGCTGTCAGACAGTTTTCCCATGAAAAAGTTTTAATATTTCAAGGAGGAAAATCTCCCCTAGCTTTCCCAAACACTGAGATAAAAAGTCCCTTTAGAACAACAAGAACAAATACCAGGAAATGTCTCAAAAATGGCAGCAGCACAGTGCCACTGTGTAGATACTGACGCTCATGATTAACCAGTACATGGTGAACAATGTTACAGCGACCCAGTTCAAAGTCAAACTCAGAGCTTGTGCTCATTTTGCATTTTGTATCTACAGATTCTTTAGTTAAAACATAACCAGCAGTTGTGCTGACTCCTTCTCAGAGCAAGAGGGGAGCAAAAGTTATCTATCATTCAAAATTTTCCATCCTAAGTGGGTTAAGATAAAATCAAGATACAAAGGCAAAAACCAAGTCTGTGAGCAAAATCCTTCCAAAATAAGCATTTTAACCTCCCCAGGGGTTGGTGAGTAGCTCCAGAGCTGTTCAGTTCAAAGAAGTTATCAAAAAATTATACACACAATCAAAATGAAAATAAATTCATATTATATTCATCACTTAGAGTAACTTTTAATACTAGAAATGGCAGAAAAACCATCCTTCAGAACACTACATTTCTTCTCTTGTCTTATGCAATAATGCAGAGAACGTAATTTGGTGCAGTAATCAGCTCAATTCACTGTTTACCACTCCAGTATGTCCTTATAGCCCTTCAAATGCTTAGTCATGAAAAATTCTAAGCCAGAGTAACATATTTTATTTGTCTATCAATACTAAGAAAAGAGCAAAGCCTATGGCTGTCACAATGAGGCTGTTAAGCTATTTTCTGGATCTAAACTGTACAAAGAACACTAAATACTTTACTTGGAAACAGCAATTCAGACATGAATAATACACTGTTTAGCACATTTAAAGTGCAATACTAATCAGAATTATGTTCTAAGTTTAAGCCGTACAAATGAGAATGAAAGACTAGACTCCCACCAGCCGCCAAGACCATAGATATTTCTCCTCTCTGAGTGTGAGAAAGAATGGCTCTGTTAATTCCAAATAATAATGCTACTAATAGCATTGCTGAAAATAATACAAGAATACTGGCTAATGTTTGCTGATTATTGATAATTCCTCCTGTTTTATATATAAATATATTTCAAAGTCATCTAAAATAATTAAATTTTGTTATATATAGTTCTGAGATGCCACTGTGAATTTTTCTAGCCAATGGATACAGCAGATACAGTAATATACATATTTCACCATTTTTTTAATTACTGAACTTCTTATCAAGTATAAAACTGGTATATACTTTGTATTTTTTCTCTTTTTAATTAAAAGAAGCATGAATAATTTTCAGATTCAAGACCTGGAGATATCTTTCTAGACATATTTTCTGTATTTAATCTACTTCAGATTATTTTATTTCTGGAAATACTTTAGAAAGACTTCTGTACTTACAGAGGAGTTGTTTCTGTATGTTCTCAATATGCTGCCATGTAAATTACATTATTTCACAAAGCTGGTATAACACTGGAAGTCAAAATACTTACGACATTGTTGATGTTCATCAGAGCCATCGTCACAATCCTCCTCATCATCACAAACCCATGACTGTGGAATACATTCCCCATCAGTCTGACACTGAAATTGATTTCCTTCACAGGTAGGTTGTGCTAGTGTAAGCAATGAAACAAATTGTCATTTCACAGACATCTGTGGAAGCACTTTCAAAGAAAACAATAGCGTAAGGGAAAAGGAGGTCTAAGATTCAAGTATCAATGAATTGTAATGTCCATGAAACACATGAAGCATTTAACAGATCAAAGAAAATGGACAGACCAGAGGGGTGAAATTGGACCAGCAAAAGGATGCTCAAAGGCAAAATTCAGCTTAATAAACTGCATAGACTCTTCAGCCTTATCTCCTGGAGACACAAGCTCCTCTAGAAGGGACACCCAAAAAAATTTTCAGGTTCTGAACTGCCCTCTAGCAGAGCCCTTTTTTTCACTTTTGTCTAGAGTCACAGTAGCTTCCCCAGTTTCACAGGAGGTCTGTTCAACTGCTCTCACTCCATCTCTTCTGCTTTATCCCTGGTAAGAACATGATCTCCCAAAACAAGGCACACAGGAACAAGAACACGATATCCCAAAATAAGGCTCACTATTCTTCCCTGTGAATTCATGAGGCAAAAGTGAGGGTCAAATCAGAACAACTTGAATGCTGTTACTCCAGCTCCACTCTGTACTCTTCAAATAGACAAACAACAGGGAAACATCAAAGAGAAAGATCAAAATAAGTGTTTGAAACTGTGTCACAGCTTACTCCATTCCTAGTTAATACTCCTGGAAGAATCTCTAGTACAACACAGTCCAGTAAACAGGACTCTGGTCTTTATCATCTCTCTTCTCAGGATTATGTTTTTGCAGAAATACAAGGTCAGCTTTGTGCTCATGGGATGATATGCAAGAACAACTATCAATGTAACCAAAGCACGAGGGAGAAAACTAAAAAAAATTGTAGATTTAGAGTTGAAAAGTAGAAAATAACATCAGTAGTAAACTAATTAGAGGGATAGAATTGATCACATACTACAGACCAGTACTTCATGTATACTTTTTCCCACTTCAAGAACCAAAGAATAATCTTTTAGCATGATTTGAACTTTAGACCAGTTTTAAACAAACTTACTAGGCACTCATGTGCCCCCCTACTTATAGGACATTAACATATTAACTAACTAAAAAAAAAGAAGTTTAATTTTCATTATTGCTGTGGGACACCACTATTTTGTCTTGCTGGTTTAAAGCAGACTTCCAAGCCATGTCAATGGCCTCCAATTAATGACATGGGTAAAGCAGCAAAGAAATAATAACACTGTAAAAAAACAGATATAAATTAGTCTTACTCCTTATAAGCTGAGGGGTAAAAATTGGCCTAATCTGTAAATGGGCTAATAATTGCATTAACCCACAAGACTCAAAGAACACTAGAACTGAGAAGGTAAAATACCAGCAAGTTCCTGAAAACAGACAGTGGAGAGAAATTCTCCAATTTCAAAACTTGTCCATTCATCTTAAGAGAATGTTGGAGCATGGATATTACAGTCCATATGAATAAAATTGTTGCCTGTGAGCTGCTGACACAGCATAATCAACTCTAAACAATTAGGCATGACTCTACTTTGGGCACAGTAGGTACAGTTAGTTGTCCAGGGTCTGAAAAATCCAAAGATTTGGAGCACAAGTGATGTTGGTGGTAGCTGTATGTACATCCAATATTCAGGATTACTACACTAACAGAATACAATATATTTCTACCTCTACTCAGAACATTAGTCATAATATGAAACTGCATTATTGGACAGTCAGATTTTTAAGAAATTATTAAAGTCATGTTAGAAGCTGACCACTACTTGATTTTCTGTGTACCAAAGCCAAATGAGCTCATGGAATAAGATTTAAGTAGATTCTGCAGTATCTCATGACAACTTGTCGTTTTCTCCTAATTCAATATTCATTCTTGTACCATAATTAAGTTGAGCACATTGGAATCTCCCAATTTCTTAGACTACAAAGGAGTTGCTGCGTATTTGTTTCACTTACGGCAGCCAGCTTCATCTGTATCATCCGAGCAGTCTCTGGCCCCATCACACCTCCAGTCTGCAGGAATGCAGCGACCGTCGCCGCAGCGGAACTGTCCCCGCTCACACCCTGCGGTGAAACACAGGAACCCAGCTTAGCACTACCAGCACATCCTAACACACAGTGAAACCCAGCAAGAACTCGGATTTATCCACTGCCTGGCAGCATGGAGAATGGAGATAAAATGATAATACAAAAAATAATACAAAAGATAGTACAAAAACATTAAAAAGTATATATATAAAGAAAGAGTTCTATATACCCAGTCAAACAAACTAAAAAGCAAAGAACCATCTTCAAGTATTACAGTAGCCTCCAACCAAATAGTTAGAAAATTCCAGTAATTTTAGCGTTTGTATATTATACAAACAAAACAATTACAAAAAATGAAAAAATAATCCAAAACAAGTCTCAGAGGACTTACACTACAGAAACTTATTTAGCAGGAATGCGTCAATTTTAAATTCGCAAGCAGTATAGATTTTAAATAAAGGTAGGGCATCATTTTTGACATTATATCTAAGGGTTAAAAATTAGTGCTCTCCCAAGTGTATGAGGATTTAAAACACACAATAATAATCCCATTAGCTGATGTGGAAATCTTGTTTCAGTGGTAACTGCTTGAAAGTATAGAAAGGTCTCAGTTTTGTTTTGCTTTTTAATAATGCCTTCATACTTTAAATATTTCCTCTGAAGTACAGGAAAGCATGTCTTGAGTCAAGATCTGAATAGCAAATAATTTTTTAAAAAATTATGCTTTCAGACATTTGCGGCTGATCAAAAGCTATCCTGCTGTCATTCTCTCCTGCTTGATCTACTAAGGATTAAGACCTGATAAAGAAGCATTCATTCCCAGGTGTAAATGCAGCTGGATCAGGCCTTTATTAGAGTCAACTAATGAAATCTCCAGTCTGTAAGAAAGAGAAAAGGCACTGTTTCTGGACTTTCCTTGTGACTACTGGGTCATAAAAAGGGAGTGAACAGTTTTATAGATCCTCAAAACAATAAGCTACAATATAATTAGGTTCAGCAGAGCTCTGTTTCATGTTAACCTGTTGTCAGCACCTCAGAGAGGGGAACACTGAAAAAACCTGAAGTAGTATCAAAATCCAATTCTGAAAAAAAATCCCATTTCCTGATTAAATTAATAACTATACAATAAATTTACATCTTTCAGTTCTTCTGAGTGATCTGTCCAGAGAAGATAACCTCAGTATACATAAAGCACAACCACCTATTTTGTGAATTCATGATGACATAAATAACATGCTACCTAACTTTCATGTAAAACCAGGCATATCAACACTGTCACATAAACACAGTTAAGTGATGTATTCCTCAGGGATACAGGCAAGCTACTTTATGCAAGGAATGTTCAAATCTGATTGTCTGTTAGTGACACCCTGATTTATAATGTATCCTGCAAATGGTCAAAAAATTTCACTTGGATAAATGGTGGTACGGAGTGGTACAGGAGTATGTTCACCCAAATACCTTCTATAGACTAATGCATGATGGTGGTTGGTGGTGCAGGTCTGGGGTTGGTGGTGCAGGTCTCTTATCAACTACCTTTAAAACACAACAACCTCCCTTGCAAAAATGCCCTGAAGGAATGTACAAGTTCACTCTGGAATCCCAGGCCCTCTCCCTGAATTTTGCCCTACAAAGCAACATTTTCATATAAGATTAGCAGTTAAAGCTCTAAAAACACTACATATAACCCACCATTTATCAATTGCAACTACAATGCAAAACAAATACTAAATCTTCTTGTATATTTAGCATATTATGGCTATTGAAAAATATTCATAGTCACTTAAAAAAGGAAGTTACAATATAGAAATATACAAATCTGCATCCACATGATTAGGATTTTTAATGAAACATGCTTATAAACAAGTAATATGAGCAACTTGTATATTGTTTCTAAATAATAACTAGCTAAAAAAATTTAAGCATGATGTAGAACAATAATTTATTTTGCCTATCTTGTATCAAGTTCTTATAGTTAAACATACCCTTATAGTGATTAAAATGAGGTGATAAGACTGATAAACCTTTTTCAAAGCAGTATAAACACAGCAGTCTTTGTACAGTACCAGAAATGGTAACCAAATGTTAACAGAAAACCTGCAAGCCAGAAGTTCTGCTACTCTCTATAATACTCCTCAGAATTATAATTTGAGATGCTCACACCTATATACAATAAGCACCATATCCATGTCCATTTATACAATTCTTCAGCAGACCTGTTACAATTCATTTAATTATGACTTAATCTTTACAATGTTATCTGTTGTGCTTACTTATAACTGAAGGCAAAGAGCTCTGAAACACCTAGAAATGTTATGAAAGACTAATACATCAATTATCACTATTTTATATTACGTTTAGAACAAAGAAAATTACCTAGCAGATAATTATGTAGATGCATTTAAAAAACCCAGCCTTTGAAAATCAGTAATATAAAAGAAGCAAAAGTGATCTGCAGTACTGAGGGCAATTCTCAAAAAGGTTCTAAAAAGCTTGTGTTTCAACTGTGAGCGAAAACAATTCTAACTTTGATAAAGGAGAAAGCAATCAGGGGAAAAATACATGACTGCAAAGTTATGGCTACAAATACCCAGGAGAAAGAACCAGAATGAAAGAAAAATAACCATGTCAGTAATAACCAGATTTGGTATATTCCATGCAATGTCAGCCTGCAGCACCTGGGTTTCAGTAAGAGCAGGGACTCTCAGAAAAAAAGGGGTATTCACTTGTTTATTGATATTATTTGAAGCTTCAAGTCACTGAAGAATTAGTAATCAGTAGTTTTACAGAAGGTTTTCCTTTCAATTAATTTTTGTGGGTTCTTTAAGTGGTAAGGTAGCTCATTAATCAGTCAGATATTACTAAAAAAATGATACTAATGAACTAATTGCCATAGAAATTCAGATTTACTCTAACAAATGCTGATAGGAAGGAAATAACCACTGAGTTTTAAAATGAGCAATAAAGTAATCAGTCTTTGTTTTCATATTTAAAATCTGCTAATAGAACAAAACTTTTGGAAGTTCAAGTTCCAGAAATTATTGAATTTTTGGTATTGCTATACTATTACTATAATTCAGTTTCAGTGGTGATTAAAGCACTACTGAAATATGGGTTAAAAAATGCATGGCAGATCTTAATAATCACAACAGAACATATAAAGAAGAATCTCTTGGCATTAACAAAAATAATTTTGAAAGGAAAAATTGGTTTCAACTGCTCAATATTAAGGAAAACACCAAAGAATTAACAAATATATTATATCAGCTTTAATATAAATCAGTCTAATACTGAAATTGCAAAGCAAAGATCAGGAGCATCATTGGAAAAATGTTGACCAAAGCACTATTTCTAAACTTCTTGCTATACTTACTATCTTGGGGCTTCATGCTAAATTGGTCACTGGAATTTATATTGTTCTCTGTGTCTGGGATTCTCTTGTAAGAGACTCTCAGTGGATGTTTGAGATTGAGCATTTGCCCAAGTAAAACAAGAAGGCTTATGTTACTACCTCTGGAAAAGCTACTTGCAGAAAGGTTTTGTCAGGTAGTCATTTTCCATTGGAACAGACAACATAGTTGTGATTTTATCAGAGGGAAAATTGAGCTAATTATTAACAAAACACTTTTAATTTATTAAAAATATGTGCATCTTCTACCACTATTTACCTTATTTTTCTGCAACAATTGTTGCCTGCATATGTACCTATAAGTACCCTATGGTAAACCACTGCCAAAGAGAAATCCCACTGCCACTAGGGGATGGTACTCAACATTCACACCACTAATGAAAGTTACTCAATGTCACAGGGAATTCCAGCAGGAGAGAGGTTAATAGCATCACACATTTCACAGCACAATGTTTTAACCCACAGGGCCACAGTCTTCAACAAGAAGGCAGTGCACTTCACCCCTCTCAACCTCCACTGGGCTTCACTTCATGTAGAAACATTTTATTTCAGAATGAAAGCTAAAATTCAATCCTTTTGTATTAAAACCAGAATGCTATGTTTGGCTTATAATAGAACCAAAACAGCCTTATGCTTTGCCCCTCTGTGTTACTTTTGACTCCTTGCAGTACCTCTCTGAACAGTTTTAGTCTTTTGTATTATTTTCATACATTTTCTACCTGCCCATTTAACCTTGAAGTTCCTCACACTTTTAACTCTGACTACACATCTTCTGAATTAAACTCTGACTACACATCTTCTGAATTACATTTGTCATCCACAGATTAAGGGCCATGACTGTTCATTCTGACCACACAGAATAGGCCAAAACCCCTCATTTGTTCTTCCTTCCTTGTGCTTACAATGCCTTTTAAAACTGCTAACAATTCCTTAGCAGTTAAGTCTGAATGAAGAATTTAAAGTAATGAGGAATGTATTAAGCCCAGGGTAGATTGTACCACTCTCAAACTGTCCACTCAGAAATCAAACACTGCTGCAATCAATTTATATTTCAGAAATCAACACTCTCAACAGATTTACTTGCATCTAAAAAAGTATGTTCTTCCAGGCAATATTTTTTCAACTGAGCAATTACACTGGTAATACATCTTCTGGTTTTCAGCAAGTAAATGCAAACAGACTGTGCATTAGAAACCTCTTCCACACAAAATTTACAAATAGAAAAATAAGTGACAAGCTCTTTTTTTCTCCCTTTCTGGCTTCCAAAAAAGGGTACCCATTTGGCCCCCAAATAGAGCAGCCCACTCTAGGGGCCTTTCAGGTAAAAGAACCCTCAAGAATCACCACCTTCCATCCACTTTGATGTTAGATTTTTGCCTAGCCTAATTACATGTCAAACAGCCTGAGGTTTTGGAATGCTCAAGGGGGGAAGGCTGAAACTCTGGAATTCCATCTCTGTTCCCCCTCACTAATGTAGAAAGGAGCAAAATTCTAAGTTTAGGAAAAACCTTTAGCTTATTTTCAAATAACTCCCTTTGATACTAAAAAGCAGTATTCTTCTAGCAATTATAATAGGAGAATGCACAAATATTATTTAATAGATAAGGAAAATAGAGTATGATTAAAT